GGGAGGGACGGCGAGACCAGACGTGAGACGGAGGAGTCGGGTCAGGGGACAGAGGAGGGGACACAAGAGGGGAACGAGGGGGGAAACGGGCCGGAGACAAGTCCGGAGGAGGGACCACAGGGCCGTAGATAGGAGGAGGAGGAGGCACAGGCACGGGGTCAGGGGACGGAAGGCCGAGCAGGCGAAGAGCGGACACCGGCGGGGACTACTGCGGCGGCGGTGTGACACCGACATCGAGACCGCAAGCTGCCTGGCGGCTACCTCCATAACACTCTACGCCAGCACCCCCAGAAGGACCACCCCCAGAGCTCAGAACCCCTCGAGCACCGGTACCACCCCCAGGCCCGCCGGGACAAGCCATGACAGGAGTCCCTGGACTAGTACCCACCCCAACTCCAGCACCCCCAGAGGCAACGAACTGCTGCGGCGACGGTTGCAGCGGAGGCGGCAGCTATAACGTCGCGTGCGGCGGCAGCGGCGGTGACGACGGCTGCGACAGCGGTGGCGACAGCGGTGGCGACGGTGGCTGTGGAGGCGGCGGAGGAGGAGATACCTGAGAAGGGGCAGGCAGCGAGGACAGCGCCGCAGGACCACCAGAATCAGCAGACTCCTCAACCGGGACAACCGACGTAAGTGGGGTGACGTGGGACACACCAGAGGGGGCAGGACGGGGAGGGGGAGGAGGAGGGGCGGCGACGACCGGGGAAGGGGTGACCAGGAACAAGGGGGGGGTAACCGGGGGACCTCGGTGGGGGAAGCGGCGGAAGAAGGAGACAGACTCGTCAAAGGTGACGTCACGGGAGTGAAAGAACCAATGAGACGGCGGATGGTAGAAGTGCCAGTCGGACGCGTCAAGGGGGAAGCCGAGGAAGACACAGGGAAGGGTGCGGGCAATGAGCTTGTCCGTGCCAGAGGCACGAACGTGAGCATGGCAGCCCTAGACGTGGAACGCAGACGCGTCACCAGGTGACCCAGACCAGAGGAGGGTCGGCGAAACCTGAGGCTGCTGGGGGTGCGGCCACAGGTTAAGCTGGTGAGCGGCGTAGCAAACGGCGAACGGCCACAGAAAATAGGGTGCACCGGCATGGATCATGGAGGTGCGAGCCACCTCCATGACCAAACCGATGCGTCGCTCAGCGACTCCATTCCACTGCGGGGAGTTCGGCAAGGTGAACGTCTGGGTGATGCCCTCCGCACGACAGAAACGACCAAGGACACTAGAGGCAAACTCGCCACCACGGTCGGAGTGGAGACGCAAGACAGGGAGACCGTGGACACGCGAAGAGACAAGCCACGGGATAAGAACGGCAGGCACGTCGGCCTTCCGCTCCACGGGGAACACAGTGGTGTAGCGCGTGTAGTCCTCGACAAGCACTAGGACGTAGCGCTCTCGACGCGGCCCATGGATGGGGGCGGGGCCCCAGACGTCCATGTGCAGAGTTTGTAGCGGTGCTGCAGTAGGGGGAAACGAGGAGGAGTGAGGGGCACGGCGGAGCCGGCCCTCGACACAGGGCGTGCAAGGTGGTGCTGGGGAGGAGGGAAACTTGGGGAACGACCCAGGGAGGCCTAGGACGAGACCATGCTGTGACATGTGACGGAGACGCGGGAGCGTAGGGTGACCTAGGTGGTGGTGCCAGAGAAGAGTCGGGTGAATGAGAGACCGACAGGAGCAGTCACCAGCAACCGGGGGAGACGCAGTCACCTGAGGGGGGTTCCCAGCCGGGGGGGTCACCGTGTCCAGTGTGAAATGAGCGGACACCGAGTCCCGTGGGAACGTGGACAGGGGGGCACCAGTGGCGGCCTCGGTACAGACAGCGTACCGCTCGTGTCCAGGGAACGTAGTGGTGACGCCAAGGTCTTGAAGGCAGCCGACACCAACTAGGTTTCTGGAGAACGAGGGGATGTGCAGTCCTGTGAGCGAGCCCGAAGGAACCGCCGGGCACAGGAGGGTGGTGGAACTGCGGGCGACTACTGGTCCGGAGGTGGGGTCAGCAAGAGAGACTGCGGCAGGGACAGGAAGTGGTGTCAACGTGGTGGAGTCGCGGAAGAAGCACCGGAAAGCGCCAGAGTCGAGGGTGAAGGAGAGCGCGGCAGTGGCGGCCGGAGGCGAAGCAGCGACGGATGCACCAAGGCTAAACAAAGCAGGGGATCCTACGCCTGACGCAGCAGGGGAGTCGAAGCAAGGCACACCTACACTAGGCAACAAGGGGTAATAAGACGGAAGCACACTAGAGTCATCAGCATACATCACATGCTGAGCAGTAACAATCGCATCCATATCCCGATCAAAAATCTGAACCCTACGACGAAGCAAGCTGTGCCAGTCTGGGAGCTCGGGCGACGGGCCGAAGCGCTAACGAAACAGGTCGTCCAGGCGACGGAAACAGCGGACGGAGGTGTGACCGATCTTACCGCAAACGAAACCATGGCGAGAACCGGTCTGGAGCAGGTACTGACAGCGCGCATCACCCGAACCACCACCCGGCAGCCCACCACGTGCACCACCACCACGTCCAGCGCTACCACCAGCGCCAGGCAACCCGGGCGGGAGACCACTCGCCCGTCTTTGCTGCGGCTGCTGCGGCTGCTACGGCTGACGCGAGTCCGGCTGCAATGCCGGCGGCTGCTGAGACGGCTGCTCGGCTGCACCTGTTAGGGTCCCCTCGTCCGCACCACCACCAGAAGACCCAGCTCCAGCACCACCTATACCTGCACCCCACCCCCGTCGCCACGCCCAGCCTTGGGGCGGCGACCCTTCCCCGGACGAACCTGTGCTGCAGCGGCAGTCTCAGCTATAGCAACAGAATCGTCAGAGAAGGTGCACTGAGCGGGGGCGCAACCCTGAAAGATAGGGACCGGCACAGTACCGCTGGTCTGAGCGATAGAGCGGTGGCGGGCCTCTATAACGGACAGGGTGTCAACAAAGTCAGTGAGGGTGAGGTCTGTGGGGTGGACGCTAAGGAAATGGTCACGAGCAGTGGCAAGACGGTCAGGGAGGCGGGTGGCTAGCAGATAGAGAGTAGAGGTGAGGGGTCGCTGGTGGTCGGCGACAGTGGGGAACGATGCAAGGTCAGGGAAGAGCATGGGGAGGATGAAACGCCCGACCGAGACAGCAGGCGGGGTGGAATAGCGCTGGACAACAGCATCTAGGAAAGCCTGGGCAGTGGTGATGGACCTGAAGCGAGGTCGCTCGGATAGGGGGAGGGCATTGCTAATGGCAAGCTGTGCGACAGCGTCACGGGACAGCCAGACAGAGCGAGCAAGGGCAGCGGCCGCAGCGGACTCACGCTCAGCGGACGAGGGATCAGGAGACAGTGCAGCGGGGGGGGTCAGGGCAAGGGAGAGTACTGTCAAGATGGACAGACAGCGAGTGGCCATCCTTCCGCTGACCAGTGAGATGGCGACAGAGGTCAGCAAGCCACGCATCAAACTCAATCGGCTGGCCCTCAGCGTCAAAGCGAAGCACCTCCGCCATCAGTGACAATAGAGGGCAGTGGAGAGCAGTACAGTGCGGTGCAGTGCGGCGCAGTGCAGTACAGTGCGGTGCGGCATGGTGCAGTGCGATGTAGTGCGGTGCAGTGCGGTACAGTGCGGTGCAGTGCGGTACAGTGCGGTACAGTGCGGTGCAGTGCGGTGCAAGGCGGTTTAGTACGGTACCGGGGGGTTCGCAGGGCGGTGCGGATCGGCGAATAGAGCCGGCCGCGACAGCGGCCAGGGACAGCCGCGACGGCAGCTAGGGGCGGCCGCGACGGCGGGAGCGACCGTGGGGCGGCTGGAGACAGCAGCGACGGCGGCTAGGGGCGGCCGCGGCGGCGAGGGGCGGCCGTGAGCCGGCTGGAAACAGCCGCGACGGCAGCTAGGGACGGCCGCGACAGCAGCTAGGGGCGGCCGCGACGGCAGCTAGAGGCGGCCGCGACGGCAGGAACGACCATGGGGCGGATGGAGACGGGAGCGACGGCGGCTAGGGGCGGCCGCGACGGCGAGGGGCGACCGTGAGCCGGCTGGAAGCGGCCGCGAAGGCAGCTAGGGGCGGCCGCGACGGCCAGGGGGGCGGCTAGGGACGGGCGCGACGGCCAGGGGGCCGGCTAGGGACGGGCGCGACGGCCAGGGGGCCGGCTAGGGTCGGTCGCGAACGGCCAGGGGGCCGGCTAGGGGCGGGCGCGACGGCCAGGGGGGGCCGGCTAGGGACGGTTGCGAATGGCCAGGGGGCCAGCTAGGGGCGGGCGCGATGGCCAGGGGGCTGACTAGGGTTTGTCGCGAACGGCCAGGGGGCCGGCTAGGGACGGGCGCGAACGGCCAGGGGGCCAGCTAGGGATGGGCGCGACGGCCAGGGGGCCGGCTAGGGACGGGCGCAACGGCCAGGGGGCCGGCTAGGGACGGGCGTGACGGCAAGGGGGCCGGCTAGGGTCGGTCGCGAACGGCCAGGGGGCCGGCTAGGGGCGGGCGCGACGGCCAGGGGGGCCGGCTAGGGACGGGGCAAGACGGCGGCTAGGGCCTAGGGGCGGAAGCGTGGGCGGGCTAGGGGGGGACCTAACCTACTATGATACCATATCAGAATGAATAAGTGAACTAGAATGAGTGAGTACAAGGGTATATAGACTAGGGTGTTGTACCCTCTAAGGCACAATCCAGTATAGTCTACAGTAACGGCCTAAGTTACATTTGACACAATGCAGGCGAATTGATACATTTTCAGAAAGGGAACGACATGTGTCACATGCAGATCCGCGATATCCCTCTGCGTGGCAGGCCGTGCGCTGGTGCCCATGCGCGGGTGGAACAAGCAGTGACGGACGGGGAGGCTACGGATAGTGCTGCTGTGGGAGTCTTGAGGGAGGAAGGAGGGCCATGCAAGTAGGTCAGAATTCTGAGGGGAGAGTTTTGTGAGATGTGACGGGCGATTTTTACGCGTTAGGAGAGCAACAGAGCTGCGGGATTCGATAAGAGAAAATATGAGTGTGTTGATAAGTCCTTATGCTTCTCTCAATTACATTTCACATTCGTAGTGCCATGCTTGTAGCAGCTAGTTCTGATCGAGCTTCAGTGGCCAAATTCAAAATTGTGAGTAATCTTGAGTCCCGTTGGCGGGCCATTCGGCAAGAAAAACTCGATTGTTTCGCACTTGTTGAATGAGCCCGTAGAGGGGCTTCGATTGTCATCCTCTGCTGATACTGTGCTGTAGCTTTCCTCACGAGAGCTGCATGCTTGGGAGGGAGGGACCAGCGGCGTTCTCATACAAGCATGTCTCTGCTCTTCCCGCTGCCATTGAGGCGGCGTTTCTTTGTACAAGTACAAGGCGGCTCCGAGTTCTAACCCAGACATCACACACACATCCTCCTAGCGCTTTTCTCCCAAGTGCACGGTGCTTCCCGCAAGCTGCTTTCTCGTACATCCACAAGTCCTACATGTCTGAAACCAGCTGCCTTCTCATACAGCCATGCCAGCTCCTCCCACTCTCGTCAAGGCAGCATCTCGTGCAGAAGGCAACTGCAAATGGCAATCCTGAGAGGCTCCTCTCATCATAATCCTAGGACCCTTTTCACGATTGCCACATGCTTTGCGCCTGTTGCCTTCTCATACATCCATGCCAGCTCCTCCCGTTCTCGTCGAGGCAGCATCTCTCGTAGAAGGTTGGCCGAGGTTGCCATTTCAGGCTGGTGGTCGTGGTGGAAGGAGGAAGGGGATTTACAAAGTTCGTGCTTTTTTCCTCTCCATCTTATCCCCTCCCTCTCTCTCACACTCTTTCTTTCACACACACTCTCTCTCTCTTTTTCTGTCTGTCTCTCTCTCTCTCTCTCTCTCACTCTCTCTCTCTCTCTCTCTCTCTCTCTCTCTCTCTCTCTCTCTCTCTCTCTCTCTCTCTCTCTCTCTCTCTCTCTCTCTCTCTAGGTTTAGGCTGGTGCAAGAGGAAGATAGGAAGCCAAACACCTAGTTGGCATATGGTTGCATGCTTGTGCATATGAACATGCATGTGCATGGGCGCATGCATGCACATGGATGAGCGGATGGATGTTGAGCAGCTTCTTTCTGTTAACTGCATTCAAGTCTATGTTCTAAGCGCATCAGGCACGCACCGAGACAGCAGCAGGAGTAAACTCGGAAAGGAGGTTGGAGATTCCCTGTAGCTTGACCTCCGCCTCGCCCCTCATACTCGCTTCTATCAGCTCCTGCATTCGATACAAGCACAAAATTTCCAAGAAAAACGACACCAAGAACCATAACATAACCAGCACACAGCAGGAGGGGAAACAGGAAAAGCGGGCTGATAGCCCAACTCAGAACAACTGTGCGCTGATAGAACTGAGTAGAAGATCAGAACAACTCAGAACCCCAATGGCTACACGCTCGGAACCTCAGAATATCCATTGCAAAAAAAAAAGCTCAGCTGCCAGTTTACCAGGTGCTGTTTGGCAATCCGATCCCTCAGCACCGCTGCAAGTTGCAACTGCACATTGTTAACTCACAGGTATCAGCTGGACTGCCACCTATTTGCCTCCCCTCTCTGTGCTGCTCACAACCATACCCGCACTCCCCCCTCTAACTCTCCTCTCACACACAAGTGACTCCGTTGCACGAAACGAGCTCAGCTGCCAGTCTACTGGCCACCCCTTTGAGCGCCGCTGCTAGGGCTGACGGAGGCGCGAGGCCCACAGCTGCTGCCATGCCTTTTGGAGTCGACTCAAAGGTCATCCTGCTGCCAGCACCCACACATGATAAACTCACATTGCACGCAACGAGCTCAGCTGTCACTCTACTGGCCACCCCTCTGAGAGAACCAGCCAGAGCTGATGGAGCCGGGAGGCTGATGGCTGCCGCCATGACCACAAGGAATGATGGGCCGGAGGCGGGAAGCCTGGGTGGGGGATCTGTGCTGCAAGGGCGAGGGAGGGAGGAGAAGGGGACAGCAGGGGGAGGGGGGAAGTGGAAGTTAATGGCTGCTGCCATGCCCACAAGGAATGATGGGCCGGAGGCGGGAAGCCTGGGTGGGGGCGCTGTGCTGCAAGGGCGGGGGAGGGAGGAGAAGGGGACAGCAGGGGGAGGGGGGAAGTGGAAGTTAATGGCTGCTGCCATGCCCACAAGGAATGATGGGCGGAGGCGGGAAGCCTGGGTGGGGGTCTGTGCTGCAAGGGCGGGGGAGGGAGGAGAAGGGGACAGCAGGGGGAGGGGGGAAGTGGAAGTTAATGGCTGCTGCCATGCCCACAAGGAATGATGGGCCGGAGGCGGGAAGCCTGGGTGGGGGCTCTGTGCTGCAAGGGCGGGGGAGGGAGGAGAAGGGGACAGCAGGGGGAGGGGGGAAGTGGAAGCTAATGGCTGCTGCCATGCCCACAAGGCATGATGAGCCCGTGCAGGGAAGCCTGAATGCGTCTGCAGGGGGGCTGGAAAGGGGACGGCAGCGGGATGGAGTTAATTGCATAACGGGGCGAACAGGGAACAGCTGTAGGCATGCCAGCAAGGAAGGATGGACCGGACGAGGGAAGGCGGGATGGGTGGACCGTGCTGTTCTAAAAAACAAGTCTCTCCCTCACTCCTCACTCCATTCCCCTCACCCCATGCATGCATCCAGAGCCAGCTGGACGGCAGCGTTGAACACTATCATGCGCACAGAGTCCCTTTGAGTTTGCCACGTGTCACCAGATGCTCGCCATGCCGCCCAGATCTGACGGCTCAGAGCAGACATAGCAGAAAATGGAACGAAAGGTCGAAAGGGAAAAAAATGTTTGTGAAAGATTAAAGGGATTGGTAGAGATTGCGTTCACATAAATCTGCGTTCACATGGGATTTAAGTTGAACGAAATGCCGAGGAAATGTGATGCCAAGTCCTCCTGACCATGTTGCACAAACGCTTCGTACAGATGAGTGCGGTGCGGTGCAATGTGGTGTGGTGCAATGTGGTCATGTGCGGCACCTGGGTAAGAGCCTCTGGTGGGATGTGGCCCTGCGAGTTGAACTGCTCCAATGCTCCTGAAATCGCATGGAAACGCAGACAAAACCATCCATGAAAATGAGAAAGAAACAGTCTCGTTGACAGTACTCTGAAAGGCAGCTAGCGCCATGAAGGCCCATGACATGAATAATGCATGGCGATCAAACTCACGTGTCCATCTCATCCCATGCCACTCCATCCCACTTCATCCATCCCATCCCATCCCATCCCATCCCATCCCATCCCATCCCATCCCATCCCATCCCATCCCATCCCATCCCATCCCATCCCATCCCATCCCATCCCATCCCATCCCATCCCATCCCATCCTAGCCAGCCCAACTAGCCCCACCCCCTGCCCACCCCAAAACAATCTCGTAATATCCCATTTTGACCCATCCCATTCCACCGCCTCCCAACTTGCTTACCCATCACAGCCAATTGCGTGTCTTTTATCGAATGGCCTCCCAAACCAGCCTGTCCGCCTCGGCCACTTCCCGAGCTTGTTTCCGAACCTGTGGCCAAACCCTGTGTCCCCTGCAAGGCCAGCTCGGCCCAGGCCTCCTGCCACCAATCAGGCACGAGATCCGACCTGTAATCCGACCTCTGATCCGACCTGTGATCCGGCCTGTAATCCGACCTCTGATTCGACCTGTGATCCGGCCTGTAATCCGAGCTATTTCCATCGTCTCTCCCTTGAAGTCTTCCATTCCCAAGTCCTGCTACTGTCCGATTTGTGTGGTTGCCATACTGACTGCCAGCTCCCCTAATCGCCTTCTGTGCCTCCCCTGCTTCCCCTGATTTCCTTGTGCGATTTGCTGCACCCATTTGGCTCCTCCGCGTCTGTTTGGCAAATGAACCCTTTAAGGATTCGCCTGAATTTCCACCTGAGCGGTCTGTTGCATCCACCTGGCTCATTTCAAGAGCCAGCATCGTCTCATGAACGTCCTCAGCCCCATCATTCCGTGACGTGTTCACTCCACCACCACCATAACCACCATCAAACCCTGAAGCACCACTAACGACCGCAGCAGAATCACCACTTTCGCCAACCCTACTCTTGCCAGTCTGCTGCTGGCTCTGCTGGTTCTGCTGCTGCTGCTGGTTCTGCTGCTGCTGCTGCTGTTGCTGCTGCTGTGCCTTCTGCTCAGCCTTTTCCTCCTGCTGCTGCAAGCCCTCTGCGGGACTCACGGCGCGCACTACTGGTGCAAAGAAACCTTGCACCGCAGCGCAAGCTGCAGCAAGGAAGCTGCGTGTGGCGGTATGGCGGAGGAGTAGCAAGAGGAGGAGGAACGAGGAGGAGAGGAGGACGGCTAGGCGGTGCGAGTGAGGGGAGGAGAGGGGAGGTAGGATCTGGTACAGGCGAGCAGGGAGGGCTGCTACCTGCGTGGAGAGCACACGCCTGTGGGTGGTGGGCAGATGAGTAGAACGAAACCGAAAGACAAAGGAGGATGGGGTTGAGGGGAGGGGGGAAGGGGGAAGAGGGGGGGATGAGGGAACCTAATGACAGTGTGGAGAGGGTGAGTGTGAAGTGGGTGAGTGGGGAGTGTGTGAGTGTGAGTGTGGAGTGTGAGTGTGAAGTGGGAGAGTGGGGAGTTCGTAAGTCCCTTCCCACTCACTCCACGTGCGTGAGGGACACACACCTGAGGAGTCTACTATTGAGGCGCCTCAAGAATAGCAACACACACCTGGCCTTATCCACTGCGGGTGGAACTGACTCAGCCACTGACGCTGACACGTCAGCAACCCACACAGATGCAGAATCCATAGCCTTCTCGAGTGGAGACTTCAACGAGTGTGACAATACCGAAGGTGGCGAGCCCCCTCTTCTCCTTATCTCAGAACCTCTCCTGAGCGGCATCTGCTGCCTTATACCCTCCCCACCTCCAATCCTCTCCATATAGTCACCATCAATCCTTTTCATATAGTCACCATCCCTCTGTGCCCAATCCCTCTGGTTGTCCTCAAGCCCTACAATCCAGTCTCCTCTTCCCCCACCCCCTCCCCATCCCCCTCCCCCTCCCCCTCCCCCTCCCCCTCTCCGCCTATGCGTCCGTCTAGCAGTCCACGAGAATTCACCCCCCCTTCCACTCCTGCTACTACTGCTTCTCCTGCTACTTTTACTCTCCAGCGTTGCACTATAACGAGATGACTCTTGAGTCGATTCAATAGCTGTCCAGGAGACCCCATCCTCCTCTGCTCTCGAGAGTCCATCCTCTGTGCTGCCGCTGCTCTGCTGCAGCTTAAGGTGCGTTATAACACGCCTCAATACATGCACAGGCCAGGGTTCGTCCTCCCTGCTACTATCAGAAGCATTAGAACCACTCTGCAAAACCCTTATCCCCATAGCACTACTCTGCATCCGCCACGGTGTTCTAAAACGGCGCCTTGTAACATGCACCTGCCAGGAGCTGGTTGCCGGAATTCCCATCCGTCCGAGATTGACAGATGTATGGGCATAGGTAATACGTCTAGAACTAATCGTGCGAGCAGAACTGGTATTGGCAATACCACCACCACCGGAGTTACCAAGAACGCCAGGCGACCCATCATGGTAAACCAACGTGCCATGACGTGCTCGGAGCTGCACAGCTACCACGGCAGCCATGAGCGTCACCAGGGGGAATCTACGTGGTGGAGAGAGCTGTTTACTTGAGAATTCTCGAAAGGTGAGCTGCACAGCAAGCGTAGCTGGGACTCTCAGGCGGGATGAAAAGAGTTGAGAAAGATTTCTGGAGCGAGCTTGCTTTGAGTTCGCAGGGTGACCCGAGATTCGGAAGGTGAGAGAAGGGCACCTGCTGGCAGGGTGAAGTGCCACAGGAGGTGTAGCAGACTGAGAAGACAGGAGGCTAAGTGCGGGGTTGATTGCCTCTAAACAGTTGCCAGTCAGGGAAAGTCGCTTCTGAGCTATCGGATTATAAGAATTCACCAGCTACTGACACTTAGCCACACTCGGCGGAAGGGTCGCCAAGAATCCGGGCAGAATTGACGCCACCCGGCGGGAGAGAAAACGCCCCGGAAGAAAAAAGGTTCCGCCTCGGGAATCCGAAATCAGGAATAAATTTCCTCACCTTCCTGACCAGCCGCTCGCATGCTTGAAGTACAGTATCCTGAACGGTCGGAACCGAAGCGGGTAACCACCCTTTCCACAGACAACGGTGGACAAATCTCTTTCCGTTAGAGTCGCACACATCACAGAGCATCCCTCACGGTCGGGCTCCGTCCGTGTCCTGTCGTCACATGACGTCAGTTGGCGTCTCCTGTGACGTGTCATCTTGAATGACATGATCGTCAGTGTCAGTGTCATGTGTCGTGTCACCCGTGAACTGCTTGCCGTGTCATGTGTGTCGTTCGTGCTGACACCGCGGGGAGGTCTGGTCGGGCCAAGCGCTGGTCACCGAATGGATGATGGGTCCTATGGCGGCGAAGTTTTTCCCCAGAAGGGCAGGCCAACGCCATTGTATTTCTGGATAAGATGCGAATTTCAAGCATTAGGCTTGGAGGCGCGAGGTCTGCGTGCGGCCTCGGTTGCTGATGAGCGTGTGATGTGATGTGTGATGCGATGTGAAGCGTGAAATGGCGGGCGTGAGGTACACATGAAACGGGCATTGCGGTAGCCGCTATTGGCTGACTCGATAAAAAACTGCAATAATATTTATAACGAGTATCATCTCTCTTCTAAGTAGTTCATGAGAACAAACCTTTTTAGTTCTATGGGTACTCCACGAGGACCATGTGCACAATCCTTACTGATGCAAGACAATATCATGGCAGGGTACAATTTTCCAGTCATTTACCCTCATTCAAGCCTAGCTCATTCCATCGTGGAAGCATACCTTCCAACTAGCTACCAGCGAGCGAAATCGAGGATATTGCTCAAAAGAATCTTAGCTCACATCACAAGTGCTCCATGCTTTGGATTGGATCAGCTGCAAGTGTGCCACAGCAGATGTCTTCTCACGCATCCATGCCCGCTTCACCTGCTGCTGTATGGCATTGGCCAACCCTCCTTCACACTCCAAGGGCTAGCTGATCACAACCGCCCAATTCTAAGCCAACTGTCCACCATGCTCCAACAGGTAAGCTCACTTTTGCCACATGCACGGTTGGACCAACTGTCTTCTCATAGATCCATACCGGCTCAAACTCCTACGAGGATTACGGCAGCGTCGCAGAAGAAAGGTAGGTTGAAAACGCTGATCATAGCATCACACTCCTAGAGCTCGCCTCACGAGGCCCACATGCTTGGGGCCAGCTGCCTTCCCATACATCCATGCCAGCTCCTCCCGCTGCCGGTGAGACAGCATGTCACTTAGAAGATGGGCTGAAGACGCTAGCTCCGGCTGGTGTGATGAAGGGGATGGGGGGGAAGGAGGGGAGGGGAGGGGGTAGAGAAGGGGGGAGAGAAGGGGGGAGAGAAGGGGGAGAGAAGGGGGAGAGAAGGGGGGAGAGAAGGGGGGAGAGAAGGGGGGAGAGAAGGGAGGAGAGAAGGGGGGAGAGAAGGGGGGAGAGAGGGGGGAGAGAAGGGGGGAGAGAAGGGGGGAGAGAAGGGGGAGAGAAGGGGGGAGAGAAGGGGGGAGAGAAGGGGGGAGAGAAGGGGGGAGAGAAGGGGGAAGAGAAGGGGGGAGAGAAGGGGGAGAGAAGGGGGGAGAGAAGGGGGGAGAGAAGGGGGAGAGAAGGCGAGGGCCCGTGCCATGTGCATGTGAGTTAACAATCTAGTCATTGTTTTGAGACGTCTCAAAATCACAACATAATCAGACGGGGAAGGGGGGAGGGGGGGGGGAGGGAAATGGGGGAGAGGGCTTCTGCCAGTTGTGCGTGAATGTGTGTGGGATAAAGGCATGTCCATAGATGGGAGTGTGTGTGAGTGGGTGTGTTGAGGACTTAGGCGCATAAGGCACGTACCGAGATTGCTGGAGGAGTGAATGTAGAAAGAAGGTTTGCAATTCGCTGGAACTTGACGTTCGCCTTTTTCCACTTAAAGGCCTTCATCAACTCCTGCTTCAATACAATCACGCAAGCAACACCCAAAGGTCAGAAGGCAGACATACACCACAAGCAGCACCGGAAACCAAAGAGAACAATCACCCTCGCACCTGACGATCTCACACGGCATGTAACAAGATCTCTGGCAAATCCGTCAGGCAATCCTCTAAGTGCTGCTCTACTCATGCTATAATCATCAACACTCATACGCCCAGGTATTATCACCCCCTCTCGTATGTTCTGTTATGTTCACAAAAGCTCTCACGTCCTATTACGATCATAACACACACTCACACACGCTCACACACACTCACACACACTCACACAAACTCACGCACACTCACACACACTCACACTCACTCACGCACACTCACACACACTCACACACACTCTCACACGCTCACACAAGCTCACACACACTCACATTGCAAGCAACGAGCTCAGCTGCCAGTCTACTAGCCACTCCCTTCCGTGCAGCTGAGGCTGCCAAAGCGGGTGCAATGCCAACGGCGGCTGCGATCCCGACAAGGAATAGCGGGCCGGAGGAGGTGGGAAGGAGGTGCGGAGACGAGAGCGTGTCACCGCTGCACGGGGAAAAAGTGGGAGGGATAGAGGGAAGGGAGGGGAGCAGAAGTACTAATCTGAGGTCAGCTGATTGGCAACATTGGATATTACCATTGAATCCATCTCGCCCCATCCCCCTCGCCCCATCCCCGTCGCCCCATCCCCCTCGCCCCATCCCCCTCGCCCCATCCCCCTCGCCCTACCCCCTCGCCCCACCCCCCTCGCCCCACCCCCCTCGCCCCACCCCCCTCGCCCCAGCCCCCTCGCCCCACCCCCCTCGCCCCACCCCCCTCGCCCCATCCCTCTCACCCCATGCATTCATCCAGTGCCAGCTGGACAGCAGCTCTGAACACAATCATCTGCACAGAATCCCTGTGGGTGTGCCACGTGTCACCAGATGCTCGCCACGCAGCCCAGATCTGACGGCTCAGAGGGAAGGATGGACGTGAAGAGGTACGGGGGAAGGGTTGGTTTGTATCTGACTGATGCTGAGCCGCAGGGCCAGGGCATGATGCCATGTGGTGAGATGCGATGCAATGCAATGCGGTGAGATGTGGTGAGCTGTGCTACAATGGGGTGCGATGCGGTGAAGTGTGGTGTGCACCTGGAGGAGAGCCTCTGGTGGGATGTGGCGGGATGAGTTGAAATGCTCCAATGCACCTGGCATTGCATGACGTCGTATTGCATTCAAGGCACACAATGGCAGTTCAAGATTAGCACTGGCGCACACTGACTCCTGTACACTGGCACACATTGGCGTATCCCATAGTCACCGCTTCATACCCCATACCACCCATGCCATTCACATACCCATCACAGCAAATCGTGTGTCTTTCACCGAAACGCCTCCCGAACCTGTCTGCCCGGCTCGGCCCGAGCCTCCAACCAGCCCCTGTGCTCGCTGCAAGGCCAGCTCATCACACGCCTCCTGCCACCAATCAGGAACAATCAGATCCAATCTGATCCTTTCCCCCTCAACCTCGCCCCTTCCCTTTCTGTAAATCCCCCCCTGGGAGGAGGCTACAGCTCCTTCTCTATCTTCGTTCACAGGCAGAGCTGTTCCCCCAGTGTCGGGTGGTTCTGCTGTGGACGTCATGTGCTTGTCAGATTGGTTAACCTCCATTCTCGCCTTGTATTCTTGCCCTGCTTCCTCTGCTTCCTCTGCTTCCTCTGCTTCCTCTGCTTCCCATGCTGTCCCTGCCACTGCCCTTGCTTCTTCCTCTGCTGCAACCCCTCTTTCCCCTGCTCCCCCACACAAATTACGTGGCACTGTTACTGCTGACACTCCTGCTGCTGCTGCTGCTGCTGCGTCTTCCCCCTCGTGCGAATCCTCTGGCTGCCGCTTTTCAACGGTTAGCTCACCCCTCTTCTGCAGCTTCAGGCTGCATTCAAAACCCAACGCACGTGACGCTGATGCTGCAGCCTCTGCCGCCTCTGCCGCCTCTGCCACCTCTGCCGCCTCTGCCGCCTCTGCCGCCTCTGCTGCCTCTGCCGCCTCTTCCGCCTCTGCCGCCTCTGCCGCCTCTGCCGCCTCTGCTGCCTCTGCCGCCTCTGCTGCCTCTGCTGCCTCTGCCACCTCTGCTGCCTCTTCCTCCTCCTCCTCCTCCTGCTGTCCCTTGTCAACGGCACGCTCAGCCCTCTGCCGCAGCTGCAAGCTGTCTTCAGAATCTAAAGCTCGTAGCACTACTGCTGGCCCTGCTGCTGCTGTCTCTTCCTCCTCCTCCTCCTGCTGGGGCTGCGTCTTCTTTTGAACCACAAGTTCAGCCCTCTTCCGCTGCTGTAAGATATCCTCAGAACACAGGGCGTGTGATGTTGCTGCCGCTCCTGTGGTCTCTTCCCCCTCAAGTGGATCAGTTTTTTGCCCCTTTTGAACCACACGCTCCGCCCTCCTCCGCAGCTGCAGACTGTCCACAGGACCCAACGCACATGCTGCTGCTGTCTCTTCCTCTTCCTCCTCCTCCTGCTGCCGCTGCCCTTTTTGAACCACACGCTCAGCCCTCCTCCGCAGCTGCAGACTGTCCACAGGACCCAACGCACATGCTGCTGCTGTCTCTTCCTCTTCCTCCTCCTCCTGCTGCCGCTGCCCTTTTTGAACCACACGCTCAGCCCTCCTCCGCAGCTGCAGACTGTCCTCAGAACCCAACGCACATGCTGCTGCTGTCTCTTCCTCTTCCTCCTCCTCCTGCTGCCGCTGCCCTTTTTGAACCACACGCTCAGCCCTCCTCCGCAGCTGCAGACTGTCCACAGGACCCAACGCACATGCTGCTGCTGTCTCTTCCTCTTCCTCCTCCTCCTGCTGCCGCTGCCCTTTTTGAACCACACGCTCAGCCCTCCTCCGCAGCTGCAGACTGTCCACAGGACCCAACGCACATGCTGCTGCTGTCTCTTCCTCTTCCTCCTCCTCCTGCTGCCGCTGCCCTTTTTGAACCACACGCTCAGCCCTCCTCCGCAGCTGCAGACTGTCCACAGGACCCAACGCACATGCTGCTGCTGTCTCTTCCTCTTCCTCCTCCTCCTGCTGCCGCTGCCCTTTTTGAACCACACGCTCAGCCCTCCTCCGCAGCTGCAGACTGTCCACAGGACCCAACGCACATGCTGCTGCTGTCTCTTCCTCTTCCTCCTCCTCCTGCTGCCGCTGCCCTTTTTGAACCACACGCTCAGCCCTCCTCCGCAGCTGCAGACTGTCCACAGGACCCAACGCACATGCTGCTGCTGTCTCTTCCTCTTCCTCCTCCTCCTGCTGCCGCTGCCCTTTTTGAACCACACGCTCAGCCCTCCTCCGCAGCTGCAGACTGTCCACAGGACCCAACGCACATGCTGCTGCTGTCTCTTCCTCTTCCTCCTCCTCCTGCTGCCGCTGCCCTTTTTGAACCACACGCTCAGCCCTCCTCCGCAGCTGCAGACTGTCCACAGGACCCAACGCACATGCTGCTGCTGTCTCTTCCTCTTCCTCCTCCTCCTGCTGCCGCTGCCCTTTTTGAACCACACGCTCAGCCCTCCTCCGCAGCTGCAGACTGTCCACAGGACCCAACGCACATGCTGCTGCTGTCTCTTCCTCTTCCTCCTCCTCCTGCTGCTGCTGCCCTTTTTGAACCACACGCTCAGCCCTCCTCCGCAGCTGCAGACTGTCCACAGGACCCAACGCACATGCTGCTGCTGTCTCTTCCTCTTCCTCCTCCTCCTGCTGCCGCTGCCCTTTTTGAACCACACGCTCAGCCCTCCTCCGCAGCTGCAGACTGTCCACAGGACCCAACGCACATGCTGCTGCTGTCTCTTCCTCTTCCTCCTCCTCCTGCTGCCGCTGCCCTTTTTGAACCACACGCTCAGCCCTCCTCCGCAGCTGCAGACTGTCCACAGGACCCAACGCACATGCTGCTGCTGTCTCTTCCTCTTCCTCCTCCTCCTGCTGCCGCTGCCCTTTTTGAACCACACGCTCAGCCCTCCTCCGCAGCTGCAGACTGTCCACAGGACCCAACGCACATGCTGCTGCTGTCTCTTCCTCTTCCTCCTCCTCCTGCTGCCGCTGCCCTTTTTGAACCACACGCTCAGCCCTCCTCCGCAGCTGCAGACTGTCCACAGGACCCAACGCACATGCTGCTGCTGTCTCTTCCTCTTCCTCCTCCTCCTGCTGCCGCTGCCCTTTTTGAACCACACGCTCAGCCCTCCTCCGCAGCTGCAGACTGTCCACAGGACCCAACGCACATGCTGCTGCTGTCTCTTCCTCTTCCTCCTCCTCCTGCTGCCGCTGCCCTTTTTGAACCACACGCTCAGCCCTCCTCCGCAGCTGCAGACTGTCCTCAGAACCCAACGCACATGCTGCTGCTGTCTCTTCCTCTTCCTCCTCCTCCTGCTGCCGCTGCCCTTTTTGAACCACACGCTCAGCCCTCCTCCGCAGCTGCAGACTGTCCACAGGACCCAACGCACATGCTGCTGCTGTCTCTTCCTCTTCCTCCTCCTCCTGCTGCCGCTGCCCTTTTTGAACCACACGCTCAGCCCTCCTCCGCAGCTGCAGACTGTCCTCAGAACCCAACGCACATGCTGCTGCTGTCTCTTCCTCTTCCTCCTCCTCCTGCTGCCGCTGCCCTTTTTGAACCACACGCTCAGCCCTCCTCCGCAGCTGCAGACTGTCCACAGGACCCAACGCACATGCTGCTGCTGTCTCTTCCTCTTCCTCCTCCTCCTGCTGCCGCTGCCCTTTTTGAACCACACGCTCAGCCCTCCTCCGCAGCTGCAGACTGTCCACAGGACCCAACGCACATGCTGCTGCTGTCTCTTCCTCTTCCTCCTCCTCCTGCTGCCGCTGCCCTTTTTGAACCACACGCTCAGCCCTCCTCCGCAGCTGCAGACTGTCCTCAGAACCCAACGCACATGCTGCTGCTGTCTCTTCCTCTTCCTCCTCCTCCTGCTGCCGCTGCCCTTTTTGAACCACACGCTCAGCCCTCCTCCGCAGCTGCAGACTGTCCTCAGAACCCAACGCACATGCTGCTGCTGTCTCTTCCTCTTCCTCCTCCTCCTGCTGCCGCTGCCCTTTTTGAACCACACGCTCAGCCCTCCTCCGCAGCTGCAGACTGTCCTCAGGACCCAACGCACATGCTGCTGCTGTCTCTTCCTCTTCCTCCTCCTCCTGCTGCCGCTGCCCTTTTTGAACCACACGCTCAGCCCTCCTCCGCAGCTGCAGACTGTCCTCAGAACCCAACGCACATGCTGCTGCTGTCTCTTCCTCTTCCTCCTCCTCCTGCTGCCGCTGCCCTTTTTGAACCACACGCTCAGCCCTCCTCCGCAGCTGCAGACTGTCCTCAGAACCCAACGCACATGCTGCTGCTGTCTCTTCCTCTTCCTCCTCCTCCTGCTGCCGCTGCCCTTTTTGAACCACACGCTCAGCCCTCCTCCGCAGCTGCAGACTGTCCACAGGACCCAACGCACATGCTGCTGCTGTCTCTTCCTCTTCCTCCTCCTCCTGCTGCCGCTGCCCTTTTTGAACCACACGCTCAGCCCTCCTCCGCAGCTGCAGACTGTCCACAGGACCCAACGCACATGCTGCTGCTGTCTCTTCCTCTTCCTCCTCCTCCTGCTGCCGCTGCCCTTTTTGAACCACACGCTCAGCCCTCCTCCGCAGCTGCAGACTGTCCACAGGACCCAACGCACATGCTGCTGCTGTCTCTTCCTCTTCCTCCTCCTCCTGCTGCCGCTGCCCTTTTTGAACCACACGCTCAGCCCTCCTCCGCAGCTGCAGACTGTCCTCAGAACCCAACGCACATGCTGCTGCTGTCTCTTCCTCTTCCTCCTCCTCCTGCTGCCGCTGCCCTTTTTGAACCACACGCTCAGCCCTCCTCCGCAGCTGCAGACTGTCCTCAGAACCCAACGCACATGCTGCTGCTGTCTCTTCCTCTTCCTCCTCCTCCTGCTGCCGCTGCCCTTTTTGAACCACACGCTCAGCCCTCCTCCGCAGCTGCAGACTGTCCTCAGAACCCAACGCACATGCTGCTGCTGTCTCTTCCTCTTCCTCCTCCTCCTGCTGCCGCTGCCCTTTTTGAACCACACGCTCAGCCCTCCTCCGCAGCTGCAGACTGTCCTCAGAACCCAACGCACATGCTGCTGCTGTCTCTTCCTCTTCCTCCTCCTCCTGCTGCCGCTGCCCTTTTTGAACCACACGCTCAGCCCTCCTCCGCAGCTGCAGACTGTCCTCAGAACCCAACGCACATGCTGCTGCTGTCTCTTCCTCTTCCTCCTCCTCCTGCTGCCGCTGCCCTTTTTGAACCACACGCTCAGCCCTCCTCCGCAGCTGCAGACTGTCCTCAGAACCCAACGCACATGCTGCTGCTGTCTCTTCCTCTTCCTCCTCCTCCTGCTGCCGCTGCCCTTTTTGAACCACACGCTCAGCCCTCCTCCGCAGCTGCAGACTGTCCTCAGAACCCAACGCACATGCTGCTGCTGTCTCTTCCTCTTCCTCCTCCTCCTGCTGCCGCTGCCCTTTTTGAACCACACGCTCAGCCCTCCTCCGCAGCTGCAGACTGTCCTCAGAACCCACAGCAGGGGGTAGCCGGGCGACGAACAGACGATGTGCCACGGCGAAAGCTGCGAGACAGGTGCGACCGATGGTGCGATGGAGCCGGAGGAGGATGAGGATGAGGAGGAGCAGCGAGGAGGAGAGGAGGAAGGGTAGGTTTCGGGAGTGCGGGGAGGAGAGGGGAGGTAGCATCTGGTGCAGGCGGGCGGGGAGGGCTGCCACCTGAGTGGAAAACACAAGCCTGCAAAAAAATGGGCGGAAGGGGATGAGCGGTTACTAGGCAAATAGGGCCAGAAACAGGGTTCGGAAAAGAGGGGAGATTTATGAGTGGTGAATGCACGGTTTAAATCAAGCAACAGACCCACCTGGCTTTATCCAGTGCGTTTGAGTTTGAATTTGAAACTGGTTCAGCCACCGATGATGATGTCCGTGACAAAGAGCCTTGCTTCTGCGTTCCACCCTTCCCACCACCATCACCTAACTGCTCCATATAGTCACCATCCTTCTTCATATTGTCACCCCTTCCTTTCCCCTCGCTTTTCTCCTCATCCAGCGTCTCCCCAAATCTCCCTCCTCCCCCTCCTCTCCCCTTCCGCCCACCCGCTCTCCTCCTCTCCACGCGCCTAGCAGTCCAAGAAAATCCATCCTCCCTGCTGCTGCTGCTGCTGCCGCCGCTGCCGCTGCTGCCGCCGCTGCCACCGCTGCTGCTGCTCTCTATCCGGCTCGTGAGAATCAATCTGCGTCGTCCTCCGTCAACTGTCCTTGACAGTGGCGTTCTGTGGAGTCCGCCTACTGAGAAGGTCGAGGCCAGAGGATGGCGCACGCTGCAAAATATGGGCGCAGGCCATCGGCGCGCTGTGGCGGCGGCAACAGTAGCAACCACGCTACTAGCAGCCATGCTACTAGCGGCCAGGCTAGTTGCACAAGTGACGCCTAAACGAGCGCTACAAGGCGGGTGATGAGCCATGCTCCGTCAACGATTCAACGCCTTGAATCTGATCCACAATCACGGCTGAACCCAATCACGGTTGAATCCAATCACGGCTGAACCTTGCACCGATCTGGAATCTGTGCAGCCACGATCCACGGCTGGCGGATCTTTCGGGGAGCCGTCTCCAGCCCCGCGCAGAAGAGCTTCGCAGCGACGCACGTAAGACCCACTTATTATGAAGAGAAGGCTTCAAGTCAGGAGGCGGCATAGCAGAAGCTCGATCCCTCTCGATCCCTCTCGATCCCCTCTCGATCGCTCGATCGCTCGAGCGCGAGAAAACTCGTCCGACTTGCCGCCCCACGTATCCCCAGTAGCGCGGATAGAAGCGACCCGTAACTCCCACCGCATGTGTCTTTCCCTCCCCCGCCATCTCCTGTCCGCCCATTCGAGCTTCCGCCCATTCGAGCTTCCGCCCATTCGAGCTTCAGGTCTCCTCCGCGCAAAGTTTCCACCCGTCCCGCAAATAGCGGCCACGACGTGGCGCAGGAGGGAGACGCGACACTGCAACACATTTGAAAGCGGCGCGCCACGTGGTAGATGGCGATGGTACGTGCAGTTGGCGTCGGCGTGCATGGCATGACCGGTGCCCGTGCGCGGAATTGACATGACAGACGGGATGGTAGCGGTCGTCAGGGGCCTGTGCCCCCGGGAGATGGAGGGACAATCTGACGTAGATAGGGATTTGGAGGGGCGAATTCTACATGACGCGATGGAGGCATGGACGCGTTAGAGAGAATCAAGGCTTTTTTGCTACAGTCGATACGATGTCGAGATGAGTAGGTAAAATAAAAGTTTGACTAATACCATTATAGGACCCAATGCTTTAGTGCTATTAGTCTCTTCTTAGAGCCAAGGCAACACAACATCTGCACAAAACAAATAATCATATTACGTTAAAACAATGCTGTTTGCAGCGAGTTTTGATCGAGCTGCAATGGCTAGATTCAAAATGGAGTAATCTTGAGTCAAATTGGCATGGCCATTAGCATCATTCAGCAAGGAAAACTCGCAAGTGCTCCGCTCCTGTTCAACAATCCCCCGGAAGTAGTTTATGCGAACACTTCCTGTCGGTGCAATGTACCCTCCAGGCTCCGCATTTAGTACTCTGCACAAGCGCCACACACACCACACGAGAATCAAGAGGCAACTATAACCACATGATAAGAATTGGGCTCTCATGATGCATCGACAGACTTGGCCCCAGTCAAAGGAAGGAGCTTCGAGATGCCGCCATCTTGTATTATAAGTTGTCTTCAGCATTGATGATTTGATTCTGACAAAGTCAGACGGCAGCTGTACGCCTCATTGCTTGTTCTACTCACCGATTGCTTTGAACCACGAGGGTTCTGCGAGGGTTGATGGCTTCCGAGTCAACTCAAAGCGCTTGCACTCATAACTCACCAGTTGCTTTGAATCACGAGGATTTTGCGAGGGTTGATGGCGAACTTGCGGAGCCCATCGGCCTTTTGGCACACGGTCCTATCGACTCAACTCACCGGTTGCTTTGAATCACGAGGGTTTTGCGAGGGTTGCTAGCAAACTTGCGGAGCCCATCGGCCTTTTGGCACACGGTCTTGTCGCTGTAGCTGCTGTTCTCCCGGCAGTAGGGCTCCGGGTCCCGATACACCATCCGCTCCACCGCCCACTCGTCCCCTTCACTGCACGCGTTGTTGTGGGGATGGAGGAGATATCAGCTTTCAATGAGTACAGTAGAAAAGAACAAAGGCAAAAACGAAGAAGAGAGCACGCGCAGGAAGCCAGTCCCACCTGATATCGGGCAAGGGAGCGCAGCGATCCACAGAGAAGACAAAGCAGCCGAAGCTCACCCACGTCCACCCCTCCTCGCCCTGCCCCTGCCCCTGCCCCTGCCCCTGCCCCTGCCCCTGCCCTTTCCCATCAAGGAATGCTAGTAGCGAAAGCGCCTTGCTGCTGCTGGGGTCTGCCAGGAGCCCTCTGGGGAGGGTGGTATCTGCGGCAGCAGCATCTGTGGCTGTGAGAGTGGTGGAGGAAGAAGAGGACGTGGTGCCATATGTGGGGATACTGCTGCCGCTGGTGGTGGTGGTGGTGGTGGTGGTGGGGTAGTGTTTGGTGGTCAAGGGGTGCGGGATGGACATGTACTGGTCGAAGTCAAGGAAGAGCGTCCACTTGGAGAGGTGGCGCGTGCGGAAGATGCAGTCATTCATCGCCAGGAGCTGCAGGAGAGGACGAGCGGGGGACAAGAGATGCAGGGGTGGGAGGGGGCGTTGGGGGAAGCAAGGGAGGGGAGATGAGAGGGAGGTGCGGGGAAGAGAGAGGTCCACTTGAAGAGGTGGCGCGTGCGGAAGATGCAGGCGTTCATCGCCAGGAGCTGCAGGAGAGGAGGGGGGGAATTGAAAAGGGAGGGAGACCATGTGAATGGAGAAGCACGGGATGGGAGAGGGAGGGAGGGAGGAGAGGGGAGAGCGGCCACTTGGAGAGAAGGCGCGGGTGGAAGATGCAGTCGTTCATCGCCAGGAGCTGAGGGGGGGAGAGGGCGGGAGGGGGACAAGAGGTACAGGGGTGGGTGGGAGGGGGACAAGAGGTACAGGGGTGGGTGGGAGGGGGACAAGAGGTACAGGGGTGGGTGGGAGGGGGCGCTCAGGGGAAGAAGAGCGTCCACTCGGAGAGGTGCCGCGTGCGGAAGAGGCAGTCATTCCTTGCCAGGAGCTACAGGGGGAGTAGTAAAGAGACACAAAGCCAGACACATGAGCAAAGGAGGGCAACAGACGTAGAGATTCCCACACATGCCTGTGCACGCACGCACACACACAGCACATACAAACACAGCACATGATTTAGGAGGGGGGGGGGGGAAAAAAGCCTACCCACCTGTGCATGGTGGTAGCTCTCAAACCGGGCGGCCTCTCTGAGATCCACGATCTGCACTGTGCCGCCCTCCAGCAGCGAGTGCAGGGCGTGTCTCAAGGCAGTATCCACCCCCCCAGCGTCGTAGAGCAGGAAGAGGTCCACGCGGTGAACAGTGCCGTGGAAATCCACCCACTGCCGCACGCGGTCGGCGTGCGTCGGCTCGTATAGCGGCGAGGAGCAGTGTGTGAGGGCGTGGCTGGAGGTGGGGGAGGGGGAGTAGGGGGGGGAGGAGGGGGGAGTAGGGGCAGGCAGTGACTTTTTGGAGTGAGTCAAGAGACACCTGGCTAGTATGGCGGCGAGGGGCAGTGCATGAGGGCGTGAGGGGGGGGGGGTGGGGGAGGGGAATTAAGGGAGTGCTGGGGAGGGCGTGGGGAATTAAGGGAGTGCTGGGGGGGTGGGGACTGCGTGAGGGCGGGGCCGGGGGGTGGGGGAGGGGAATTAAGGAGGGGGCGCTGGGGGACGCAGGAGTGAGGAGTCTATTTTTGAGGCGCCTCAAAAGGAGGGGGTGCTGGGGGATGCAGGAGTGATGGAGGTGCAAGAGGGCAGAAAAGTGGGCTTGGCTGGCTGTAGAGGTGCTTGGGGGGGGATAAGGAGGGGGTGCAGGAGTGACGGAGGTGCAAGAGGGCAGAAGAGAAATGGGAGTGGGGCAATGAGTAAGCTATCTTAGGGCAAGTCATGGGTGCGCATGGCGTGTGGCAGGCAGGTCGTGCCCTGGCTCCTTCACCATCACCACCACCAGCGCCACAAAACAGAAATTTATATATACATATGTATATATATACATATATATATATGTTGCTAAGAGGAAACAGCATGTGATACTCACGGGAAGCCATGGGTGCGCATGGCGTGTGGCAGGCAGGTCGTGCCCTGCCCTGGCTCCTTCACCATCACCACAGCCCCACTCTCTCTCTTACACGAGCTCATGTGTGCTGCTATGTGACAAACTGCTGGTTCCGAAAATCACACATGGTATCGACTCACGGGAAGATTTTTGAGGCGCCTCAAAAATCAGAAAATCACACATGGTATCGACTCACGGGAAGTCGTGCGTGCGCATGGCATGCGGCAGGTCGTGCCCCGGCTCCTCCACCATCACCACCGCCTCCCGCCCATCCACCGCCATCACCAGCCGGCCGCCGGATATCGGCCCCGTGGCCTCCTTTAGTGTGCACTGGAAGATCACCGCCTCGTACCGCATCTTAAAGCCCTCCCCGGGGTAGTGCACAGCAACTGTGCCCTGTATTGACCCTGGGGGATGCTTGGCCCCTGACGTTCCTCCTCCTCCTCGTCTTTCCCCTTCCGCCCCAGTTGCTCCTGCTCCTGCTCCTGCTGCTCCTGCTCCTGCTGCTGCTCCGGCTGCTGCTCCTGCTGCTGCTCCTGCTGCTCCTGCTCCGGCTGCTGCTCCGGCTGCTGCTCCGGCTGCTGCTCCTGCTCCTGCTCCTGCTGCTGCTCCTGCTGCTCCTGCTCCGGCTGCTGCTCCGGCTGCTGCTCCGGCTGCTGCTCCGGCTGCTGCTCCTGCTGCTGCTCCTGCTGCTGCTCCTGCTGCTCCTCCTGCTACTCGTTCTCCACCTGTACCTTTTGCTGCTGCTGCTGCTGCATTACTTGCTTTGGCTGCTGCTGCACTACTTGCTTTAGCTGCTGCTGCTGTCTTCGGAGCCATTTGAGGCTGTTTGTTGCTACCCCCTTGCATTGTCTTACTCCCTCCCTCTCCCCGACCCTCCACTCCCCCACCTCCCTTGCCTGTGGCTTCCTTCAAAAGCTTACCACCCTTCTCAGGTACGCCAAGAGAAGCCTTACCACCCTTCTCAGGTACGCCAATAGAAGCCCTACCACCCTTTTCAGGCACACCACCCTTCGCAGGCACACCACCCTTCGCAGGCACACCGGCACTCCCTCTTTTGGCTCTTCCGCCTGCCTTCTCCTCCTCCCTCCTCTCCCCGCCTACCTTCCCTCCTTCCTTCTCTCCTCGATTTCCCCGCCCACTGCCCCCGCCTGCCTCGCGGCCTTTCTTTCCCTGTGCTTTCTGCTGCTCCGTCGCCCTCATTTCAGCCTCCTTTTCCGCATCCTTCTTCTCCTTAACCGCCTCTTCGGCAGATGAATGCACGAGCATCCCCTGCTCACGTCCCTTCTCCCCAGTCCCCCCCCCTTCCGCCCTCTTCCCACTTTCTCTTCCCTCCTCCGCTCTCCTGACCCCCTTCTTTTCCCAATGCACCACATGCGCCCTTTTCACCCCAGTCTTCCTCCCTTGCGCTGCCCTTCCCCCCTCCCCCACCCTTTTACCCTGTCCGCCCCCCTTGCCCTTCCCATCCCCCTTACCCTGTCCTCCCCCTTTACCACTCCCCTTAACCTGCAACAGGTGCCGAGAGACACCACGGGTACCGTGATTGCCACGTGTATCATGATTGCCACGTGTACCATGAGTGGAATGCGATGCGGGCAGCGTCGGCTCCCATCTGCCTAAACGCGGCGGGAATGGGCGCACGTGATTTGGGAAAGGGGGGCAGAAAGAATGGGAAGAGCAGTGAGGGGAACGTTCTTGAGACGTCTCGCCCCTTGCACCCCGCCCATTGCAGTGAGGGGAAGAGCAGTGAGGGGGAGAGCAGTGAGGGGAACGTTCTTGGGACGTCTCGCCCCTTGCACCCCGCCCATTGCAGTGAGGGGGAGAGCAGTGAGGGGAACGTTCTTGAGACGTCTCGCCCCTTGCACCCCGCCCATTGCAGTGAGGGGACGAGCAGTGAGGGGGAGAGCAGTGAGGGGAACGTTCTTGAGACGTCTCGCCCCTTGCACCCCGCCCATTGCAGTGAGGGGACGAGCAGTGAGGGGGAGAGCAGTGAGGGGAAGAGCAGTGAGGGGAACGTTCTTGAGACGTCTCGCCCCTTGCACCCCGCCCATTGCAGTGAGGGGGAGAGCAGTGAGGGGAACGTTCTTGAGACGTCTCGCCCCTTGCACCCCGCCCATTGCAGTGAGGGGACGAGCAGTGAGGGGGAGAGCAGTGAGGGGGAGAGCAGTGAGGGGAACGTTCTTGAGACGTCTCGCCCCTTGCACCCCGCCCATTGCAGTGAGGGGACGAGCAGTGAGGGGGAGAGCAGTGAGGGGAAGAGCAGTGAGGGGAACGTTCTTGAGACGTCTCGCCCCTTGCACCCCGCCCATTGCAGTGAGGGGACGAGCAGTGAGGGGGAGAGCAGTGAGGGGAAGAGCAGTGAGGGGAACGTTCTTGAGACGTCTCGCCCCTTGCACCCCGCCCATTGCAGTGAGGGGGAGAGCAGTGAGGGGAACGTTCTTGAGACGTCTCGCCCCTTGCACCCCGCCCATTGCAGTGAGGGGACGAGCAGTGAGGGGGAGAGCAGTGAGGGGGAGAGCAGTGAGGGGAACGTTCTTGAGACGTCTCGCCCCTTGCACCCCGCCCATTGCAGTGAGGGGACGAGCAGTGAGGGGGAGAGCAGTGAGGGGAAGAGCAGTGAGGGGAACGTTCTTGAGACGTCTCGCCCCTTGCACCCCGCCCATTGCAGTGAGGGGACGAGCAGTGAGGGGGAGAGCAGTGAGGGGAAGAGCAGTGAGGGGAACGTTCTTGAGACGTCTCGCCCCTTGCACCCCGCCCATTGCAGTGAGGGGGAGAGCAGTGAGGGGAACGTTCTTGAGACGTCTCGCCCCTTGCACCCCGCCCATTGCAGTGAGGGGACGAGCAGTGAGGGGGAGAGCAGTGAGGGGGAGAGCAGTGAGGGGAACGTTCTTGAGACGTCTCGCCCCTTGCACCCCGCCCATTGCAGTGAGGGGACGAGCAGTGAGGGGGAGAGCAGTGAGGGGAAGAGCAGTGAGGGGAACGTTCTTGAGACGTCTCGCCCCTTGCACCCCGCCCATTGCAGTGAGGGGACGAGCAGTGAGGGGGAGAGCAGTGAGGGGAAGAGCAGTGAGGGGAACGTTCTTGAGACGTCTCGCCCCTTGCACCCCGCCCATTGCAGTGAGGGGGAGAGCAGTGAGGGGAACGTTCTTGAGACGTCTCGCCCCTTGCACCCCGCCCATTGCAGTGAGGGGACGAGCAGTGAGGGGGAGAGCAGTGAGGGGGAGAGCAGTGAGGGGAACGTTCTTGAGACGTCTCGCCCCTTGCACCCCGCCCATTGCAGTGAGGGGACGAGCAGTGAGGGGGAGAGCAGTGAGGGGAAGAGCAGTGAGGGGAACGTTCTTGAGACGTCTCGCCCCTTGCACCCCGCCCATTGCAGTGAGGGGGAGAGCAGTGAGGGGAACGTTCTTGAGACGTCTCGCCCCTTGCACCCCGCCCATTGCAGTGAGGGGACGAGCAGTGAGGGGGAGAGCAGTGAGGGGGAGAGCAGTGAGGGGAACGTTCTTGAGACGTCTCGCCCCTTGCACCCCGCCCATTGCAGTGAGGGGGAGAGCAGTGAGGGGAACGTTCTTGAGACGTCTCGCCCCTTGCACCCCGCCCATTGCAGTGAGGGGACGAGCAGTGAGGGGGAGAGCAGTGAGGGGGAGAGCAGTGAGGGGAACGTTCTTGAGACGTCTCGCCCCTTGCACCCCGCCCATTGCAGTGAGGGGACGAGCAGTGAGGGGGAGAGCAGTGAGGGGAAGAGCAGTGAGGGGAACGTTCTTGAGACGTCTCGCCCCTTGCACCCCGCCCATTGCAGTGAGGGGACGAGCAGTGAGGGGGAGAGCAGTGAGGGGAAGAGCAGTGAGGGGAACGTTCTTGAGACGTCTCGCCCCTTGCACCCCGCCCATTGCAGTGAGGGGGAGAGCAGTGAGGGGAACGTTCTTGAGACGTCTCGCCCCTTGCACCCCGCCCATTGCAGTGAGGGGACGAGCAGTGAGGGGGAGAGCAGTGAGGGGGAGAGCAGTGAGGGGAACGTTCTTGAGACGTCTCGCCCCTTGCACCCCGCCCATTGCAGTGAGGGGACGAGCAGTGAGGGGGAGAGCAGTGAGGGGAAGAGCAGTGAGGGGAACGTTCTTGAGACGTCTCGCCCCTTGCACCCCGCCCATTGCAGTGAGGGGACGAGCAGTGAGGGGGAGAGCAGTGAGGGGGAGAGCAGTGAGGGGAACGTTCTTGAGACGTCTCGCCCCTTGCACCCCGCCCATTGCAGTGAGGGGGAGAGCAGTGAGGGGAACGTTCTTGAGACGTCTCGCCCCTTGCACCCCGCCCATTGCAGTGAGGGGACGAGCAGTGAGGGGGAGAGCAGTGAGGGGGAGAGCAGTGAGGGGAACGTTCTTGAGACGTCTCGCCCCTTGCACCCCGCCCATTGCAGTGAGGGGACGAGCAGTGAGGGGGAGAGCAGTGAGGGGAAGAGCAGTGAGGGGAACGTTCTTGAGACGTCTCGCCCCTTGCACCCCGCCCATTGCAGTGAGGGGACGAGCAGTGAGGGGGAGAGCAGTGAGGGGAAGAGCAGTGAGGGGAACGTTCTTGAGACGTCTCGCCCCTTGCACCCCGCCCATTGCAGTGAGGGGGAGAGCAGTGAGGGGAACGTTCTTGAGACGTCTCGCCCCTTGCACCCCGCCCATTGCAGTGAGGGGACGAGCAGTGAGGGGGAGAGCAGTGAGGGGGAGAGCAGTGAGGGGAACGTTCTTGAGACGTCTCGCCCCTTGCACCCCGCCCATTGCAGTGAGGGGACGAGCAGTGAGGGGGAGAGCAGTGAGGGGAAGAGCAGTGAGGGGAACGTTCTTGAGACGTCTCGTAAAAGTGGGGGCAGGAGGAATGGGCGGCGGGCGCCCACACGTGATTCGGATGAGGGGATAGGAAGGAGAAGAGCATTGACGGGAGAAGTGAGTAGAGAGATGAGAATGAGTGAAAGAGGGTGCGAGAGGTGGAGGAGGCAGGGGGCGGAGGGGGGAGAGGGAGAGAGTTGGGGGGGGGAGAGATAGAGAGTTGACGAGGAGGCATCATCACATCACCCAGCTCCAGAAATACTGAAACACAGCTTACCCGTGCACGCACCCCGCCCCTTGCACCCCACCATGCGCGCTATACACACATAGACAAGCTTGAGGCTGACGTCCCCATCACGCCACGTCACCTGCACGAGTTGGCACGTGGCAGCGAGTGCAGCGCCATGGGGGAGAGGCCGAGCACCACGAAGGACGACAGGTTCAGCCGGTAGCTGCTGTACAGCACGAAGCCCTGCAGCCCGTGGCCTGTGCTGACGTGGCGCCGCTTGATTGGCAGAGAGAACCGCTCCGCATCCTCGTTTAGAAGCTTTGCGACGTTCTGGTCAGCGTTGCACCAGAAAATTTGAGGGAGAGGGAGGGGGGAGGAAGGGGGTGGTGGAGTGCGGATAGGGAGAGAAGGGGTGGAGGGCGATGGGGATTGCGAGAAACGGGAGGAAGGGGAGGAGGGGAGAGGGAGGGGGGAGGTAGGGTGTGGTGGTAGAGTGGGGATTGGGAGAGGGGAAGAAGAGAGAAGGTGAGGAGGGCGATGGGGATAGGGGGAGGTTGGGGAGGGAGCGCCCAGTGGATAACAGGGGCGGCATGGGAACAAGAGCGTGAACAGTAGATGAGAATGACCGGGCAATAGACACATGAGATATGCAAGAGGGTGAGGACCTCTCAAGAAGTGCCGCACCATTCTCCAGCCAGGTCGTACCTTATCCGGGTCCTACATACTCCAGGTCGTACATTATCCAGGTCGTACCTTATCCGGGTCGTACCTAATCCGGGTCGTACCCTATCCAGGTCGTACCCTATCCAGGTCGTGCCCTATCCAGGTCGTACCCTATCCATGTCGTACCCTATCCAGGTCGTACCCTATTTAGGCCGTACAGTATCCACCTCCTACCTCTGCCTGAATGCCGTCTTCTCGTCGCCATCGTTGCTTAGCCGCGCTCCACAAGCCGCCTCTTTTCCGCCTAGACCGCCATGCCACGTCAGCAGCAGCTCTCGAGAAGGGATCCTGATCATCCGCGTCACTAATTCCTGGACCTGGCGATCTAAATGTTAATAGTGGGTGGAGGAACAGCAACGAGAGATTGGTAACGGCTAAGATAACTACGAGATGCCGGCTGCAGTCTCTTTTGTGCTCGGATCGCGTCGTCGAGCCGCGGCTTCCCAACGGCCCCGTCTTCGCTGGCGCGTTGGACCGCCATCTGCCCACATTTCCGCGGATGCCGGAATTTCGGGTTACATGAGAGAACATGTGACTACAACGACAAATTGCCCAGTCCTTTCAGGAAGTTTCTAGCGGGTCGACTTAGATTGTACGCACAGTGATTTGATTCCAGAAAAAACCCCAAGAAAAGCAGTTTGTCGATGCACTTCTCTCAAATTGCGACGAAGCGTTCTGGGTGACGCTGCCGTTGGATCAGTCAGCGATCAGAATAAGGAGCACATGGCTCCCTGATCCGCCTGATTCGGCCTCATGGCTTATTGCGAATGGTCGTGTGACTGGTGAGGATGAGTGAGGCTGCGGAGAAAGGATGAAACAGTTGGCGTCACAGGGTGGGTGAGGGCTAAAAGCTTGTGGTGAAACATGTCCTTATTGGGAGAGTCGAAATTGTATCTAGGTTTGTTTTTGCATGATAAGTGGCAAACCCGTTTCACTTCTTTTGCAGGAACAAATCACCACATGATAATTACGTGGCTTGCACAATGTCGAGAGTGATCATGTAACGAGTCATTTGAGCTGTCGAAAGTGACCATCTACGCGGCAGCATGGTATTGGTCACTCAATGGCACCTCGCACTAGAACTGAACGATGTTTTTTCGCTAGTTCACTTCCCTTTCCTCCCGCTGCTTGCTCGGGGGACTTGTCTTGTCACGTCACAGCCAGGGCTTATGCTAGGCCCTAGGGAGTTTCGGAGGGTCCCGAGATGGGGTCCAGAAGTACCCTGAATTTTCCGGATCCCAAGGAAATCTCACCCAGAATCCTTCCGAGTTCTCGCCATAGAAACCCTGCCAAAGGTCGTGTCAGTCATCTCCCATGTGTGCAGAGAACATGACTAGGCTGATTGGCTGAAGTCCTGAAATCGTCCAAGTACCTTTTGTGATTCCAGACGTGCCACCACGCTGTGGAATGGAAGTTCTCCTGACAGAGCTCCATGCTACGAGACTAGTTCGTCAGGTTTCATGAAAATAGTACACGGAATGGATCAGGATTTCAAGGAGAATCCAGTCGGGAACATTCATAGTTTCGGAAAATCCCGACCTGTTAAAATCCAGATTCGGGGATTAAACAACTCTCAATTTCTCGACATTTAGGGTAGCTACCCTTCTAGCGTAAGCCCTGGTCACAGCCCGAACCCAGCTCGACTGGACCTTCGATTGGCTACAGTCTTCCGCAGGAGGAAGTACACTGTGCATGTTGCTCACGAGGCGCGTCAGCAGACCTCCAGGGGAACTCCGCCCACCCGTTCATCCTACTGTACACGCACTCTCTGCAAGCTCCTGAAAAAACTTCGGCTCGACCAACACCAATTTCATGTCTGAAATTCCGTTGTTCCGAGCTTGGATGACAGGCTGATGTGTGCAGGCTTGTCCTCCGAGATCAGGCCAGGTCCTCCCAACAACAGTTTTTTAAATAAAGGACCACGAAACTTAGGCCTGGCTAGGCCACTATTTCGTGTCCAAATCGTTCGTTTACAACTCACTCCGCACGGTCTACTTTGGTGCGGAACGTTCCAAAGCGGTGAAGCGCGAGAAGCCTTCTCCATCACGTGGTATCTTACTGAAACGTGGTACACGAATAGTCCCTCGTAAACTTTTATAAATTTCAGGGTGTGTTGAATAACTACCGTTATATTTGCCGCTCGGTACGGTCATATACCACGAAACAGCAAGTCACATCACATGATCACATCGTCAGGTCACTATCACTTGCTGTTGGTGAGTGCCCAATGGACACGCACCTCTTGCCCTTTCGATTCTTCAGCCCATCTCCATCCAGCACAGCACAACCACCAGACCAAGGGGATCGAACGGCCGATAACTCTTCGTGGGGGGTGGTGGGGGAGACAACGGTGGGAGGGGAGGGAGGGGGGGTCTAGGCATCTTTGACATGCTGACGACGACAGGTAGGCAACGATGAGCATCCAACCAAACCCAACCCAACCTGGATCTGCAGTACTGAAGTTGTGGCTTTGCGGCGACTTTTCGCGCCCACTCCGCGCTCCGCCACCGTCTTTCACCCCGAGGATGCTTTTGCTTTCCCCCTTTACAGCACTCCCCCCAAACGCGAAAACCGAAACCCTCCGCTCCGCTAACTCTTTTCCGCCAGTCGGTCAGGATCCAGATCGTAGAGAGTCCGAAGCGCACAGGATGAGACGTTTGTCCTTTTTCGCATCCAGCAGCAATGCACTACCGTCCAAAGTCTGCTAATGCGGGGCAAACTGCACGAGGCGGTGGCGCGTGAATGGGGATGAACTGGGTTTCCGGCGTCCACAGTAAACGCAGCCCCCCCCACCATGCACACCACCACACAGCTCAATGATCGAGCCCCAATTCCTCCTCCTCCGCCTTCCCCTTTTTCCGCGCGATGGAAACCGCGGCGCGAGGTTGTGTTGGGGGGCCGTGGAGAGCTGAGATGGGTGGGACGGCCGTGACGCCACGGGGGGAATGGGGGGGCGGGCAAGAACACAAACCGGGGTCAGGGGAGATTCGATGACACCGAGGTGAGAGGGAGAGAGAGAAGGGAGACAGGGACAGTAGGCACAGGCGCGCAGGAAGAGCATGGGGGGATATGAAATTCTAGGGGGAGGGGGACTTTATGGCGGGTACTGTATTGTACTGTGCTGGATAGCAAGCACCAAACCAACCCCGCATCGAGGGGAAACGGAGAGGCCAGGCCAGCATAACGGAACGAAAGGGTGAACAGCATGGAGGGACGAGGGAGGGAGACTTGCTAGGGGGGAGAGAGAGAGAAAGGGAGAACAGCAGGGAGTCGATGGGGGGAGGGGATGGGGCTGGGGGGATGGATGAACGTGGATTGAGAGATGGTCGAAAGGGGAAGACCAAACCAGTGCTGATTGAACAAGACGGGTTGAAAATTGGGATGGATGGAACAGTCGAGCAGACAGACAGCAGCGCCCAGCAGAGGGCTGGATGGCAGCGCTGGAAGATTGGCCCTGGCTGAGCTGAGCTGCCTTCATCCCAACCCAAACTCGGAGGGGAAACCCAGCCCAAGCCAAACAGAGGATCGAAGAACCCAGCCAGTAGCAAACACAACCTCAGCCAAAAGCCACACCCAAAAGCCACAGCCATAACTCACAAGACAAGGAGCAATTTCTGAACCCACACCAGCCCAGCTCAGCCCAAGCACCTCAAAACTGCCATGCCATGGCAGGGAGCCGGTACCTGCACTGCGGCCTTAGAGTTCACGATGCGTACGCGTGGTATAATAGCTGTCGCTGGCGCCGCGTTGATTAATTCCCGAACCTCATGTACCAACCGCTCTTCCCGCAAAGTTTTTAATCTACACGGGAACCGCTAGATCCTTTACTGCCGCTCACATCCGCCTCCCCTGTCCACTTCTTCCATTTCCGTGCTCCTCTCCTTCATTTTCGGCTTCACACATACGGGTAGTAGCCTATCTGATTCTTCCCTCATCCATCGCCGTCTTCTTGCTAAAATGGCGTCGAATCGCGTCGATTCTTCGCGAGCGGGCAAACCGGAAAAGCCAGCGTCGATTGTGACAAAATCCCCTGGTCGAGCACGAGCGAATCGCGTCGCATCGAAGAATCGGCCGCCGCTGCCAGCGCTGATGCCTGACGCTCCTCCAGCCAAGAACGCGGTGATCGCCCAGAAGCCGGAAGCCGCGGGTGGCGGGGGAGAGGCGAAGCGCGTCCGCAACGGAAAGCGCGAACGGCCGTCATCTGCCAATGGCGCACCGGTGACGAACGGCAAGAAGAACGGCAAGGAGCCGGCGACGACTCAGAAGGCGGCTCCTGGGAAAACTGGTGAACTCGCGGCGACGGGAACGAAAGGGAAGGCGCCTTCTAATAAGGCGCAAGGCAAACGCCCTCTTGAAGGCTCTTCGGCGGAAGGAGCGACGACGAAGGCTCCAGCGACAGAGCACCGCTCAAAGACGACGAAAGAGCCGGCCATTGCGAAGGCTCAGGGTGCGAAAGGCTGCGACGGCGCGAAGCAGGCGGCGAAACAGGCTGCGACGTCGCCATCGTCGCCGTCGTCGTCGCCGGCCTGCCAGTCGGCTCAAGAGCGATCCAAGATCCTGAAAACAGTACGTCGTCTACCGTTAATGCCGCTCACTGGTAGTGTCTCATCCCTCTCCGCCACCGGAGGGGCTAGTCATTAGAGGCGATGCTCGGCTCGATAGAGGCGATGCTCGGCTCGATAGAGGCGATGCTCAAGAGCGTTTTTAGATCCTGAAAGCAGCACGCCTCGTACTACCGCTTTTGTTTCACCCCTCTCCGCCACGGGAGGGGCTCGTCGTTAGAGGCGATGCTCGACTCGTTAGAGGCGACGCCCAAGAGCGATTTTAGATCCTGAAAGCAGTACGTCCGAGCTGCTTATGACCAGCTCGACTCCTCGCCCCCATGTGTTATTTCTCCGCTTGAGATCTCAACGACGACACTGCGATTAGCCGTTAGTAGTCTCACATCACGAGGCGACGGCTGCTTAGAAGCAGGCTCGATGGCCCATAGTGTACCTCATTGATCTACTTGTATGGTTGCGCCAGGTCATCGTCAGGCATGCCGCTGCTCGTCCAGTTGCGTGCAGAGCGTACTACTTTCAAGACGTCTCAACATTTTTAGGACGTCCAAGTCGGAAAACCAAGGTTGCGCCATAGTTCGATAGCATCGTCAGACATGCCGCTGCTCGTCCAGTTGCGTGCAGAGCGTATGTTCCAAGCTTCTCGTTATCACGTCGCCCAGCTAGTGGGTCAAGTAGACGACATTCTTCAGCGTCGATCCTTCTGTGGCCATCCGTTCCTTCTCTGCTACCCGTACTCTGAGCGATCACTAGCTACGTCGGTCGTTGGATCTCTAGAAGATTCGCCGCGTGAGCTTGAACTAGACTAGAGTGTTCTTAAATTGCTTCCTCCCTTTCTCGCAGAGAGGAAGTGCCCAGATCTCAGGGCGGTCGTTAGCTAGAAGGGGCCCGGAAAATCAAATCTTCTAGCTGAGTCGATTGTCGAAGACGCTTGGAGGAGTAAGGAGGGGAACTTCTTAGCTTGCCGCGTTGGAATTTCTCGCTTCGCATCCGTCCTTTCTGCTGATAGTTTTCGCGCTGCTCCTCGCGTCCGTGGCGTCCTCGTTCCGTGACAGTTCTCTGCTGCCGTTCGAAGCTCCTTGCGCCGCTCCTTGCTCCGCTCCTTGCGCCGCTCATTGCGCTGCTCCGTGCTCCGCTCCTTGCTCCGCTCTTTGCGACGCTCCTTGCGCCGGTCATGGCGCCGCTCCTTGCTCCGCTCCTTGCGCCGCTCCTTGCGCCGTCGCCCACCCGCTATGTTTACCCTCGCAGCGGCAGCCTCACTTTTGTGTTCGCCTCCGTCGCACGTTACCCGTGTATCCTCCCCCGTGGCAAAGCGGCAGCCCAGGAGCCCCGAGGTGGTTTTCAAGCTCCTCAAAACTGCTGCCTTCCCTCACCTGCACTGTTCGCCCCTGTCCCGCCGTCCCGCTGCCCCAATGTCCCGCCGTCACACTGCCCCCCTGGCAGGCGCTGCTGAACATGGCGAAGCGGCAGCCAGAGAGCCCCGAGGCGGTTTTGGAGTGCCACAAAACTGCTGCGTTCTCTTACCTGCTCTGTTCGCCCCTGTCCCGCCGTCCCCCGGTCCCGTTCACGCACTGTCTCCCGCCTCGCAGGCGCTGCTGAACATGGCGAAGCGGCAGCCCAAGAGCCCCGAGGTGCACTTCTTCCTCGCGCTGCACTTCCTCCGCGACCACCTCCCCGCCAAGGTACGCGCGCACGGCTTCCGCCGCAGGTATGCGCGCAAGTCTTCCGCCGACGTATGCGCGCACGCTTCCGCCGAGTTACGCTCGCGGCTTTCCGCCAGCGCCATTCCGCTCATGGACGCGCGCACGTTTCCGCGTTCCAGGGGGGTATGCGCGCGCTCGCAAGCTCCTCTAGCCATTCCGCCAGACATTCCGTCAGCCATTCCGTCAGCCGTCCGCCAGCCATTCCGCCAGCCATCCGCCAGACATTCCGTCAGCCATTCCGCCAGCCATTCCGCCAGCCATTCCGCCAGCCATTCCGCCAGCCATTCCGCCAGCCATTCCGCCAGCCATTCCGCCAGCCATTCCGCCAACCATTCCGCCAACCATTCCGCCAGCCATTCCGCCAGCCATTCCGCCAAAGTACGCGCGTTATGTTCCGCGAGCGCCATTTTCTCGGGGTAGACGCGACTTGACTGGCAGGTATTCTCATGCGGACCAATCAGCCAAGAGATGCAAGGTCAGTGTCCCATTCTGCCAATGGCCGGTTCACCATCCTACCATGTGCCCTCCGTTATCCGCCATTGTCCAGGCATTGGCTGCGTTTGAAGCGGTGGCGGCAGCAGTGGGGGCTGCCAGAGGAGAGAATATCGCAAGCTAGGAGGGACATGCACTTGGTCCTTCTTTCCCGTCATGCCAATGGCCTCGCATTGACCCCACTCTCATTTCCTTCCTGCCCTCCCCTTTTCGGTGTCTTCCCGTCCCGTCATGTCATGTCGTGTCGTGCCGTGTCCCGTCCCGTCCCGTCCAGGCATTGGCTGCGTTTGAAGCGGCGGCGGCAGCAGTGGCAGCACTGCCAGAGGAGAGAATATCGCAGGCTAGGAGGGACCTGCATTCTGCTGCTCACCGCCACATGGCGCAGGTCCGTTGGCTGCTTACTGGTTCCTGATCCTCCAATTATTGGTTCCCTGTTGGACTCTGCATTCGTTTGCTTTGCTTTGAGCGCGGTCACTGGGATAATGTCCGACGGTCCGACAATTGTTGGCTCCCTGTTGGACTCTGCATTCGTTTGCTTTGCTTTGAGCGCAGTCACTGGGATAATGTCCGACGGACCGACAATTGTTGGCTCCCTTTTGGACTCTGCATTCGTTTGCTTTGCTTTTTAGCGGAGTCACTGGGATAATGTCCGACGGACCGACAATTGTTGGCTCCCTGTTGGACTCTGCATTCGTTTGCTTTGCTTTGAGCGCGGTCACTGGGATAATGTCCGACGGACCGACAATTGTTGGCTCCCTTTTGGACTCTGCATTCGTTTGCTTTGCTTTTTAGCGGAGTCACTGGGATAATGTCCGACGGACCGACAATTGTTGGCTCCCTGTTGGACTCTGCATTCGTTTGCTTTGCTTTGAGCGCGGTCACTGGGATAATGTCCGACGGACCGACAATTGTTGGCTCCCTTTTGGACTCTGCATTCGTTTGCTTTGCTTTTTAGCGGAGTCACTGGGATAATGTCTGACGGTCCGTTTGCTTTGGAGTGATGCAAGGATCAGCTTGTCCCCTCGTCTCCTCCCATTTCTCGCCTTTGTCTGCCTGCCCTGCAGTGTCATTTGGAAATGGCTATGCTCGCTGCACCCGGTGCTCCTTCTGATGCTGACCAACTCCAACACCAACACCAACACCACATCCCGATACAGCAGCAGCAGCTTGCGCAGCACTCAAAGGATGCGGATGCGTCTGCTCGGACCGTGGCAGCAGGGCAGAAGCAAAGCAGCTCCAAGGCGCAGGCCAAGGCGCAACCCACGGCGCAGCCAAAAGCACAAGCAAAAGCACAAGGAAAAGCGCCACCCAAGGGGGCGAAGAGGGGTGCAAAGGTGGCGCAGCAGCAAGCGCAGGCGAAGGGGGGGAAGGGGGGAAAGGGAGAGAAGGCAGGAGGGAGGGCGAGTGGCAACAGCACGCACAAACGGAAGCAGGAGGCGGAATCTGCTCTCGAGGCGCCGAGGGCCGAACACAGTATGCTCAGAGTGGCGGAGGGTGCCGACGCTAGTGGGAAAAGGAGGTTCGGGGGGGCGGGAGAGGGAGGTGGCTTGGAGGGTGTGGATGGGGAGGAGGGGAGTGAGAGGGGGAGGAAGAGAGTGCGGAGTGCTCTGGACATGTTTGCGGCAGTGGCTGACCTGGAGTCGAGGAAGGAGGAGAGGAAGGAGGAGGAGGGGAAGCGTGGTTTTGAGACGTCTCAAACCGAGGTGACTTTTGAGGCGTCGCAATTTGAGACGGCTGCCGATACTTCTATCGCTCTGGACATGTTTGCTGCGGTGGCTGACCTTGAGTTGAGGAAGGAAGAGAGGCGGAAGCAGGAGGGTCAGGGACAGGCCTCTGCCCCTGCGCCTATACAGACACGGAGTGGCCTGCCAAAGGGAGAGGCGGAAAGGGAGGAGGAAGAGATGGAGAGGGAGGAGGGAGGCGCTGGTGAGCAGATGGGGGGGGGAGTGGATGTGGAGTGCGGTGGGGATGGGTCAGAGGGTGGATGGGAGGATGTGCATAGAGGGGGGTGTGGGGAGGCATTTGTGGGGGAGGAGAAGGTGAGGGAGGAAAGTGTGGAGGAGGACGGAAGAGAGGTGGATGAGGAGGAGGAGGAAGAGGAGGAGGAAGAGAGGGAGGAAGAAGGTGTTGTGATTCGCAATGTGATGCGTCATTTGACGCTGGCTGCTGCAAATGATCGCTCTTCTGCCATCGCTGCTGCCACCGCCACCGCCGCTGCTGCTGCTGCTGCTGCTGCTGCAGATGGTCCGGGTGGTGTAGCTGCGGACGCGAATGGATCTGCAGCGCATGCAACTGGTATACCACCTGCTGCTGCTTCTGCAACTGCTGCTGCTGCTGCTGCAAATCACACGGAAGGGCAGACAGTGACAGACTCCGTTGCAGGAGTGGGTGCTGCGCTCACCAGTGGTGAGGTTGAAGCCAGCGGTGCGGGTGCCAGTGGTGCTCCAAATGACAGTGGTGCGCCCAGTGCCATTGTGGGTGTGAAGACACCACTGGCGGAAGGAGGAGGGATGGCTACTCTCAACCAACTGGCTGTCACGCTCTTGCTGTACGGCCGAACAGAGGTGTGTGCTCTTGCTGTACGGCCGAACAGAGGTGTGTGCTGTTGCTTGCTTCACTTCCTTACTTTCTCTCCCTCTATCAACTCATCCTGCTTAACCATTCTCCTTTCTCTCTGCGTCCCCTCACCCCGCGCCTCCCCCTCCCCTGTGTCTCCCCCTCCCTCGCGCCTCCCCCTCCCCCGCGTCCCCCACACCCTCGCATCTCCCCATCCCTCGCGTTTCCCCATCCCTCGCGTCTCCCCATCCCTCGCGTTTCCCCTTCCCTACGACTCTCGGCCTGTGCATTGCAGAAAGCCCTAGAGGTCCTGTCGGACCAGTTGGCACTCATTGGCCTCAGCAGAAGCGACGGTGGTGGGAGCCCCAGCACCAGCGCCACAACCCCTTCTGTCCCTTTTGACACAGACTCCCTTGCCAATCTTGCCGCGGCTCTGCTGCATGTGTACGTATCTTTGCACCATGTGCCTTTCTGTTCTCCTGCTGCACTGCACCGCATGCACCTTGTTATGCCTGTCGGTTTGAGTGTGTGTGCATGCCACCTGGCTTGCGGCTGGAGGCGGCAGCATGTCTGCAGGTGGTGCTGCAGAGGGAGCCGCAGCACCCTGCCGCTCTCTGCTCCTACTCCGCCCTGCTACTCGCCACATAGCATCATCCAACTAATACCCCACCCCACCCACCCACCCCCCCCCCCTCCCCGGCCCCTCTCTTCCCCCAACCAGAGGGAGGTACGAGGAGGCGGCAGCGTGTCTGCAGGCAGTGCTGCGGAGGGAGCCGCAGCACCCTGCCGCTCTCTGCTCCTACTCCGCCCTGCTGCTCGCCACACAGTGTGGCCACGGCAGGAAGGTTGGTCGCATGCAGCAGCAGGGACGGCAACAGCGGCAGCAGCGGCAGCACGAGGAGAAGGAGAAGGATCGAGCTCTGGTTGTTGGTGCTGATGTGACGGAGTCAGCAGCTAGTGAGGCAGCGGCAGCGGCAGCAGGGGTGTCAGCGCAGCAGTGTGCAGCAGCAGCAGTGCAGCTGCTGCCCAGTTGTGCCTTCCTCTGGTGCAACCTCGCCCATGCTGCCACCCGCACTGGCAGCTGGAAGCATGCCGCAACTTGCATGTCCCAGGTAAAACACTCGTAGATGTTTTTGAGAATTCCAAAAGAAGCACTTGCCATACCTTCTCCCTCTCGTTCCCCTTGTCGTCCCTTTTTCTTTACCCAAAATTCGGTGTATTCCCGATGTAAACCTGGCTTTATGGTTCCTTTGCAGGCTCTCAAGCTACAGCCCTCCAGCACGCCTCTTCGCTTTGCAGCAGCAGCCCACCGCATTGCCTCTGCGGCCGCCGCCCCTCTGCCGCTGGCCCTGGCCACTCGCCTCATCCGGTGCAGCGTTGAGGAGGTGGCGGACTTGCTGGGGGTGCCAGCACTGGCGTATGGGGTCAACGAAGTCAACGGAGTCAATGGGGTGAATGGGGTGAATCGGCTGCACCACCAGCGCGCACTGGCACATGTCCCCAAGTGGATGGCATGGGAGGTCGTGGCACATGCGCATGCTGCTATCGAGCGGAGGGCGCTAGAAGAATTTGTGACTAAACGGGGGGAGCTTGTGACAGAAGGGGAGGAGCTGGTGACAGTATCGGGGTGTGCTGTAAAGAGTGAGAATATGGAGGAGGCTGGGGTAGTGGAAGAGGAGGCAAAGGGTGAGGAGCCAAAGGGTGAGGAGGGATGCAAAGAGGAGGAGGGGGGGGGTGGGAGTGGGGAGGTGGTGGATGAGGAGTTGGCATGTGTTGTGGTGCAGGCAGAAGAGCTCAAGCTGGCAGCGTGGCAAAAGCAGGTGAGGGAGATGGGCTGCTGATAGGCAGGTTAGATACAGCGAGATATGTGGAGGGGCTTTGCTGTCCCACGCATCTTTCATAGTGGGTGTACGTGCTGCTTCGAAACACCCGAACGCTTAATGCTTGCATGCTGATTTGGCAGTCTCGTGATCCTCACCTCTCCTCTTCCTCTCGTCTCGTCCTCCCGCCCCCTCTTTTGAGTCGACTCAAAAGTCACCTCTTCCTCTTGTCTCGTCCTCTCGCCTCCCTCTTTTCAGGCGCTGACTGCAGCAGCAGGAGCAGGAGCAGGGAGCGGGGCCCATCAGCTGGCTGTGCATGCGCTGCACTCTGCGATTGAGTCGCGCTCTTTTGACGTGGGGGGTGCTGCTGAGATGAGAAATGATGCTCAAAAGGGAGGTGACGCTGTCATGGCACTTGAGCCTTCGTCCACGGTGCAATTTGCTACAGCTCGCTCGCATTTCCTCAGAGCTCTGGCAACTAACCAATGGTCCCCTGCCACGTGGACCTCTCTTGGTAAGTTCCAAAGCACAATGCTCGCTTCTGCAGACCAAGAAAGAAGCTGCTTCACTTGCATACTCGATTCGTACAGCCTTCTCTCGGTAGAACTATTAAGTGTCTAAGTGTTGACATGTGTGTGTTTCTTCTGCTCCCAACGCCCTATGCAGGCCTCTGCTTGCAGCTTTCGGGCCGCCTAGACGAATCCGAAGCAGCATATACCCGTGCGCTACACTGCTCACCATTGCACAGTGGCCCTCCCCCTCCTCCTCCCCCTCCGTCTGCTCCTCCTCCTTCTCTGACTCCTCCTCCCCATTCTTCCCCCCATGTGACCTGGGCCAACCTCTCTCTCCTGCTGCGCGCCCAGGGCCGCCTCTCAGACGCCCTCTCTGCTGCACACAGCGCCCTCCTCCTCGCCCCGGCGCACGCCCCTTCCCTCTGCAGCCTCGGCCTGCTCTCTGCTGCTGCTGGCCGCTGGACTGATGCCGCGGACGCCTTTCAGAGGGCTAGCCAGACTCTTGGAGGGTTTAAGGGGGGGTTGGAGGGAGAGGGAGTGGAAGCTGTGATGGAGGGAAGGGATGAGTTGGGAGAGGGAAGGGGTGGGGTGGGAGAGGGGTGTGGGTTTGGTGTTGGTGGGGTGGTAGAGGTGGATGAAGCTGTGAGAGAGGCTGTGAGGGTGAATCTGCAGGTGGCTCTCAAGTGGCAAGCGCGGGCGGAGGAGGGAAGACGGAAGGTTGAGAGGAAGAGGCAGGAGAGGGAGGAGAGAGAGAGGCTGAAGGCTGAGAGGGCGGCCAGGAAGGAGGCGAAGGAGGTTCAGAAGCAGCAGAGGCTGGAACGGCGGGCGCAGAAGGAACAAGAGAGGAAGGAAAGGGCGGCTAAGTGTGAAGAAAAGAAGGTGCAAAAAGAGCAGAAGAGGTGTGAGCGAGAACTGCTGCTTCAGAGAAGCAAGGAGCAGCAGAAGGTTCAGCTCCTGGCTGATTTTCGTACTTGTGGTGCCATGGATATCGCTCCTGCTGCCCCCGCTGCTGCTGCAGAAGCTGCAGCCTTGGGTGCTGCTCCGAAGGCCGCACTGATGGATCTGAATGAGATGTGCGATGATGAGGGAGATCTTTCTTCTTTGGGGGCAGTGACTGCTGAGGCAGCTGTGAGCGGTGCGGAGAAGCCCCGGGATAAGGGCGCGGCGTTGAGACCAACAGAGGAGCGAAGTGCAGAGCTGGAAATCAAGAAAGAAGCAGGGACGATAGTTGGGGGGGTCAAGGAGGAGGTCTCTGGAACAGGTTCAGCATCGCAGAGCAAGGAATACCAGTCCTTTGCACACAATGTTGCTGCGTCTGGATTTTCCTGGGAAGTGTTCAAGCTACCACGGCCTGTCACGCTCCCCTCAAATGGTGCCACGCTTCCCTCTGCTGCTGTGATCATGCCTTCTTTCGGCTCGGGTCAAACCTTCCAGCAGCAGCAACCACAGCAGCAGCAGTTGCAACAGCAACCACAGCAGCAGCAGGCACAGCAGCAGCAGCAGTGGCACCTGGGCCAACAACCGCAGCAGCAGCAGCAGCATCAGGTGTTTAGACCCAGCCAAGATATGGGTGGGATGCAGCAGTTAAGTCATGCAGGGTTTGGGGCAGAAAAGAGGAAGTGGGAGGCCAACGGGGTCTCGGGCAGGTTAAATGTTACCACCGGCGCCTACCACATGGCAGCTGCTTGCAGGAATGGCATGAGGGAAGCCGCACCTGAGGCTGCTTGGAAGACACGTGCATCTTCCGCAGCAGCTAACCCAGCACAAAGCAACCCAGCACTGAACAAGTCAGCACCAGCTAGCCCAGCACCAGCCAACCCAGCACCGGCCTACCCAGCACCGGCCTACCCCTCATCATCTGGTGCCAGCATGACGCCGAAACGCAGAGTATTGCTGGACCTGGAAATGCCAGCCTGTGAGCTCTCCGAAACGGGGAGTGGGGGAAACATGCCTCTGGGAGCGAGCACTCCCTGTGGAGGTAACAATCCTGGTGGAGGTAACACGCCTTATGGAGGGGCGATGCCTGGTGGGATGAATGCTCCTTATGGAGGGAGCACGTTTCCGGGGGGGGACAGTCACAGTTTTTACGGAGGTGGTAGTGCAGCCCTGGGGCATGCAGCACTGGGGCAGGAGGCTGGACAAAGGGCACAGCAACCAGAGATCACCTCGGATCAGGCTGCTGAGCATGTGGTGAATGCATTTCACGTGGTGCCTCGCAATGCCGGAGGCAGGGATGCAGGGTCGGACCGAAACTGCCTTCCTGACCTCAATGATTGGCTGACTGCCTCCTGACTGACAGCATGGTAGCTGGCGGCGAAACGTATGGATGAGCAACTGCTCCATGCTGCTGCTTAGGGAAGGTTGACCGAGCATTCCTAGATCAATAGGTTTGATCTTGTAATTAGGGCCCCCAGTCAGTCACCTACCTACCAGGTTCAAGATGTGATGGAAAAATCTTGCAAGATGGTTGGTTGACCTTCTGCAGTACCAGTAATTCAGGCAAGGATTGTTGACATCCTGAAATAAATTTAGCAAAAAATGGCTCTGGCTCCTTGAATCTTTAGTCACAAACGGCTGGCATGGCATGTCTTTCCAGCACTGGTAAATGTGTGAGCTGAGCACAAATGTCAGGTCAGGAGGAATGTTTCTGCCTTCACGGCATATCTTGAGCTCTAGAACATGCATGGGATGAGCATTGAGCACCATTATAGAGTGAGTTTGGACTGCACAAGGGTGCTCTGCCACGAAATTGCAAATTCTACTGCATTTTGCACAATGGTTAGTTGCAATCATTCAGGCCAAATGTGCAGGTAAGCTGAAACTGCAGAAACCCACATCTTGGCAAACATCCTGTAGCAACCATACGCATGTGCTGCTCAGCCACCAGTGGGAACAGAAACACCAGGATTCTTCACAGGGAGATTTAGTGGAGATAGCCAGGCATCTTGATCCGCAGGAACACCATGCTCATGGTGTAGCTGATAACCACCATGGACAGCCCGGTGCCCAGATAAACCAACCGCATGTTCTTCGTTTGCAGCTTGTCGCAAGCCCAGTCGATCAGGACAATCCCAAGGCCTCCCAGCACGAGCATGAATCCGGACGAAAGACCCTCAATAATATACTGCTGGTTAAGTCTTCCCGCCATAATAACCTCGGGAACGAATTTCCCTGTCGCCTCGTCCTGATGGCCGCCGATGCCGGGAGGTTCGACAATAACATCGAAGACGATTCCGGAAACGACGAGGAAATAGCTGAAGATAACGAAGCTGTAGACGACCATAGGATGGGGGAAAGAGAAAGTTGGGAGCTTTAGACGGAGCTTCGGCGGGCGGAGAATGGCGTAGGGAAGGCTGGTCAGGTGGAAGAACGGGTCTAGGGACGCCATGGTGACCAGAGCTAGCAGAAACAGACTAGAGGATCTGAACGAATTTACTCGAGTGAAGTCTAAAATTGGCTTGTTCCTCTCAGAGATGAAACAAGAGGCGACAAGATCGTCTTAGGGTTGCGGAGCATTTCATGATGAGACTTTATTATACATAAAATGTTTTATTTCCATCACAACAAACATTTGATTTTTATTTCACAAACTTGAAAAAAAAACCAGCCCGATCGATTGCAATAGGTTGCACTGCAACCCAAAAAAGGGGGTGGGTGACTTACGGTGTGGCTTACAGAGACCTCGGTTTTCGCAAGACGCAGAAATCAATACACGAAACGTTGGGTATTGTGAACTTCCATTATAAAATCATTTTGCTATACCTAGAAAAGGCTTACATAGCCAAGAAGGAACGCATAACTCCGCATGCAAAACATGTGACCAATTTCTTTTTAGCAATGTTCCAAGAAGGTCAAACCATCATAGATTCGGACGAACGCCTTGCATGGAGTGACCTGGTCAAGGGGATCTTGGATCACCAGAGAAGCTGCTTGGCGAGGGTGCGTTCGGGACATTGAACGTTGAGAGATGGTGGTGATGCTCCGGCCGATGCGATACCTCATAGTCCAGGTGAACGAACGCTCGTTCAATCTCTGGCAGCCGCTCCAGCTTGTTTTGGAGAGCCTCGCCTATATCGTGTGCCTCCTATCACGGGAGGAGAATCAACGTACAAGGGGATGAAGATGTTAACGAGTAAGGCATACCAATGTCCAAAGTATACATTACACCAAAAGGCTCAAGAACGACGAGCGGCACAAGGAAACACTCCCACCATCGTCTACAGTACCTTGAGTGGCATTTCTTCAGGCAGCACGACATCCACTTCAGTGAAGTATGATGCTCCAAAGGTGTACGCTCGGACGGTGTCAATGGCCAGGATCTCCCGGTGGTGGTTCCAGCACAGGTAAGTCAGCTTCTGCAGGAAGGCAGGCGGCGCCGTTCGTCCCGTCAGGGAGCGCACGTTCTCAAGCACGGTGCGGCCCCAGTTGAACATGGTGTAGAGGGCGAGCTGATAAAGGGCGGGAAGGCGGAGGGGGGCAGGAAAAGGGGGGAGAAACGGAGGAAAAGGGCACAGAAAGAGAGGAGAGAAGCAAGAATCACCAAAACATGCGCAGCGAGCTGAGGAAGAACTGTACGTGAGGAGATCGGGAAACAGAGAAAAAGGATTTGGAAGGTGAAGAGGAGGAGAGCCAGGGTTAAGGAGAGCCAGGGTTAAGGAGAGCCAGGGTTAAGGAGAGAAGGGTGGATGAAGAGAAGGGGACGTACGCCGATAGCCCCGACCGGGTCGATCCACCAGGCGTATTCCCCCGCCAGCACTGCTGCTGTGAGCCCCACCGTGTTGGTCACCACGTCCATCATGTGGTCCTGGCATGTGGGGGTGAGGAGTGGAGTGGGGTGGAGTGGCATAAGGGGCATGAACAAGCACACCACTGCTGCTGTGAGCCCCACCGTGTTGGTCACCACGTCCATCATGTGGTCCTGGCATGTGGGGGCGAGGGGTGAGTCGACTCAAAAGTCACCTCGTTACAATGTCACACAACACTTTTGAGTCGACTCAAAAGGCAGGGCAAATGCATTATGAGAGCCTACCAGAGCGCAGGCTTCCAGCTGAACTGTATCGTCAGAGAAGAGGCGGCAGTAGAGGTGTGATGTGAGGCAGGCAGCATACAGGACATGTGATTTTTTAGTCGACTCAACAATCGAGGTGGAAGTAGAGGTGTGATGTGAGGCAGCATACAGGACATGAAGCCCTGTGCAGCATACCAGCGCATAAGATCAAGCATAAGTCTGAAGCTTGTGCAGTCTTGTGCTCGAGGATACACACTGAAGCTTGTGCAGTCTTGTGCATCCCCCTACCAGAGCGTAGGCTTGCACACTATCGTCGGAGAAGAGGTGGCAGTAGAGGAAGAGGATGGCCTTGGTGCCGCAAGGGGTGTGCGGCACAGTGGGGCATGGGGATGCAAGGGGTGTGCGGCACAGTGGGGCATGGGGATGTAAGGGAGACACGTGCGCCCACCAGAGCGTAGGCTTGCACGATATCGTCGGAGAAGAGGCGGCAGTAGAGGAAGAGGATGGCCTTGGTGAGGATGACAAGACACATGATGCCCACATACACCGGCCACTTCTCAGGCAGGCCGGACTCGTGGTTCTGATGGGCGCACAAGGGGTGTGCCGCGTGTAGCGCAGAGGGGCATGGCACGGGGATGCAGGGGGTGTGAAACGGAAGGCAAGAGAAAAGTTTGTCACATACACCGTTGTGTACAGAAGCATGCCTCACTCCTCCTAGTCCTCCTCACTCGTGCCTCTCATGATGGCACAGGTGACAGGCATTTTTCATGATGGCACAGGTGACAGGCATGCATCACGATGGCACAGGTGACAGGCACGCATCATGATGGCACAGGTGACAGGCATGCATCATGATGGCACAGGTGACAGGCATGCATCATGATGGCACAGGTGGCAGGCATGCATCATGATGGCACAGGTGACAGGCATGCATCATGATGGCACAGGTGACAGGCATGCATCATGATGGCACAGGTGACAGGCATGCATCATGATGGCACAGGTGACAGGCATCCATCATGATGGCACAGGTGACAGCCATGCATCATGATGGCACAGGTGACAGGCATGCATCATGATGGCACAGGTGACAGGCATGCATCATGATGGCACAGGTGACAGGCATGCATCATGATGGCACAGGTGACAGGCATGCATCATGATGGCACAGGGGACAGGCATGCATCATGATGGCACAGGTGACAGCCATGCATCATGATGGCACAGGTGACAGGCATGCATCATGATGGCACAGGTGACAGCCATGCATCATGATGGCACAGGTGACAGGCATGCATCATGATGGCACAGGTGACAGGCATGCAGCAGAAACGGGCCTAGGCCCATTGCGGACAAGCACAACAGATGAGCACAAAGCATACTCACCGAGCCTGTGAACTACTCACCGAGCCTGTGAACTACTCACCGAGCCTGTGAACTACTCACCGAGCCTGTGAACTACTCACCGAGCCTGTGAAATACTCACCGAGCCTGTGAACTACTCACCGAGCCTGTGAACTACTCACCGAGCCTGTGAACTATTCACCGAGCCTGTGAACTACTCACCGAGCCTGTGACCTACTCACCGAACCTGTGAAGAACTCACCAAGCCTGTGAACTACTCACCGAATCTGAGAGCTTCCTGACTCCCTCTAGAAGAATTTGGAAGCCGAGAGACGCCATGATGGACGCAAACACTATGATGCCCTGCACGTGTGGCAAGGGGTGGTGGAGTGCACGGAGGGATGGGGGGAGAGGGGGAGAGGGGGAGAGGGGGAGAGGGGGAGAGGGGGAGAGGGGGAGAGGGGGAGAGGGGGAGAGGGGGAGAGGGGAGAGGGGGAGAGGGGAGAGGGGGAGAGGGGGAGAGGGGAGAGGGGGAGAGCGGGAGAGGGGGAGAGGGGGAGAGGGAGAGGGGGGGGGGAGGGGGGGTTGTTGGATGGAGGGATGTGGATGGATAGGCAGAGAGACGCGATGATGCAATGATGCGATGATGCACGTGGGGCAGGGCAGTGGAGGAGAGGACGGGGGGATGGATGCATGGGTACTGCCCCTATGGGTACACTGATATGGACGGACGGACAGGCAGCTGTATCAGTGTACGAGCGCGCTGGACGAATGAACGGACGGACGGACGGACGAGTGTATGAGACGAGCTGAAGCCGCAGCCCCTGCCGCCATTCTGTCTCCTTCAATGCTTGCCCCTACACACTCACCACTTGCGGCTGCATCCTTCCCTTACCAATTGAATACTTGTATTGGTGCACGCTGCAGTGTGGGTGCGCGGCGGTGCATGGTGCACTTGAGAACGCACCTAGGAGTCCACACACCCTGTCTTCTCTCCCTGCCTTCTCACCTTGTCTCCTCTCCCTGTCTTCTCACCCTGTCTCCTCCCTCTCATCACAACCATCACATGGTACTGTCTGTCGGCTGTTGAGTCGGAAAGGGTATTTATGCGAATTCTCAAAAATACCCAGCAGTGCATGGTGCAACGGATGCACCCAGGCCAGGAGTCCAACGGTGGCTGGTTTCAATCCTGTCGCACACACTCACTCACCAGCGGCTGCATCCGTCTCTTCCCAATTGGGTACTTGTACGGATTCTTCTTCCGCATGGCCCGCGCCGTGTACCAGAGGATGAACCCGCAGAGCAGGTCCAGGAGCGAGTCCAGCGTGGACGCCATGATGGCCAGGCTGCCGCTGACCACTGAGGCGATGATCTTGACGATAAACAGACACACGTTGGCGCCGTTGGACACCTGCATAGTTTGGATGGAGCCGGGGGGGGGGAGAAGAGGGGGGGGGGGTCAGTCGATCGAACGTGGTGTGGATGCCATAATGGCCTGGCTGCCGCTCACGACTGAGGCGATGATCTTGATGAGGCACACGTTGGCGCCGTTGGACACCTGCATGGGTGGGGTTGGGTTAACAAGGGGGGGGAGCAGATGGAGAGAGGAATGTTGGAGGCCAGGAAAGGAGACAGGCTGCCTTGAAGCTGGTGGTTGATTCAGCCGACCGAAACAGCTGCAGACAAGGTAAATGGCTTGAGCTCCCATGAAGTAAGTTCCTTCGTGAGAATTTCAAAAATACCAGCTTACTTTTAACAGACCGAAACTGCTGCGGACAAGGTAAAAGGTTTGAGGAGTCATGAAGTAAGCTCGTTCTTGAGAGTTTCAGAAATACCAGCGTAATTTTAACAGACCGAAGATGCTGCGGACAAGGTAAATGGTATGAGGTACCATGAAAAACAAGGCACCCGCCTGCGTCGCCTAAAATCATGCATGATGCTGCTGTACCGTGCAGCGCACCTGCAGGGTGAAGGGTGGGTACTAGGCGCCTGCACTTGTAACCCACATGTACAGACATGTCTGTGGGAATTGGTCTCTCAACTTGTAACGGTAACCCACCTGCACAGCCGTGAATTCGCTGCGATGGAGCCTCTGCGCCTCCCTGACCTCCTGGCAGGGGGGGAGAACGAGGGGGGGGGGGGGGGGGGGGGGAAGGGGGGAAGGGGGGAATGAGAAGGACGGGGGAGAACTGCGGGTGAATGGGGGATCCGCTTGTCAGGAGATGTAACGTATTCTAGGAGCTCCTGAGGTAGTGATACGAGCAGATGTAACGCTACGAGCAGATGTGGCGCTACGAGCAGATGTAACGCTACGAGCAGATGTGGCGCTACGAGCAGATGTAACGCTACGAGCAGATGTGGCGCTACGAGCAGATGTAACGCTACGAGCAGATGTGGCGCTACGAGCAGATGTAACGCTACGAGCAGATGTAACGCTACGAGCAGATGTAGCGCTGAAAGCAGAACGTAAAGCTATGGGCAGAGGCAACGTACGCTGGGAGTGGGCGGCAGCAGCTGCTCACTGAGAGCGTCCATCTCGCTAAATCCGTCAATCATCTCGTTCTGCTGCCGGTAGTATCCGTCCACGGGGTTCCGCCCACCCACTGCAGTACAAGGCGCGCAGAAAGAGAGCGGCGGGGAAGGGGGGCGGTGAAGAGGAATGAGGCGGACCTGGGAGGACACGTCACACCAGGAGGACACGTCACACTAGGAGGACACGTCATACTAGGAGGACACGTCACTCCAGGAGGACACGTCACACTAGGAGGACACGTCAGACAAGGATCATCTCGTTCTGCTGCCAGTAGTACCCGTCTATGGGGTTCCGCCCGCCCTCTATTCACCACAGCGCGCGGAACGAGAGCAGCGGGGAAGGGGGGTCAGCGGGGAAGAAAGGGAGAGGAAGGGGGGAGGTGACTTTTGAGTCGACTCAAGAGACACCCTGGAAGTATCCGTCCAGGGGGGCCGCCCGCGGAAGGGGAGAAGCGGGCGCAGAATGGGGAGAAGCGGGGAAGAGAGGGGGGATTGAGGGAAGGGACGAGAGGGACGTGGGGAGGATGCTAGCATGGGCGGGAGGATGATGCAAGCATGAGTAGGATGTCGAAGTGTCATGGATTACATGCGCTTTGCGGCGCCACAAAACGTACGCCGCACAAATCGTACGCCGCACGAAACGTACGCCGCACAAAATGTACGCCGCACAAAACGTAAGCCGCACAAAACGTACGCCGCACGAAACGTACGCCGCACAAAACGTACGCCGCACAAAACGTACGCCGCACGAAACGTACGCCGCACAAAACGTACGCCGCACAAAACGTACGTCCCACAAAACGTACGCCGCACAAAACGTACGCCGCAGAAAATGTACGTCGCACAAAACGTACGCCGCACAAATCGTACGCCGTACGAAACGTACGCCGCACAAAATACTCCTCGCATTTTCCATGCTCCTCAAGCTCCCTTGCTACAACTCACGCCTCGGCACTCGTTTCCGCCCGCCGCAGCTGAGATCCTCGCGCCCGCTGACTGCTTGCATGTTGTTCATGCGCCTCGCAGCCATTCATAGCCTGTGATCCATCTACTACGACTCGCCGCCATTCATACTTACATTTTCGTGCTTCTTCTAACCACGACTCACGTTTCAGCATTCGTTTCCGCCCGCTGCAGTTGAGGTCCCTCCGCGCGGGCTCGAACTGGCTCACGACCAGCTGCCGCTCCTCGCGCTCTCTCCCGCAGGCTCCCCGCATTATACGTCCCTCAATCCTAAGTACAACTCACGCTTCAGCATTCGCTTCCGCCCGCCACGGATGTGGCTCACGACCAGCTGCCACTCCTCGCGCTCTCTCCCGCAGGCTTCCCACATTATACATGCCTCAATCCCAAGTACAACTCACGCTTGAGCATTCGCTTCCTCCCCCGGCTTTCGTTGAGGTCTCGCCGCGCCGCCTCGAACTGGCTCACGTCCAGCTGCCACTCCTCGCGCTCCCGCTGGCTGCTCGCGCGGCTCGTCGACTCCAACGGTATTCCGTCGTCAGACGGTTCCGACGCGCTGAGCTCCGCGCCGCCATCCACTGACGATCCCTTGGCAATCAGCGTCGACGCTCCTCCTCCCCCTCCCCCTGCGTCTTCCCCTCCTCCGTCATTCGCGACGCCAGTTTCGGCGGGCTCCACGTCAGCATCATCGGCGAAACGGACTGAGCTCGCCTGCTGGTGCTTTTTCTCCGATGACGTGGCTTGGACGCTGACATGGCTGCGAGCGGATTTTTTACTGTAAAGGACGTGACAGTAGGGGGAGGAATGGTGATTGTAAGGGCGGCTGCTTGAACGAGAGGTGCCGCAGGTGGACTTCCAGTGGCGGTTGGAACTGCGGGGATGGCAGTCGAAGGTTCTGACATCGCGGCTCCTGCCACGTTCGGTGCTCCCGCCGCTGGTCCGCTTGATGTCATTCGGGTTGTTGAGCTAAGATCACAGATTTCTACGGCGGTCTAGTGTCACACCACAGAGCACTGTTGATCTTGTGAAGGATTTCTGTAGCAGGTACAAGGCAGTGAAGGCTTGGTTCAGCAATGGGAGTAGAGTTGTGCTCGTTGATTTCACTCTGAAATTTTATCGCTGAAATCTCCAGTAGAATGAGAGTAACTTGATGCGAGGGCTGGAAGAAGTGGAATCGGTAGGCGAAGACCTGCGACCTCGCGAAATCCATATTGAGGACATGCAGACCCAACGTTGCGATTTCGCGAAACCCAATGCGACTGGGGGGTGGAAGGCGCTTACTTCCGCCCTTCCCTGCTTGCCACTTCCCTTCCGTGCGGTTCCATCCATGTACGCGCGACTTGTGTGGTTGGTCCCTCCCCTCCCCCCCCCCCCCCCCACCCAGTCTTGTGTGGTGAGCGCGTGTGCACAGCGCAAACAGTGAATGCACGCTCGTGCGCGACCGCTTCCCCCACAAGCTTCCTGCATCGATACGCCCTCTGGTCTGGTTGCTGTGCTGGTGTGCCTGCATCCCCCCGCTCCCATCTACCATGTCATCCTGCCAGCCTCGGATGCAGCACAGTGAACTTTCTTCCTGGGCAGATAAATGAGGCGCAAGAAACCAAAGAAGCACCAATGGGAGGCAGGCATGCCGGATAAATTTTCAGCCGCCTGTCTTGACCAGTCGGAAGTTTTTTTCACAGAACAAGACGCGTCGCAGGTGAGACGTAACAGCGAAGCTGGAAACAGAATCCAAGCTTGTCGCCCAAGCTTTCGCACACCTCGAACCTGCTGCGTGCTGTCGCGTGTGGTTGGCTGCTAGCAACCCCTCCATCAGAATCTTCGTTTAAAACTCAATCGCTGCCATGTAAATCAGCTTTGCCTTTTGCGAGACGGTTATAGAATGTCAGATGGATTGTGGTGGATGTAACAACCAGATGTCTTATGTTATGAATAATAACTGAGAGTGCACGGAAATAATAATCACGAGTACAAGAATGGTAGCCTTGCATTATATAGCGAGAATTCTAGCTAGGCGACGAGCACGGAGGGCTAGGTTGGGCACAGGCGCGGTCGAAAGGGCCGGAGGCGACGCGAGCCAGCCTTGGGGTCGTGTCGGAAGCGGACCGAACCTGGTCTTCCGGAAATTCGGGTGTACGTAATATTTCGGCGATGAAGGTCGGTGTATCGTCGAGCCATAGTGTTGGACTTCCGAATAAATTCGATCGATTTTTCCCGGGCGGTCTGGAGGTCGTTAACGAATTGCTAGGATTGGGGTACTGGGTTGTCGATGTTGGTCGTTGTGGGAACGGTGGGATCCATCCCGTAGTTGAGGAAAAACGGTGAGTGATTTCTTGTTGCGGATGGGGCATTGTTGTAGGAAAATTCCAGCATGGGCAGGAATTCTTCCCATTGGGCGGGGTCGGGGCAGCTAGTGCGTATCAGCTGCTCCATGGTTTGATTGGTTCGCTCTGTCTGCCCGTCGGTTTGTGGATGGTAGGCAGACGAGAATTGTAGGCGGGTGCCGTACTGTTCCCATGTCTCTTGCCAGAACTTGGACGTAAATTTGGGATCGCGGTCACTGATGATCGCCGATGGGAGGCCGTGTAGACGAACAATGGTGGAGATGAAGATTTTAGCAGTTTCTTAGACTGTGATGGTCGTGCGACAGGGTGCGAAATGCGCCATTTTCGTCAAGCGATCGACGATGATGAGGACGGCGTCATTGCCACTTGCACCGGCCGGAAGTCCCATGACGAGGTCCATCGTCACTTGTTGCCACGGCTTCTGGGGTGGCTCGAGCGGTTGCAGCAGTCCTGCTGACCGCTGTCGAGAGGACTTCATGCGCTGGCAGGTCGGGCACGCCAAAACGTATATCTGCACATCAGACGCCGAATCTGGCCAATAATAAAAACGGTGAAGTAACTTTGGGGTTTTGTCAACCCCGAAATGGCCGAAGAAATTAGAGTCGTGGACTTCCTGAATCGGTAATTCGCGAAGGAGACGGTAAGCTGGAACCCAGATACGGTCAGTGCCTAAACCCTAAGAAAATAAGTTCCCTTAACCGAGGTGGCTTGTTGGTGGAGGTTGCGGGTGAAAAAGAGGACGGTGCTGTAGCCGTGGGTAAATAGTCCGGTGAGCAGTGGGTTGGATTGTGCAATGATGATGGAGGCGAGATGGGCGGGCGGTCGTGTCAGTGCGTCGGCGATGTTATTCGCCCTATGTTTGTACGTAATGGTGTAGTGGAAGTTGCTCTCGAGGAAATCCAGCCAGCGAATCTGTCGTGGGTTGAGGTTTGGCTGCGCACAGAGGTATTGTAGGTTCGTATTGTCACGTCGGCTCCCGTCAGGTAGCAGCGCCACACTTTGAACGCGTGTACGATGGCGAGCATTTCTTTGTCGTGGACGGGATAGTTGCGCTCGGCTGCCCGCAACTTCCTGGACTCGTACGCGATTGGTTGGAGGCCGTCACCGAAATCCTGTAACAGTACCGCGCCGATGGCAAAATCGCTAGCGCCCATCAAGACTTCGAACGGTCTAGATGGATCAGCGATTCGGAGGACCGAGGGTGACATCAGAAAATTTATGAGTTCGTCAAAAGCAGCTTGCTGTCTCTCCCCCCACTCAAAAGAAGTTCCCTTCGGTAGCAGGTCAGTTAAAGTTCCGGTTGCCCTTGCCATATTGGGGATAAATCGCCGGACGTAATTAACGAACCCAAGAAAACTCTGCAACTCCTGTAGATTCGCGGGCGGCTTCCAGTCGCGGATGGTGGTGATCTTCTACGGGTCGATTTTAATGCCTTCCGCTCCGATGACGTATCCCAAAAATTCCAGTTCGGATTTTAGGAACTCGCACTTAGAGCCCTTGGTGATGAGTCCATTCTGCTGCAGCCGTTGAAAAACCCGGTTGAGGTCCTGGAGGTGTTGTTCCCGTGTCTTGCTGAAGACCAAGATGTCATTGAGATAGACGATGACGCACTTGTAGAATAAATATCTGAACACGCCGTTCATGGTCAGTTGGAATATAGAGGGCGCATTCGTGAGGCCAAAAGGCATCACCGTGTACTCGTAGCTGTCGTAGCGGGTTCAGAACGCTGTCTTGTGGCAGTCGTCAGCGAAAACTCGGATTTGATGGTAACCTCATCGCAGGTCAATCTTGCTGAAGAAGCGAGCCCCGCAAAGTTGGTCAAAGAGATCGTCCACGCGTGGGATTGGGTAGCGAGATTTGATGGTTCATTCATTCAGCGGCCGGTAATCAATGCACATTCGTAGCCCTCTGTCTCTTTTTTTTTTGTGAACAGAATGGGCGCGGCAAACGGGGACGTGCTGAGTCGAATGAACCCCTTCTCCAGTAGGTAGTCCAGCTGGCTCCGTAATTCCGTGAGTTCATGCTGAGTCAGCCACCACTGTGTCCTGATGGTTGGCTGTGCGCCAGGTTCCAGGTCATTTTTATGGTCATGGGGTCGCTCATGTGGCAATCCGGCTGGCAGGTCATCCGGAAAAATATCCGGGTACTGCCGAATCAGCGCAGCGAGCTCGGCAGGGACACTGACACGAAGTTTGTCGATATCCGTCAGCATGTCATCAACCGTCGCTTCGTGCAGATGGGCGGCGTACAAATCAGCTCCCCGTTTAACTGCTCGCTGGAGGGTGAGGACGTGTCGATACCGGATCCCGCCCGCGTTAGCATGGTAGTACGCGCCACGCATTCGCACAATGCACGCTGCATTCGCCAGTTGTCCAGTCGATCCTTGGGTTGTATTTTCGCAACCAATCGCGTCCGAGAAGGATGTCGCAGCCGTCTAGCGTCGTCGCCAGCATGGGCATACTGAATCTGAAATCGTCGACACACTTCATTCGTACCATTCGCGCTCGTTCCCGAATTGCAAGTGGCGTCCCGTCCACCAGTCGCGCGTCGATTTCGGGGAGACACTTCTCCAATGTCAACTTCAACTGCTTCGCTGTGGTCACGTGGATCAGGCTATGACTAGCCCCGCCATCCTTTTTTTTTTTTTTTTTTTTTTTTTTTTCCATTCACTTTGCCTTCAACAAGCACAGGGTGATCTTCAGGTTCGCTCCCGTTATTCGTCCGAGTGCGGTCGATAGCATGTATCGGTACCACAACTTGGTAGGAACGCTAAAGTTCGGACGTCGTGGGCCGGGACCGCTGCAACTCGTACTGAATGTCAAAATGCAGCCCGCTGATGTATTTATCCTGCCTTTCTGCTTCGCTGAGGTCGTCCACTTGGTCCGCAAGTGCTGAGAACGACGCAGTATAATCTTGAATAGTAGTCACCTGCCGCCAGTTGCGCAGCTTTATGTGAGCGTCGTCTGAGGCAGATGAGTGCTCAAAACGAGCTCGCAAAACAGTGCCCAACTGTTTCCACGTGCGAATCGTGGTCGTACCGAATATCGATTCTGCCTGTTGGTTTGAAGAATCCGAAGTCGCGTCCTTCGCTTGCGTCACGCCTGCCGGAGTCCCAATCGCCAACTGTCGTCGCCACCAATCCAACGCCAGTCCTCGAAGCAGCAACACCGCATAATTAATGCGTGCGTTGTTTGTGTGCACATTTGCAGCCGTGAAGAATAGCTCCATACTGAACAACCACCTTCGCGCCGTCGTCGCCTTGTCCGAAGGGTTGAACGGAGGCGGCGTGGCGGGCTTGAGCTTAATCTTCGTCACAGTCACAGTGCGAGCGTCGTCCTGCTCCAACTCCCGTGCGAGCTCATCAAGGACGGTTTCGCTTGCCTCATCGTTGGCTTCTGGCTTGACATTATTCTCTGCGACTCCAGGCGACTCCTGCCGCGCTTCACCACGCGTCTGGCGTAGCTCGGTGTTCTCCGTCCGAAGTCTCATGACTTCACTGTTCAAACTCGCCATCTGGGCTTGCATTGCCTGCATCTGAGCCATGACCTCGTCTAGCTGGGCCTGAGTCATGATGCGAATGCTACGCGTTTCGGGCAGGGAAAAGGCCGTTGTAAGAAACCGCAGGGGGCGTAAACGCTATCGTAGTTGTGTGAGCTTAATAACTCTAGCTCACGGACAACCGCTTTGCAGCCCCACAGGATTAGCCATGCCTTGGAAATAAACTACCATGGGAAAACGGGGTGAACCAAGAAAGTAGCTCTGATACCAGATATTATGAATAATAACTGAGAGTGCGCGGAAATAATAATCACGAGTGCAAGAATGGGAGCTTAGCATTATATAGCGAGAATTCTAGCTAGGTGACGAGCCCGGAGGGCTAGGTGGGCACAGGCGCGGTGGAAAGGTCCGGAGGCGGCGCAAGCCAGCCTCGGGGTCGCTGGGGTGCGGACCGAGCCTGGTCTTCCGAGAGTTCGGGTGTACGCGATTGCAGTACAACCCGGTAAGGAATAAAAATCCTTACATCTTCGATTTCGGCAATACCAAGGTTCCAGACCTTTGTGGCTGGAGAGCGTCGGGAAACATGTCTACAACCTCTCAATTTGCACCTACCTGACACATCTGCCTGACGGGATTTCCTGCAACGAGAAGCGTTGCACCAACTCTTCAGAAGCAAGCTGCTTGTAGAAAGCAACCATTACTTCATTGCCTTTGTTCGAGACTCGTAGTTGGCTGGCGGTGATGGCAGCAGGCGTGGTTTGAACCTGAGAATTCTCAGTTGAACAACGTTTCCGGGTTCGAAACAGATGTCGCCTGTCAGTCCCAGCCGAGAGCACAGAATCTGACAATGCAAGCCATGCAGCCTTTCCTTCATCCGCTGATTTCTTAACTTATCTCAATCGAATTGCTCATTATCCGTGAAAATGTGGGGATTCGCACTCGAACCGACGAAGCGCATCGGAGGCGTTTCGCCTCCTCGCCGTCCGATCAGGCATCATCGAGCTGGAGCCTCCAGGAAAGCCGGCGGAATTCTCGGCTGGATTCCTGGCGGTGCTGGCAACAGCTGGCGAGCGATATGCTCGCCGGTGATCGCGCTGGTGGTGATCTGGCTGCTAGGGATGATAGTTTGGAACAGCGGAATCATGAGGTACGGATCCAAGAGAATTCTAAAAAAACTAACGCATCGCTCTGGTAGTGATCTGGCTGCTGGGGATGATTTTTTTAAACAGCGGAATCATCAGGTACGAACCCGTCACGGGGTGACTTTTTGAGTCGACTCAGAAGTCACCTCGTTACAATGCCACACAACACCGGTGGTCGCGCTGGTGGTGATCTGGCTGCTGGGGATGATTGTTTGGAACAGCGGAATGATCAGGTACGAACCCGTGCTGGAGAATTATGAAGTAAATTCCGAACTAAGTAGCACATCTGCATTTTCGCACTTGCTCATGCCATCTTATCAAGCTCTTTCTGAAAAAGTCTTCAGAAATGTCTGGAATTTTCTATTCCGGCTTCCCATTCCGTTTCGCTCCCGGCTCCCCATTCTCTCCCTTCTCTTCGGTTGAATGCCCAGCAGCCACAAGAAGCAGGCAACAGCTCCATCCGATTCTTCTCCAGGCCTGGACACGTCATCATCTGAATACGGTGACGACGCTCCTTCCACGACCGATGACGACACCAGCACCTCGGATCTCACCCCCTCCTTCACCAACAAAATGTCATCTGGAGCAGCAGCAACAGCAGGCTCGGGTGGAGGCTTCGGGAGAGGCTTCGGGACAGGCTCGGGAGCAGGCTCGGGAGCAGGTGATGATGGTCTAGATTCTGAGGATGGGGACGGGGAAACCGGTCTGTCTTCGGGATTCCCAAGGTCCTCTGCCACCACAGGCGCAGGGCGGATGGGGGGTCTTAACTCAGGGATGTCATCCGGACTCTCCTCCTGGAGTGCTGCTAGTGGGGGCAATAGGGGCGGGTTGGGGGGAGACGGAGGGGAGGATGAGGATCAGATGATGGGAACCGGTGGGAGTAGTGGCGGCAGCAATGGTGCAGGGGGGGGTAGACTCGGGGGAGGTGGTGCTGGAGCAGGTGGAAGCAGGTGGGGAGGGGGAGGAGGGTCGGCATGGGGTGGGAGAGGGGGAAACGCAGGCTCGTTAGCGGATGATGAAGATGAGGAGGGAGGGGGGGGTGCGGGCGGTGGGCTGGGGCTCTCAAGCAACCGGTTTGCTCAGCCTGCTCAGGGTGGGTCGAGATCGTGGGGAATGGACGATGAGGATGATATGAGTGGTGGTGGTGGTGGTGGTGGTGGTGGTGGTAGTAGCTTGGGATCACGGGGTGCTGCTGGTGGTGGTGCGTTTGGTAGAGGGGGACGAGGTGCAGGGAGGGTGAGAGGAGGACTGGATGAGGAGGAAGGGGGAGAAGGAGAGGAGGATGAGGCAGGAGGGGAGGAGGAGGAGGAGGAAGAAGAGGAAGAGGGCGAGGAGGCGGAGGAAGAGGAGGAGGATGGGGAGGAAGGAAGAGGAGGGAAACGGGGGAGGAGTAGGTCTAAGCGGACTAAAGGGAGCCGACGGGGCAAAGCTGCTGCAGATGAGGAGGAGGAGGAGGAAGAGGAGGAGGAGGAGGAGGAGGAGGACGGAGAGGGAGGAGACGAAGAGGAGGAGGAAGATGAGGAGGAGGAGAATTCGAGAAGTAAGAAGGGGAGGAAGGGCCGTGGTGGTGGTAGGAAGCGGACGGGGAAAGGAGCGAGAAAGAAAACGAGAAGCGCTGATGAAGAGGAGGAGGAGGAAGAAGACGAGGACGAGGAGGAGAAGGGAGCGAGAAGCAGGAAAAGGAAAACTGGAGGCAAGGCGAAGAAGGGGAAGAAAGGGAGGAAAAAGAAGGGATGGCGGGATGCAGGAGAGTCGGACCTCGATTCGATTGACCAGGAGGGCAAGAAGGCAGCGGAGGAGGCAGCGAGAGCAGAGGAAGAAGCAGAGCTCGCAGTGGCGGAAGCTGATGGGGAGGCAACGACTGAGAGGCTGGGGAGGGCGGGGAGCAGTAAGGAAGGAGGAGGAGGGGGGGATGATGACGAGGATGGTAATGAAGATGGAGAGAAGACGGGACCGGCTAGCATGCCGGAAAGTGACGTGGCACAGATATACTACTCGGTTAAGACTGCTCAGAGAGGTGCGTCAGGATTGCGAAGACTCAGCGTGGTCCAGTCTATTTTCTGGGTGCCAAGATGGGTCCTGGTAGCATGCTGGGAAGCGACGTGGCACAGATATACTACTCGCTTAAGTCTGCTCAGAGAGGTGCATCAGGATTGCGAGGAATCAGCGTGGTCCAGCCTATTCCTTTCTATTTTTTAGGCGCCTCAAAAATAGATTCCGCATGTGATGGCTCAGCATGGTCCAGACCAGTCTATCCCTTTCTGGACTCACGCTTCAGGAAACGAAGGTGCCTGAGTGATCTCTTTCCTTCATGCCCCTCCCCTTTTCGCAGGCATGGAGTCAAGGGGCAACTGGTGCTGCACTTTGGGCGCCAGTTGAATCCCCTTCCTTTCCACTCTGCCCCAACTCACTGGCATGGATTCAGCGAAATGGACGCGAGGAGGATACGGAAGACGAATTACGATGCGTCAAACCATCGCCTTGACAACATGGCATTCCTGCGCATCCCCGGCACCCCAGTCACGGGGCGGCGCGTGCTGGGCTTTGCGCGCCAGCTAACTCCCCTTCTCTCCCGCTCTGCCCCCTCTCTCACAGGGATGGAGTCAGCCCAAGTGGACGACGACAACGACGCATCCCCAGGACGCCGGTCATGGGGCAGTACGTGCTGAGCGCCAGCTAACTACCCTTCCCTCCCGCTCTGCCCTCTCTCACAGGCATGGAGTCGGCCCAAGTGGACGGCGATGAAGATCTTGACGCTGACGCGTCAACGCACCGCCTGCGCAACGTGGCATTCCTCCGCATCCCCGGGACTCCAGTCACAGGGCAGCGCGTGCTGGACTTTTAGCGCCAGCTAACTCCCCTTCCCTCCTGCTCTGCCCCCTCTCACAGGCATGGAGTCGGCCCAAGTGGACGCGAGGAGGATCTACGCAAGCTAACCCCCCTTCCCTCCCGCTCTGCCCCCCCTCACAGGCATGGAGTCAGCCCAAGTGGACGACGACGAAGATCTTGACGCCGACGCGTCAACCCACCGCCTGCGCAACGTGGCGTTCCTCCGCATCCCTGGGACTCCAGTCACAGGGCAGCGCGTGCTGGACTTTGAGCGGCAGCTGGCGTGTGTATCAAGGGACGGGCTGTGGGCGGCGAACAGGACCCCGCGGTGGATGCCGTGGGACCTGAACCCGCTCTGGGTTGCCAGACAGCCCAACTATCGCTCTTGTGACCTGCTCCTTGCTAAAAGGTATATTTACGGACGGTGTGGTACGGTGAGGTATGGTGAGGTGCAGGACGGTGCCGTGTTGCCGAACAGAGCGCCGAGGTGGATACCATGCGACCTTAACCCGCTGCTCTTTGCCAAGAGGTAGGGTGAGGTCTTGTGTGGCACGATGTGGTATGGTGGGAGACAGTGTTGTGCCGTTTTGTCGTGGTGTTGCGTACCACGTGTGCAATGACTGTCGATGAGGGCTCCAGATGTTTCCGCAGAACGCGGTGTTGCCCAGAGCCAGTTTTGAGGCGCCTCAAAACTAGTCTCCGCAGAACGCAGTGTTGCCCAGAGCCAGCCTTAAACAGACCGCCATGGTGGATGCTGTGGGACCTGAACCTGCTGACTGTGGCCCGCCAGCCCAACTACCGCTCCTGCGACCTGCTCTTTGCCAGGAGGTATGGACGGGGTGGCTTGAAGCGTGTAGTGCAATGCGGTATTCGAGGCTCCTCAATGCGCCTCAAATCCCCCCCCCCGGAGCGGCAGCGGAGCGCTCCCGTCCCGTGGATCCCGAAACGCCAAAACAGCGTGGAGGGTGAGGAAGGAGCTGCTGTACGAGTGGCACCCTGCCATCCCGGAGCTCTGCCCTTCGGTTTCGCTACCCGTCCCATCCCTCGCCAGCCCTCTAACTCCTCTCCACCCGACTGTCCTCTCCCCCTCTTCCAATCCCCCCGCCTCCCCCGGCCCCCACCTCCCACCTCCCCCGGCTCTTCCAATCCCCCTGCCTCCCCCGGCCCTGGTGCTGTCCCCGGCTCTTCCCGTTGTCCAGGCAGGGAGGTGTCTTCGGGGCAGCAGCGGAGCGCGCAAGGACATCCCGGAATGCCAAGACGGCGTGGCGGGTGAGGAAGGAGCTGCTGTATGAGTGGCGCCCTGCCCTCCCCGAGCAGTGCCCCTTTGAGCGGTTTGACCGCGAGGGGTTCTGCCGCGCTGTGAGGGGGAGGAACGTGGTGGTGGTGGGGGACGCCTTCAGCCTCGACTGGCACGACGCGTTGTTGAACCATCTGGTCACTGCGGGCACCAAGAGGAAGGCAGGGCAGCTGGGGGATGCATGGTGAGTGAGGGTTGCGGGGTGAGGGGGAGGAACGTGGTGCTGTGGTGGTGCGCTGCTGAAACATCTGGTCACTGCGGGTACCAAGAAGAGAGCGCGACAGTTGGGGGATGCATGGTGAGTTTGGGTTGTGCTGTGAGGGGGAGGAACGTGGTGGTGGTGGGGGAGGCCTTCAGCCTTGACTGGCACGACGCGTTGTTGAACCACTTGGTTACGGCCGGGACTAAGAGGAAATCAGGGCAGCTAGGGGATGCATGGTGAGTGCTTGTCTGGCTGGTGGTGGGGGACGCCTTCAGCCTTGACTGGCTGGCACGATGTGCGGCGGACTGAACCACCTTGTCACTGCGGGGACAAAGAGGAGAGCCGGGCAGGCAGCTAGAGGATGATTGGTGGTGAGTCGGGGGGTTGTGGTGTGCCATGATTCTGTGAAGGGGAGATACGTGCTGGTGGTGGTGCGGGGTGCGTTCAGCCTCGACTGGCAGGCACGACGCGCTGCTGAGTCACTAGGTTACAGCGGGAACTAAGAGGAAGGCAGGAGAGCAGCGGGGACTAAGTGGAAGGCAGCGGGGACTAAGAGGAAGGCTGGCTGGGGGATGGTTGGTGAGTGGCAAAACGAAGCGGATTGCAGGGCAACTGGGGGATCGCTAGCCTGGCTTGCTGCTGTATTCATGACTGTTGTTTTTCTCGTTCTGATGGACCCTGCACCCAATCCCCCCCTGTGCCTGCTCCCCCCCTGTGCCCGCTCCCCCCCTGTGCCCGCTCCCCCCCTGTGCCCGCTCCTCCCCTGTGCCCGCTCCTCCCCTGTACCAATCTCCTGCCTACCAGGGCCAACGTCACAGAAGGTGCCTGCTTCGAAACCAGCCACCGCCTCTGCACCGACGTGCCCCTCGTACCTTCCCCCCCCACCACCACTGCTGCTGATGATGGCTCCTCAATTTCTACTGCTGGTAATGCCAACGCTGATACTGATACGGATTCTGACGCTGATGCCACTGGTGTTCCTGGCTCTGCTGTCACGACTAGCAAAATTTCCAACCCCAGAAATGCTCGAGTGGGTGCTGGTGCTGCTGATGTAGCTGGAACTGGTGGCATCGGTGCTGGTAGCTTAGGTGGTGCTGGTTTTGCTGGTGGTATGCGCACTGGCGTGAGTGCTGACGTTGATGAGGACACAAGGGAGGGTGGGCTGGTGAGCGGGGAGGAGGAGGGTGTGAGGGAGGGGGGGGTGGAGGTATGGCTGGATCCAGAAATGGGTTTCAAAGGACGGCCTGGGGAAGAGGACGACGCCTGGCAAGGAGAACGAGGATTGATGGAGTGGAGGGGGGGGGGGAGGGGGAGGGGGCAAGTGAGGCAGAGGAGCCAGGAGAAGGAGAAGGAGGAGAGACAGCAGCAGGAACCGATGGAGCAGAAGGGGGGGAAGGGCTGGGTCTGGGCAGTGGAACCAGGCTGGGGGGGAGAAAGGGGAGGAAGAGAAGGGCGGTGGGGAGGCAGGGGGTTGGGTTGAACCAGGGTGGTGTGGTGAAGCGGAGGATGGCGGGGTTCAACCTGCGTGTGGTGCTGAACGCGTTTGCCTCGCCGGACACGGGGCGCCCCACCCGCCTCAACAACCGCTGGCTCAAGAGGCTCAAGAAGTGGAAGACAAACATCCTCGTGCTCTCGCGCACGCCGGCCTTTGGCGACAGTGAGTGGGGATTGGTCTATGCTGAGCGTGTGTTGATTGTTGAATGCGTTTGCGTTTCCACAAGCGCCTCTAGAAGTGGACGCGAGACATCCCCGTGCTCTGGCGTTTGAGTCGACTCAAAAGTGGACGCCAGACATCCCCATGCTCTGGCGCACTCCTGCTTTTGGCGACAGCGAGTGCTTTGAAGTGAAAGTTAGCAGGCTTTAGTCTTTGCTGTCTGTGTTTGCGTTGCCTGACATGAGCCCGCTTTCTTGTCTCCCTTGTTCCTGGCCCCCTTTCTTGGGCGACCATCCCAATTCTCTCCCGTTCTCTATCCATTGTCCTTCTTTCCTCCTCAGCAGAGGAACTTGTGCTACAGGAGGTATGGGACACACTTGAGGCAGTCGGGGTCCTCTATCCTGACATGCTGGTGATCTGGCGCAACAACGCCATGGGCGGCCATCCCACCTCCCTCCTTCTCCCACCCTCCCTCCCTCCCTCCCTCGTCCTTGCCTCCTGAACAAAAGATCGGATGCTACAAGAGGTTCGCGACATCATGGAGGCAGTGAGGGACCTGTACCCTGTACCCTGTACCCTGTACCCGGACATACTGGTGATCTGACGCAACGCCATGGGCGGCCATCCCAGCTGTCAGCACTTCCCAATCCCCCTATCTCCCGCTCCCCCTTGTCCCCATTTCCCAATCAATCTCGTAACTGCTTTTTGAGTCGACTCAAAAATCCCAATCAATCTCGGAACTGCCAACCAACCAGAAGAACTCATGCTACAGGAGGTTCGAGACATCCTCGAGGCAGTCAGAGACCTCTACCCAGACATGCTGGTGATCTGGCGCAACGCCGTGGGCGGCCATCCCAGCTGTTTCTCCCTCCCTCTCTCCCTTGCCCCTGCCCCCCAACCAGAGGAACTGATGCTACAGGAGGTGCGGGATACTCTAGAGGCAGTCAGGGACCTCTACCCAGGCATGCTGGTGATCTGGCGCAATGCCGTGGGCGGCCATCCCAGCTGTTTCTCCCTCCCACTCTCCCTTGCCCCTGCCCCCCAACCAGAGGAACTGATGCTACAGGAGGTGCGGGATACTCTAGAGGCAGTCAGGGACCTCTACCCAGACATGCTGGTGATCTGGCGCAACGCCGTGGGCGGCCATCCCAGCTGTCAGCACTTCACTCGCCCATTGAGGTCGCGCCCCGCCCTGCTGGCAGCCAAGGGGAGGATTCCGGACGCGTGGCTGCGGCACGCCGAGATGAACACGGCTATACGGCCCCTGCTCAAGGTATGGCTGTACAGCTGGTGTTAAAGGTGCGATTGCTCATGGTGCTTGGGATGCATAGCGGATCACCTCCCGTCTCCCGTCTCCCATCTCCCATCTCCTGTCTCCCGTCTTGCTGTCAGCCAGGGGCTCGACGTTGAGGCGGGAGGTGATCCGCTATGCACGTCGAGCCCCATGCATGGCGGTTGTTGAGGCGCCTCGTACACCTATGTTGACTTGGGAGGGTATATAAGGATGTTGACTTCCTTGCTCATTTCCGTGCGTGTGCCAAACACTTCCCTTGTTTACAATTACAACCCCCCCACAACCAGGAGTACGGAGCAGTGTATATGGACGTGGACTCGGCCACCTCGCTGCGGCCAGACGGCCACCACCAGCGCATGGACGGGTCGATCAACTGCCACCACTACTGCATGCCGGGCCCGCTCGACCACTGGGTCTCGCTCTTCCACAACCTGCTGCTGCTGCTCGACCGCCACTCGCCCCAGGCTTCCCTCCCCGCTGCTGCTGCTGCTGGTTCTGCTGGTTCTGCTGGTGCTTCCGGTGTCGCTGGTGCTGGGTCTGGTTTTCCTGGTGCTGCCAGTGGTTTTGGTGGTGGTAGTGGTGGCGGTGATGGTGGTGGTGGTGGGGTGCCAGGAGTGAGGGTGAGTGGGGTGGTGGGTGAGGGGGGAGTGGTTGTAGAGGAGGAAGATTTGTCTGATGTACCGAGGGGAGGGAGGTGGAGGAGCAAGGAGGAGGTAGAAGAGCAAGAGGCGAGGGAGAGGGAGGAGGGCGGAGGGGGGGTGGTAGGGGGAGGCGGTGGGGAAGGGGTTGAGGGAGCAGGGGCAGTGGGAGGGGGAATGGGATTAGGAGGAGGGACCACGGAGGGGCAAGTAGAAGGAAGTGGTGGAGATGGGTTTGGAGGGGCGGGAGGCTCCCAAGAGGTGGCCGAGGCTGGTGCAGAATCAAGAACTGGTGGTGCTGATGGTGGGGCTGCTGCTGGTGCTGCTGCTGTTGCTGCTGCTGCCGGCACTGCTGCTGCGGCTGATGTTGCTGCCTCTGCAGGGTTGCCTGGGGATGATGAGGGAACAGGAGGGGCCGGAGGGGCGGGAGAAGGGACAGCAGCTGCAGCTACTGCAGAAACAGAGGCAACGGCCTCTGGTGGCGCTGCTGTTGCGTCTGCCACTGCTGCTGGTTCTTCCAGTAGTGGCGAAGTCGCAAGTGTTGGAGTGGGGGCAGGCCAAGGGGCAGCAGGAACGGGAGCAGGCAAGGAACAGGGAGGAGTCGCTGCCACTGCTGCAACGACTGCCACTGCTGCCGCTGCGACTCCTGCCACTGCTGCCAGTGTTTTGGAGCGTAAGTGGCTCCTTTCGTTCTGTCATTACCCCCCTTCTGTCCGCCCTTCCCAGCAATCCTCGTTGAGTCTTCTTTCACTTGTTGACTTTTGAGTCGACTTAAAAGTCACCTCGTTGAGACTTCTTTCACTTGTTTCCCGTCCACCTCTCTGCGTCCTAGCATATACCGACTTACCTCAATGCATCCCGGCGACCTGTAGCAGGGTTTGGGGTAGCAGTAACGGAGCAGCGCAGGAGACTTTTGAGTCGACTCAATAGTCATCTTGTAGCAGGGTTTGGGGTAGCAGTAACAGAGCAGCACAGGAGGTGACGTGTGTGACTGAGGATGGCAGGCAAGTGGGTGCCATTCACATCCGTCACACACTTGTTCTGTCGCCTGTCCTTGCTTAGAGTCACCCCAGCCTAGCATGCACCAGCAGCAGCTCCCAGTGCATCCGCTTTTGAGTCGACTCAAACGCGCCCGTCCTTGCTTAGAGTCACCCCAGCCCAGCATGCACCAAGAGCTCCCAGTGCATCCCGGGACAGGGATCCGCAGTGACGCAGCAGTGACGCAGGACGCACCAGTGACGCAGCAGTGATGCAGCAGTGACGCAGCAGTGACGCAGCAGTGACGCAGCAGTAACGAAGCAGTGACGCAGCAGTGACGGAGGCACAGGAGGAGCTGTCGAGTGTGGTGGAGTATTGCAAGTGGGTTGGTTTAACACACATCTCCTTTGCACTATCCCCCCCCTGCTCCCCCACCCACGCCCCTTCTTCTTTCTCTCACCCCAGCATGCACCAACCTCTCAGCATGCATCCCCGGTACCAAGGTCCGAGGCGATGCAGCAGTGACTGAAGCGCAGCAGGAGCTGTCGTGTGTGGCTGAGGACGGCAAGTGGGTGCGCTTTAACACGCCTCGCTGGCTGCCGTGGTCCCGGGACCCGCACACCAACCCACATGCGCCACACTATGGCACATGCGACCTGATGCATGTGAATGAGTGAGTGCTGTATGGACCAGTGAGTTGCTGTATGAATGAGTGACTTGCACCAGACTTGTGCAAGTGGGTGCGCTTCAACACGCCTCGTTGGCTGCCCTGGTCCCGGGACCCGCACACCAACTCGCATGCGCCGCACTACGGCACGTGCGACCTCATGCTCGTCAACGAGTTAGTGGCGTTGTGGATAAGCGAGTTGTAGATAAATGGGTAATTGGTATACAAATAAGTGGGTAGTTGAGTGGTCCCAGGACCCGCACACCAACCCCCATGTGCCGCACTACAGCATGCACGACCTGCCGTAGAGCATGTCGGTTGATGCTCGTCAGCGAGTGAGTCTCTGTTGCTGCATGCCGCTTTTGCTGCACTGCACGCCGCGTTTGCTGCATGTCGATTTTGAGTCATGCCCCCACTTTCCACCCGCACTTCTACCCACTCTCTTAAACCCTGCCTCCTGTCGAAATTCCATATGGCCCGCTACCAGGACCGAGGCAAGGGCATGTTTGGCTTCGCGGCATATAAATTCCACAGGAACCTGGGGGACAGGGGAAGTCTAGCCGCTTCTGCCCGTCCTTCCTGGGGTTCAACCAACCCAGCCTTCTCCTGTCCCACCTCCCTCTCCCCCCCTGCCCTCTCTCCTTCCCTTTCCTCCTCTCCCGACCCCACACCTCCCCGGCCCCGCCCAACCCCCTCTTGCTTCCCCCCTGCTAGGACTGGAGGCAAGGGCATGTTTGGCTTCGCGGCGGATAAATTCCGCAAAAACCCGGGCGACCGAGAGTGGCACGTGCGGCCAGAGCTCAAGTACCAGTGGAAGCCCAGCCGCTTCTGCCCGCCCTTCTTCGGATTCAACCGGCACAAGTTCTGCGCGGCCGTGGGGCAAAGAAACGTGCTGCTTGTGGGCGACACGACGCAGCTGGCGCTGCACGACGTGTTCCTCAACCATGTCACTACCATTGCCACTCAGAACGAGATTGGGGACATTGCGGATGCATGGTGAGCTTTGCGGGATGGCCTCTTGCCTGGCGCTGCATGAATGACGTGTTCCTCAACCACAACACTACTGTTGCCACTCAGAACGAGGTCGGGGACATTGCGGATGCATGGTGAGCTTTCAGACGCATGGTTGATGCAGGATAGGCTGTAGGAGGTGGGTTTCAAACGCTGGCGTTGCACGAATGTGTGTCTGGAATGTGTGGTAAGGCTCGGGTGATTGTCTTTCGACTGGCACGGCATGGCCGTGGTCCTCAACCACGATGGCTACTGAGAAGGAGATCGGGGATATTGCGGATGCATGGTAAGCTAATGTGTGGTAAGGTTTAGGAGATGGTCTGTTGACTGGCACTGCATGGCAGTGGTCCTCAACCACGATGGCTACTGAGAAGGAGATCGGGGATCGCACAGTGAGATTAGAAAGGCATGGTGGCGTGACATGCATGGTGGCTTGACATGCATGGTGCTTTGACGTGCATGCTCTCCCCTCTCCATCTGCTTCTTCTTCTGCTCCCTCTTCTCCCCACCACAGGACAGCGTAGAACCACCATCCTGTCTGCTCAACCAAGGCTCCTCACGTGGTGTGTCCGACAAAGTGCCGGGGGGCTTCAGCTTGGGACTTGTGCGCAACAACTTTCTCTCTTCGTTTCCCTGCATGCTCTGCTCCTTCTCTGTTCCCTCTCTCTCTCTCTCTCTCTCTCTCTCTCTCTCTCTCTCTCTCTCTCTCTCTCTCTCTCTCTCTCTCTCTCTCTCTCTCTCTCTCTCTCTCTCTCTCGCTCTCTTCTCTCCACCACAGGACAGCGCAGAACCACCAGCCTGTCTGCGCAACCAAGGCGCCACACGTGGTGTGTTCAGACATAGTTCCAGGGGGCTTCACCTTCCGAGTCGTGCACAACAACCTGCTCTCGCCAGACTCGCCGGGGGGAGGCGCCTTCAACCAGCGGTGGCTGGGTTACCTGCGCAAGTGGAATGTGTCGATCGTGGTGCTGAACAAGGGGTTTGAGCGACGGCCAAGTGAGTAGACCAGTATACACCTAAACGCACGCAACAACCTGCTCTCGCCAGGTACACCTGGAGGCACGCCATGCATGGGGCTTTCAAACAGTGCTGGCTGGGTTACCTGCGCTGGTGGAACGTGTCAATTGTCGTGCTCAACAAGAGGTTCGAGCGACGGCTAAGTGAGTTCATAATCAGGGCATTAGTTATCTTGTTTTGCACATTACTTAACCTGAAACCACTACGTCTCCCATTCCAAATCATGTCTACCCTTCCTGCTCGTCCCCTTTCTACCCTAACTCCTCCTCTCCGTCTTCCCTTCCCCAGCCCCTGTGTACATCAAGACGCTCCGTCAGACGCTCACCAGATTCCGACAGGTGGCACCCGACACGCTGCTGATATGGCGATCCACGTGGCGGGGCCACGAGGGCTGTGAGAACGCCACGGAGCCACTGGCAGCGCCGCCCGACAATGCAACCCGTGCGGGGCCGTGGGCCTTTGTGATGGAGCAGAACGAGGCGGTGCGGGACATGATTCGGGTGAGTTATCTTGCATGAGTAAGAGAGCATTTGTGCTCCTAGGTTGTTAGCATGCTCCTCTCCTAACTATTCCTTCCACTTGCCCAATCTTTTGCTGGGTGTAGTACTACCGAGTGGTTATGCTCCTGCAGATGCAATGCCATTTTGTGTTCCACTGACGTTTTGGTTTGCATCCTTTTTCCTGTCCTTTCTTTCTCCCCTCTTTCCTCTGCAGGAATTTGGTGGTGTGTACATGAACCTAGATGCACCTTTGTCGATGCGGCCAGACGGGCACCTACGTCAACTAAGCGGCCTCACAGACTGCTACTACTATTGCCTCCCGGGTCCTGTTGACCACTTTATGCGGCTTCTGTACAACTATCTTCTCATCCTCGATAGCAAAGGAGTAGCTCAGCCCGCTCAGGGAGGTTCTAGAAGATAGCTAGAGATGAAAGCTTATGCGCTATGATAAGGATTGATTGTCATTCCTAGTTCTCTGTTACAATCCATTTTTCATCGGTCCGGCATCATGGGAAAGGCGGTACCGTCCTCCACAGGACGTAGATCTTTGAAATCGGGGCACTTGAAAAGGGGCGCGAAACGAGTCTTTGCCAATCAGAAGCCTCTTTCATGGGCCCACATACCTTTCAAGCAAAAGAGTATTGGACGGCCACGATTACTTTATCTCGTTCACGACGCAGATTTCCGGTCCGATCTACCCGACCCTTGTTTTGCTTCCCCACGGCCCAACTCCATAGCTGTATGCATTGTTTGTCTGGACTCTGGAGTGGAGCCCTGGTCTCAGACAAGATCGAGGGAGGGAGGTGAGATGCAGTTTTGAGCTTCAGTCTGGTCTGCAGAACAGGCAGATCTCCTATGCGGTGTGGTGTGCCCACTGCCAGGGGTAGTCACACTGACAGTTTAAGTGCCTTCGCAGTCACTGAAGAAGATTCAAGCCGAGGCTGATTGTTTCCTGTGGATTGAAGCCGAGGGAAAACCTGCCACAGCAGTACTTACTGACCCCTTGATTTCTGCTGCTTCTTTTATCGCGCCACAGACTGACAGCCGCGTCGTCACCGTTGAGCCGTTCTAGGAGCTTCTGTATGTTATCTGTTCCTTTCACGAGACTGCTACTAACGAGACTGCTACTAGATTACGGACAACCATCCGTTGTTGCTGTGTGTTGGCTGCTACGTTTTCTCCGACGTTGACTTCCTCTAACCCAACATTGCCCAGCGTTGACTGCATTCCACACTTAATTGACCAGCACTTCCTCTTCTCTGCTAGAACTCGCTATTTCTAGCAACCTCCGGCGCCGGAGGTCGCGATCCTCTGTCCCTTCGCATCCATCTTCATAGCACCTGCACCAGCGAATTCCTCGAGGATTCCGGATTCCTGAATCCTGAAACTGCAACAAATGGCATCAGTCGCATTGAACCCTCCCCGGCACTGCTGGCGTGTCTCGCGGCCTCTTCCCGCCGTGATTCGCGCGTCCGCGTGTCGCAAGGGAGGTATCAGTCAGCTTAAGAGCAGCCATAGACGGCTTCTCGTGCTTACTGCGAAGCCGAAATGGCGATACGGTGAGACCTATTCGAGATTATGTTTACAGTCTTGTGCTTTTCTGTTTCACTTTTATTTCACTTTTCTGTCACCGTTATCCGGCTCACCGTCGTCGACAACCAATTTGACTTTTCCGTCGTCCCCTGACGTCCCGGTACCCGATTTTCCCCTTCCTCCCGCATGACTGTAACCAGTGGCGTTCAAGCGTAGCAGCCATAAATGCCACGCCTCTCACGCCGAGTTCAACGGACGGTAAGACCACCGCTTCCTCTCCGGCCTGTGCTCGACATGCTTCCAGCGCAATCGAGAGCGCATTCCATGCTGTTGCATCAGATTTGCGAGAATTCTCGAAAACATCGCGAATGCGGTTGATTTATAACGTCTCCAATTTCGTCTAGAAGGTACACCACCCCGTCATAAGCCTGATTCCAGTATCGATTCACCAGTTCCCGAGTTCACCTATCCAGCCCCCATCCTCCATATTTCTCCCCTCTCACCGCCTTATCACCCTCTGTCTCTCTCCCTGCAAGCAGGTCACCAGGCAGCGGCGCCTCTCGCCAGAGCCAGGAACCGTCAGCCGCTTCGGCCTCACCCTCAGCACCCCCTTTCCCCTCTCACGCCCTCTTCACCCTCCTTCTCTCTCCCTGCAAGCAGGTCTCAATTCTCCCAAAGCGGACCAGGCAGCGGGTCCTCTCGCCGGAGTCAGGAGCCGTCAGCTGCTGCTTCATCCTCACCGTCAGCATCTCGCTACGAACGAGCGAGTCAGCATGAGGGAGCACGGCGGTATGAGAGACGAACTGCGCGAGGAACCGTTAGAGGAAACGCTCTCAATGGCTCTGGACGGCCCGCCTCCCCTGACTCCTCTTGGTCTCCCTCCTCGTCCCCCTACTCCGCCAACTCCGCTAACTCCGCCAACTCCGCCTACTCCTCCGCTTACTCCGCCTATTCCACCATGCATTCTCACGCCTCCGCCTGCTCCGCCGACTCCTCCAATTCCGCCAATTCCGCCCATTCCTCCCCACACTCTCCCTCCTCGCCCGATTCACCCGAATCAACTGCTTCGCCTGCTGCTGCGGCTGCTGCTGGGGAGGCTTCTGAGGAGTTTCCTTTCCACTCGCATCACACAATCCTGGACGTTGATCAGGTTGATCCGACGGCGGCTGACGCTGCGTGGGGTGGGCTGGACCCCGCTGCAGCGGCAGCAGCGTGGAAACAGAGCTTCCTTAAGCGGGTCGTTGATACAATCACCGATTCTAAGTACTTCAATGTAAGCACATGGGCTGCAAGCACATCGAATGCAAGCACGAGGAATGCTATGCCAAACGCTGAAAAAAATGCTGACTGCCTGAGATTCAGAGACGTATCCTACAGGCAGCCCCTCACTCGTTTGCATTTCCCCCCCCGGACTCTCTCCCCTCCCCCCTTATCTCCCCAACCGCCTTTCCTCCCCGCACACACTGTCTCCTCTTCACCTATCAGCTGCAGACAGCTGGATGGCTCATGGCAGGCGCTGCCACGGCTGCAGTGGGCGTGCAGGTCACAGCGCACATCATTCAGGTGAGATGACACGCGCTTGTCGTTCAGGTGAGATGACACGCACATGTCGTTGAGGTGAGATGAAACGCACACCATATTTAAGTGGGTTCATGCAGATTGTTGAGCGGAGTTGAGGCGTACTTTGGTGAGCTACTCCCCAAGGCAGTGGCTCTTTCCCGCCTCCCTCCCCATGGATTCCCCCATTTCTCACTTTCCATCTCCCCGCCTCCCCACCTCCATCTCCCCACCTCCCCACCTCCATCTCCCCACCTCCCCACCTCCATCTCCCCACCTCCCCACCTCCATCTCCCCACCTCCCCACCTCCATCTCCCCACCTCCCCACCTCCATCTCCCCGCCTCCCCACCTCTATCTCCCCTCCTCCATCGCCCCCTCTGTCGGCCCCTTGAGTCTATCCCCTGCCAGCGCCCTCAAAGGAAATTCCCCCCTGTCCCTGTGTCCTGATCTCCCCTCTCTCCCACTTTCCACCTCTAAGCGCTCAGGCCATGGAGCGAGTCCGTGCCTCTGCTGTCTGTCTCCACTTGAGGTTATCGTTTGTGCTGCCAGGGTTACCAACCAACACCACCACCACAATTGCAAACACCGGCTCTCCACCTCCTCCCCCCCTTCCCCCACCAACCCCACTACGTCAGGCAATCGAACCCATGCCTCTGCTTGGTGCCTGAGATTCTCGTTGGTCCTGCCGTCACCACCAATGTCGCCACCACCATCGCACGCACCACCCCCCAACCCCGGCAGCACCCCACCTCTCCCCACCCCTCCCCACCCCCCCCTTACCCCCCCCCCCCCCCCCACTTTCTGCACTTCCTCAGGCAATCGAATCCGTGCCTCTGCTAGCTGCGCTTGAGATTCTCATTGGCGCTTCCGTCACCACCAACGTAGCCACCACCATCGCTGGAGGAGGAGAAGGTGAGAAAAGGGGGGAGAGGCGGGACCGGTGAAGGAGGTTGTGATAGGTTTTTGAGAATTGTCAATAACCTTATCGCGGGCGGGGCTGGTGAAGAAGGAAGGTTGGTAGGGAGGAAAGCGGGAAGAAGAAGGGGGAGACTTGGATGGTATAGCGACGGGTGGGTGGATTTTTGAGTCGACTAAAAAATCGTCTCATTACACACGGAAAGCGGGAAGAAGAAGGGGGAGAGTTGGATGGTATGGCGACGGGTGGATGGGGATGGGGAAAGTGAAGGCGGGGAAGTATCAGATGTTGAGGGTTCGTGAATCGTGGCCCCTTTTCACCCCTGGCCGTTATCCCCATACGTGGCATTCGGTGCTCACACGTGCACTGAATTAGGAGCCTCTTTCCGTGTGATACAAGTGTAGGTTTGAGACGTCTATCAAAACTACACTTGTATCACACAAAACTACACTTTTGAGATGTCTCGAAACTACACTTCATATGCTCTGACTCAAGGGCTTCTTTCAGCCTGTCTTACCCTTCTCCCATCCTTTCCCCCTTCCCTCCTCTCCTCCTCCCCTCCTCTCCTCCCCCCTTCCCTTCTTCCCACCTCCCCTTCTGCCCTCTTCCCCTCCTCCCCCCCCATCAGCGCGCGAGCGCCTGGAGCAGCACTGGGACGAGTTTGTGCGGCGGGTCACGGGCACTTACGGGCTATCCGACCCTGCTTTTGATGAAATTGACGCTCAAGGGGACCTTGAGGTGAGCAGAGAGGGTGTTGAGGTGAGCTTTTGGTCGGCTCAATGGTCATTCAAGTCAGCGCCACTTCGAGCTCTCCGATTTTGCAATGGATCTGTTGGTTCGAATCGACGCCCAAGGGGACCTTGAGATGAGCCGAGAGGGTGTTGAGGCGGGCTTTGCACCAGGCCACTAGTTTCTCAAGTCAGCAGCATGTACAGGCGAGCGTTGGGTCCCCCCAGACCCAGCCTTTGATGAAATTGGCCGTTGAAGGGACCTTGAGGTGAGCTGAGAAACGAGTTTCGAGACTCCTCTAAAGAACGAGCTGAGGGGGGCGTTGTGGTGAGCTGAGAAACGTCACTAGGTGAGCTGAGAAACGTCATTAGGTGAGCTGAGAAAAGTCATCAGGTGATCTTTGGGCCAACTCACTAGTCAATTGAGTCCACCAGCTCGTACGGGCTCTCTGGCCCTGTATTTGACGAGAGTGACGCTGAGGGAACTCACATTCTCCCTCGCACGTGTTTACCCTGCAATTCCCCCCTGTCCCTCTACCCCCCTGCCCCCTCCCCCGCTGACGCCCACACGGGGCCACCTCAGGCGCAAATCCAGCAGTTGCTGTCAGAATGCAGCGCGCTTATAGCGGAGACAGCAACGCAGCATCAGAAGAAGCAACCAGAAACGATGCTTAGGGGAGCCGCGAAGCAGGGAGAGGTGGGGATTGAAGACTTCCAGGAGAAAGGAGAGGGGAAGGAGGAGAAAGCCGAGGGCGGGAAGGGGGAGAATGCGGAGGGGACAGAGGAGAAGAAGGAGGGGGGGGAGGAGGTGGTGGCAGTGAGGAAGGCGGAGCTGGTGCGGGTGTTATCGGAGTTTGTGGAGAGGCGGGAGGGCCGGACGAGGCGAGCGAACCGCCTGCTGCAGCAGGAGGTGCAGGCGGGGCGAGGCTTACAGGAGCGCGTGGGCGATCTCAGCAAGGTAATCAGGCAAGGGGTTTTGATGCAAGGGGAAGTGTGGGGAGTGACATAGGAGGGCCGGATGAGGTGGGCGAACCGCCTGCTGCAGCAGGAGGTGCAGGCGGGGCGAGGCTTACAGGAGCGCGTGGGGGATCTCAGCAAGGTAATTGCGGAAGGGGGGTGCTTGGGGGGTGGGGTTGGGGAGGGCTTGATATGCTAGCAGCAAGGAGGACGAGCCGTCTGCTGCAGCAGGAGGTGCAGGCGGGCAGGGGTCTGCAGGAGTGAGTGGGGGACCTCAGCAAGGTCATTGCCGGAGGGTGGTGCTTGGGGGGTGGGGGGCCCTTTTAGGATCTGCTAGGGGATTGGCATGTAGGAAATCCGATGCGATGCTGCACCAGGGAGTGCAGGCGGGCAGGACGTGCAGGCGGGCAGGGAGTGCAGGCGGGCAGGGAGTGCAGGCGGGCAGGGCGTGCAGGCGGACAGGGGGCTGCAAGAGTGGGTGGGGTGCTCTCAGCAAGGTAATCAGACACGGGGGTGAGATAATCACGGGGGTGAGGTAATTAGGGGAGGGGTGAGGGGAGGGGGGCTGTGGGGAGTGACATGGGAGGGCAGGACGAGGCGGGTAAAGCGAATGCTGCAGCAGGGGGTGCAGACGGGCAGGGAGCTGCAGGAGCGAGTGGGGGATCTCAGCAAGGCAATCAGGGGAGAGGGGTTGGGGGGGGATTGTGGGGGGGTTGTGGGGGGGTTGTGGGGGGGTTGTGGGGGGATTGTGGGGGGGTTGTGGGGGGGTTGTGGGGGGATTGTGGGGGGGTTGTGGGGGGGTTGTGGGGGGGTTGTGGGGGGGTGGTGGGGGACGGGGGTTGGCACAGAAGTAGACAGGGAGAGTGAAGCACGTGCTGCAGCAGGAGGTGGTGGTGGGGAGAGGCAGATTGGATGAGTGAATGACCTCAGCTTTGCCCTCGCTGCTGTTTGTCTGCTCACACTTTGCCCTGTTACCTACCGTTCCCCCTTTTTTTCCCACCATGCTCCCAGGCTCTCGAAGTTCGAACGCTGGCATCAGTGGCAGCAGCACAGAACGTGGCAAAGCTGCAGGCACTCAACGACTCCCTGCAGGTGACTCTAGGAGATTATTGCAACCCAAAGGCACGGTATGCATGCTCGTTCGTCTGCTTTTGAGTCAACTCAAAAGCATGGTATGCATGCTCGTTCGTCTGCTTTCGAGTCAACTTAAAAGCATGTTATGCATGCTCGTTCGTCTGCACCCTCCTGTACCATAATTCGTCCACTCTACGCTACATGCCCCTTTCCATACATCCTCCCATGGCCCCACACCTTCCCCCCTCTATTCATCCTCCCATACCCCTTACCTTGCCCCCCCCATTCATCCCCCCACGCCCCCTCCCCACCCCCCGTGTGCTGGCAGGCGGAGCGCAACAGTGTGATGAGTCAGCTATAGGGGCTCACCAATGCCCTGTCCTCTGTATCCTCCCATCGCCCCTTCCACCCATCCTCCAGTGCCCCCTTCCATGCATCCCTCCCATTATCCCATACCCTCCTCTAAATTGCCCTCTCCCCTCCTCCCTCCCCTTCCCCCTCCCCTTCCCCCCCCCTCCCCCCATGTTGGCAGGCGGAGCGCAACAGTGTGATGAGTCAGCTATCTGGGCTGACCAATCAGATCACAGGGCTGTCCACGTCACTGGATGTGCTGACGAGGCAGCAGGACTCCGTGTCCCAGTCCAACACCGTGGTATGTCTATCCATGCCATGTCAGCACAAAACCCTCCCCCTCCGCCCCCGCCCCCCTCTCGCCTCACCTCAGCTGCCTATCCACTTTCCCTTGCAGCTGATTCGTTTTGAGGCGCCTCAAAACTAGACTCCTTTTAGTTGTTTCCCCTTCATTCAAACGTCTAAATATGTCTTCCCCTTCCCCCATCTTCCACCCCCTCACCCTCTTTTCCCCTCTCCCTCCACTCTCCCCCCCTCCATCAATCTCCCCATCTTCTCCCCCCTCCTCCCCCCTTGCAGCTCCGCACTCGCCTGTGCAAGGCCCTGCAGGAGAAGCGTCAGCTACGCGCGCTGCGTGCCAGCCTGCCATTGTCGAGCCGTCTCACTAATCCCCTCACCCCCTTCGTTCCCTTCTTCCCACCTTTTGAGTCGACTCAGAATTCACTTGGGTGCTACCCTGCCATTGCTGAGCCATCTCACTAGTCCCGTACCGCCTCCCTTCCTTTCCTCCCACTTCCGCTTCCCCTTCACCCCCCTTGCAGCTCCGCACGCGCCTGCGCAAGGCCCTGCAGGAGAAGCGCCAGCGACGTGCTTTGCGTGCCAGCCTGCCATTGTTGAGCCGTCTCACTAATTCCCTTTACCTCCTTCGTTGCCTTCCTCCCACTTCCGCTTCCCCTTCACCCCCCTGCAGCTCCGCACTCGCCTGCGCAAGGCCCTGCTGGAGAAGCGACAGCTGGCGCAATCATTGCGGGCGGCGCACCGCGTGCAGAGCGAGCGGGCGCGAGACGTGGAGGGGCAGCTGAGGGCGGTGGGAGCCCAGCTGCGGGCGAGCGAGGGGGCCATGCTGCAGCAGCGGCGGACAGAGGAGGAGGGCTTGCAAGCATACCTCTCCCAGCACGGTGCAATTACGGTATGAAAGCTGTTTCTAGGGGACGTGGAGGGGCGGCTGCGGGCGGTGGGAGCCCAGCTGCGGGCGAGCGAGGGGGCGATGTTGCAGCAGCGGCGGACAGAGGAGGAGGATGTGCAGGCATACTTGTCACAGACTCTCAGCATAGTGCTATTAAGGACGCCAAGGCTAAGTCTATTAAGATGGGTGCAAAGAGGATTCGCTGCACCATGCGAGGGCGGTGAGAGAGCAGTGCAACGCACAAGTGGTGCAGGCGAGTGAGCTGGAGCAGTGACTGTTAAGCATGGCTTACCCTCTCCCCCTCCCCTCCCCCTCTCCCCTCCCCCCTCCCCTCTCCCCTTCCCCCCTGTCCCCCTCAGTCACAGCGCAACGTAGCAGTGGTGCAGGCAGGCAAGTTGGAGCAGTGGGTGGCAACCATGGCTTACCCATTCCCCCTCCCCCTTCTCCCCTCCCCTCTCCCGTTTCCCCCTGCAGGCGCAGCGCAACGCAGCGGTGGTGCAGGCGAGCGAGTTGGAGCAGCGGGTGGCATTTGTGGCTCACCCTCTCCCCCTATTCTCACCATTCCCCCGTCCCCTGTCCCCCTGTCCCCTGCAGGCGCAGCGCAACGCAGCAGTGGTGCAGGCGAGCGAGTTGGAGCAGCGGGTGGCGTCGGTGGAGGCTCGGCTGAAGGAGGTCACTCACTCCCGCGACCACCTCTTCATCACCAACCATGAGGTGCTGGTCGCTGGCAGATGGCCATACAAGGATGCACACATGGGGCACACAGGGGACTCACATGGGGCTCACATGGGGCACACACGGGACTCTCATGGGCACACATGGGGCACAAACGGGGCATGCATGGGGGACACACGGGGCATGCATAGGGTTGTATACCTGTTGCGCTGTGGCCACTGCTGGGCTCGTGGTTGTATACCTGTTGCTCTGCGCGCAGTCAACATAGCAGAGAGATCACCCATCCATCTGAAGCAGGAAGAGGTCCATTGCTTTTCACAGCCCTGAGTGCATCACAGCCCTGAGTGCATCACAGCCCTGAGTGCATCACAGCCCTGAGTGCATCACAGCCCTGAGTGCATCACAGCCCTGAGTGCATCACAGCCCTGAGTGCATCACAGCCCTGAGTGCATCACAGCCCTGAGTGCATCACCCCATCACAGCCCTGAGTGCATCACAGCCCTGAGTGCATCACAGCCCTGAGTGCATCACAGCCCTGAGTGCATCACAGCCCTGAGTGCATCACAGCCCTGAGTGCATCACAGCCCTGAGTGCATCACAGCCCTGAGTGCATCACAGCCCTGAGTGCATCACAGCCCTGAGTGCATCACAGCCCTGAGTGCATCACAGCCCTGAGTGCATCACAGCCCTGAGTGCATCACAGCCCTGAGTGCATCACAGCCCTGAGTGCATCACAGCCCTGAGTGCATCACAGCCCTGAGTGCATCACAGCCCTGAGTGCATCACAGCCCTGAGTGCATCACAGCCCTGAGTGCATCACAGCCCTGAGTGCATCACAGCCCTGAGTGCATCACAGCCCTGAGTGCATCACAGCCCTGAGCTCCGCCCATCACAGCCCTGAGTGCATCACAGCCCTGAGTGCATCACAGCCCTGAGTGCATCACAGCCCTGAGTGCATCACAGCCCTGAGTGCATCACAGCCCTGGATGCGTCACAGCCCTTGATGCGCCATGGCCCTGATTCCTGAATGCCTTACGGCCTGACAGCAGCAATGGGCGATAACCAGCTCAACTGGTATAACCACCCCTCTCTTTCTCCTGTTTGTGAACCCCCTCGCTTCACCAGTTGAACACGCGCCTGACAGCAGCCATGGGCGAGAACCGGCTGCTCCAGCAGCGGGTGGAGCAGCTGCAGCGCACCAGCCGGCACTCAGCTGCTGATTAAACCCCCTGTTTGCCCCTTGTTTGCCCCCTGTTTGCCCCTTTTTTGCCCCCTGTTTGCCCCTTTTTTGTCCCCTGCTTGCCCCTTGTTTGCACCTTGTTTGGCCCCTGTTTGCACCAGCCGGCACTCAGCTGCTGCCTTCAGAGGCATGGAGACTGGGAGATTGGGCAATCCTACCTCATTACACCCCTCTTTACCCCCTGGTTGCCCCCTGATTCCCCCATGTTTCAGCTGAACACGCGCCTGACAGCAGCCATGGGCGAGAACCGGCTGCTCCAGCAGCGGGTGGAGCAGCTGCAGCGCACTAGCCGGCACTCAGCTGCTGCCTTCAGAGACAGGGAGAGCACCCTGAAGCAGCACCTGGCGGATCGACATGCTGAGCTGGCAGCCTCACGCCAGCAGGCGGCTGCTGAGCTGGCGCAAGTGACGTCCCGGCTGGAAGCTGAAGTGGTAGGGATTCTTCCTTCTACTCTGATGTCTTATGTGTCGATTCAAACGATGACTTTTGAGTCGACTCCAAAGATTCGACTCTAAAGTCCTGACGCGACGTCGAGGCTGGAAGCTGAAGTGGTAAGGGTTGCTCTTCCTACTCTCAGTGCATTCTCTAGGGGTCTCCATGGGAGTCTCCATGCAGAATGTGTTAGAACATATCGCAGGTTAACTCCCTATGCCTTGCTGCATGGGTCAAACAGTGGATGTATGCTTGGATCCTTGTTGCTTCACTGCTTCATGCCTTCACTCCTTCACGTTTGCAGGGTATTTTTTGGAATTCTCAAAAAATTTCAGGGTATTTTTGAGAATTCTCAAAAACACCCTGCAAATTCATGGATCCTTATTGCTTCACTGCTTCATGCCTTCACTCCTTCACGTTTGCAGGGTATTTTTGAGAATTCTAACAAATTTGCAGGGTATTTTTTAGAAGTCTCTAAAATACCCTGCAAATTCATGGATCCTTGTAGCTTCAATGCTTCATGCCGTCACTCCTTCACTCCTAGTTTTGCTGCAGCATTGCACCTGGCGGTCTTGGTCAATCCCTTGTTCTCTCTTCTCCCCTGTTTATTCTCACATCATTCCCCACAGCGAGCAGAACAGGAGCAGGTGGTGGAGAGCAGGGGGCCAGTGAGGTGGCTGGAGGCACAGGCAGAGGCAAATTGTTTCCCCTCTCCACCCCTTGTATGCCCACCCCGTATGTTTGAGCGCCCAGCGAGCAGCGCAGGAACAGGTGGTGGAGAGCAAGGGGGCGGTGCGGTGGCTGGAGGCGTAGGTGGAGGCGAGTTGCTTAACCTATCCACCCCTTGTATACCCGCCTTGTATGTGTGAGAGCACAGCGAGCAGCGCAGGAGCAGGTGGTGAAGAGCAAGGGGGCGGTGCGGTGGCTGGAGGCGTAGGTGGAGGGGAGTTGCTTAACCTATCCACCCCTTGTATACCCGCCTTGTATGTGTGAGAGCACAGCGAGCAGCACAGGAGCAGGTGGTGGAGAGCAAGGGCGAGGTACGGTGGCTGGAGGCACAGGTGGAGGCGTTGCGGGGAGAGGGGGAGCTGCACACAGCACGGTTGAGAGCTGCTGTGGCTGCTGCCGAGAGCAGGGCACAAGAGGTGAGAGACACTGGTTGCGTTGTACGGTATGGATGATGAGAGCAAGGGGGCAGTGACGTGGTTGGGGAGACGGTGGGGCTCAGGTAGGGGCGTTGAGGTCGTTGCGGGGAGAGGGGGAGCTGCACACAGCACGGCTGCGAGCTGCCATTGCTGCTGCTGAGAGCAGGGCGCAAGAGGTGAGCGAGACCAACTTTGGTGTAAGGGAACAGTGCAGTGACGAATGTTATCGTTGTTTCTTTACCCCTGTACATACAGGCAAACAATAGCTTGGGTGCCAGTTGAGCTCCACTGTTTGCCACACGTCGTTGCCTGATTGCAGGAATCGCAACGAGCCAATAAGCTGCAAGCGTTGCTAGCAGAGAGCAAGGAGACGTCAGAGAGGGAGAGGAAGCTTCTAGAAGATAAGGTCGCCTCGCTACAGTCCAAACTCAGCGAGACAGAATCCAAGCTGGCTTCTACAGTGAACAGTGCCATAGCAGCTGCCCGATCAGCACTCCTGCTGCCCACCCCTGCCTCACCAGTAGACGCCTCGTTATTGTCTTTTGAAGGGTTTGGAAACAGCAGTGATTATGCTGGTACACTCAACGGTAGCACCAGTGGTACCACTTCCAGCAGTGACAGCATTGACTATGCCGATACACTCAACAATAGCATCACTGCCAGTGCCAGCAGCACCAGCGGCGCCAGCAGCAGCAGCAGCAGCACTGCCAGCAGCCGGAGCGGGGGAGAGAGGGGAGAGACCAGCAGTAACCCAAGCTCTGCTACAAGTCCAGCCACGGATGGTGGTATGGAGGTAATGGGGTTCGGCGCAGGGAGCACAGAGATTGCGGATCTAGCCAAGGAAGGAAGCACAGCGGCGGGAGAGTTAGGCACACGGGGGGGCACAGGCCAGGAGAGTAATGAGGAGGTGAAGGGAGAAGCCAGTGAGGGCAGTGAAGAGGTAAAGGGGGCAGCCAGTGAGGGCAGCGAAGAGGTGAAGGGAGGAGGCAAGGAGGACAGTGAAGAGGGAGGAGCAGGCAATGAGGACAGTGAGGAGGTTAAGGGAGAAGCCAATGAGGGCAGTGAAGTGGTGACGGATTTAGCCAACGAGGGAGGCACAGGCACCGAGAACAGTGCAGAGGTGAAGGGAGTAGTAGGCAAAGGGAGCCGGAGCAGCTCTAGGGGAAGAGCGAGAGGCACGCGCAAGAGCAAGGCTGCTGCTATGGCTGAGCTTGCTGCTGCTGGTGGTGCCGGTGCTGGTGCTGATGTGGACAAATCTGCGCTTGGGGCAGCTGTTGATGCAAAGGGGACTGATCTGGGCACACCCAACGAGAACGACTTGAAGGTACAGTAATTTCCTCAACATCCTGCTGCATTGCGCTGCGCCGCTGGTGGTGTTTTCAATCACACCTTCTGCCACCACACCGCTGCCATGTGCCCCCTTCCTGCTGTGCGATCTGCACTGCTACCAACCCCAGCACCTTTTCACATTGTCTATAACCTGTCCCCCTCTCCCCCTGGTTGGCATGCCCCTCTTCCCCACCTTCCACCCTCCCCAAAATGCCCTCAGGTGTATGCTCGAGCCATCTTCCCCGCTTATGTGTCCCTGGATGCGTCTATCATGGAGCAGAGCCGAGGAGTAACAGCCATGGTTCAGGTACAGCCAGTCATGCATTGTACTGCACACAGGTTACACACTGCATGCATATAATGTACTCCAAGAGATGTAAATGATGCATGCATTTAGTTAGGTCTTACCATTAATGTTTATGCGCCCATTGTCATGCTATCACCAGGACATGGTCAAGATGGGGGCTGACAAGGCATGGGCGAAGCGCTATGTGGAGGAAAATCTGCTAAAACCCGCCCTGACACAAAGAGTAGCCGCTGCTGCTGCCCATGCAGTGGGTACTCGCCGTGGGAGGAAGCAAAGAAGTCAAGCTGTTGTAGCTGAGTCTAACATTGACAGTCAACCTGTAGGTGGCAGTGAGTCACGTAGCACTGGGGACTTGGATGACAGGTTTGTTGTGCAATAGCCTTGGAGGGGTTGAAAATCATATAGAGGATTGATTAAATCCTTCATTTTCTTAATATTGCTTAGCCGAGTGGCTAAAGCCTTGCCTTCGTTTGCTCCTTGTACCGGGTAACGGATTCTCTACGAAGCAGGGTAGTATATGTGGACCAGATTTCGACTTGCTGGAGCTATTGGGACCCTTCATGGCTGCGACCCTCGCTCATCTTAGCCGTTCCGTGAAAGACTCGGTCACCTCGAAACATTTTGATGGATTCTAGAAACAAGCGAAATGCCTAACAGCCAAATTCGCCCCGAAATTGCCGAATCTCGAAACACCACTTCTGTACTCATACCTCGGGCTCTGCTTCGGAAACACGAAGCGCATCGAGCCTGGACATATACCGCCTGTTTCCAACCTCAACCACCATAATCCTGATGTTCTGCCCAAGCCTGAATTTTTAGCTTGGCCCGTAGCTTCGGGCTCGCATACCGCTGGAGGAGCTTCGGAGAGGCGCTATACATCGACGCTGATTGGCTTTGAGAATCCCTTTGCAGGACAAGCTTGGCAAATATGCTTGGCTCGGTTCTTTCACCTCCCCTAACCTCGCCTGGGCCTCATCACCCTGACCTATCTGTTCTCCTCACTTATCTCCCCAGGGGGCACACCCTCAGTCTCAATTCTGATGGCTTGACCAGATCCCCTATCTTACAGTAGTCGTCCTAGAGTGCAGCGTCCAGGGTCTAGGGCCAGTCGACGTCTAGAGCTGCGTCTAGCTGCTGCGCTATCCTGCGTCGTCCCTTTCCCTTTTCTAGACTAGCTGGCGTCTGATGGCGATATCTGTCCCGCTGGAATATAGATTTCTATATGAGCCCAGATCACCATCTTCAGAACCCTGAATTTAGATTCCGTTCCCGTTTCGAAAAACATCGCTGTCGGAATAATAAAGATCCGTCGTCTCCGCGATCCGAGGCCGTCGACCAGCTCCCGGTTTAAATACGCATCCACATTATTCACATTAGTCACATTCACATTATTCATGGACGTTCCGCCTTCCACGCCGTGTTGCGCGGCCAGCCATCCGGACCGCCACAGCAGCGGCCATTCCTCGTGCCTCAGCTCCTCCGCGTGCACGGAAGCCGCCTCCCCGGACGGGGAATGGGACCACCGCGAGGGGGCGGGAACCGGCGGAGGGCTTTCAGCTCGCGGGGGGGCTTCCGCGGGGCTTCCACAGAAGCGGCGGGATCCGCCGTCCGCGCAGAGGGACCGTGCGGAGTGCCGGTGGTGCGGGCGGCGCGTTCTGCTGAAGCGGCGGTGCAGCTGTCGGTCATGCGTGGAGTCCGGTCCGCCCATGGATCGACGAATAATGCGATGCCGCGACTGCACCGTTCACTCTGTACGTCGTGTTTCGTGCGATGTCGCTGCTGTGGCAGTCATTCGGTACGCTGCACCTGTCACATCGGCGATAACAAAAAGAAGAAGAAGAAGAAAAAAGAGGAAAGAAAAAGGAGCAGGAAATGTGTTAGCTGATCATGGACCAGCAAGGAATGCAGGGGCGGCACCATGTGCTCGGTACGTGTCGCTCTCCGGCGGCGATAGTGGCGGTGTTGGTGGTGAACACGCACGTCACTGATAATCGCGAAGTAAACAGCGCAATCTAGCGAGTGAAGTCCAGCCGTCCATAAAATCCCCGATCAAGCGTACGTTAATGCACTCCTCTCACGAAGCATACGCCATGTCCCCCGTGCTTGCATCCCAGGCGCGCTGTATGGTGTGTCTGTGTCTGTGCCGCGTGTACGAGGACGTGGTGTGCTGCGAGTCAGTCCTGGCCTGGATACCCATGCGTCATTACCCCCCCCCCCCAGGCGCGCTGCATGGTGTGTCTGTGTCTGTGCCGCGTGTACGAGGACGTGGTGCGCTGCGCCCACCGCGGCTGCGGCAACCTGCTGCACCACCGCTGCGCCAAGCCGCAGATGGCGCTCTCCTGGACCAATCAGGGGCTGCACTGCATGCACCACAAGCTCCCCTCCTCCACCACCTCTTCCTCTTCCAACACCGTCAACGCCACCGGCAGTGGCACCGGCAGTGGCACCGGCAGCGGCAGCGGTGGTGGTAGTGGTGGCAGTGGTGGCAGCGGTGGCAGTGGTGGTGGTGGTGGTGGTGGTGGTGGCGGCAGCGGCGGCGGCAGGGATGGCAGTGGCAACGGTGATGGTAACGGTCCTGGTGATAACGGAATGGGCAATGCGGTTGGAGGGAGCGAGAGAGGGTTGGGCAGGGGCAGGAAGGGTGGCGATGACAAGGAGCAGCGGGGGATCGTTAGCAACGTGAGTAGCAGCAGCAGCAGCAGCGGTGGCCGCGGCAATGGCGATGCTGGTGCTGGTGACATTGCTGGTGGTAGTAAGGATGGTGGTGCAGATGGTGGGAGCGGCGGCGGTGGTCCCGAGGATTCGAACAGCAAGGACTCGTGCCATTTCTGCAGCCTATTGGAAGAGAGATCTACGTTGCCCAGCCTGCCCACCCCCTCCATCCTCAACTGGGTAAGTCTTAGGTGGTTACGCCTAAGATCACTCTCTGCTGAACCCTTCCTTCTGCCTTTGCCTCCTTTGAGTTGGTTGTTGCTTGTTGGTTTGCTAGTCCGAACCTGGCACTCCGCACACGTGGGTTGAGGCACAATCAGTACAAATGGCATGTACCATGCTTTGCAGCATCCACTCTCCAGAGACTTCATATTGTCATGTGCCCAATGCCTCTCACTCACATCCCATGCACCATCCCTCGCTCTCCACTTCTCCGTGCAGCATCTCTCACCACCCCACGCTTGTTCTCTCTCTGTACTCTATCTTGTCTCTGTGTGCATGTGTGTGTGTATCTGTGCATGTGCGAGCGTGACTGTGCATGTGTGCATGGTATCTGTACATGTATGGTTGTTCCTGTGCCTGCATGTGCCATCTATGTGCGCTGGGATGTGAATGTTTGTTTTCTTGTCTTGCCCGTAACTTGTCTTGCCCGTAACTTGTCTTGCCCGTAACTTGTCTTGCCCGTAACTTGTCTTGCCCGTAACTTGTCTTGCCCGTAACTTGTCTTGCTCGTCTTGTCTGCCCTGCCAACAGTACTGTGAGCCCGTGCGAACTGCAGAGGTGAGCCCCCCCCATCCCCCTCTGCCCCCCCACCCTCCTTGCATCCCTCGTCGCTCTCCCAGTCCCCCTAGCATCCATCCCTCATCCTCCTCCTCCTGGTCCTCCTTGCAACCTCCCGTCCCCCCCCTCCTCGGATTTCCTTGCAACCTTCCATCATCCCCCTCCTTGCATTCACTCGATAGGAGCACAAGTTGCTTCTAGAAGGTGCGCCTATTAAGCTTCTTGAGTGTCTCCTCCCCCTTTCGGTTTCCCCACCCTTCAATACAGCAAGAGAAGTGCCGCACCCTTCTCCCATCGTCCCTCCCTTTCCCCTCCCGTCTCTGCAGCAAGGCATGTGCGCCCTTCTCCTATCATCCCTCCCTTTAGTACGGCAACATCTCCCCTCCTCTGCCCCACGTGGCAGTGGACTTCCGCAATCCGCCCTCCATCCTCCTAGCTGTCCGCACTTCCTCCCCTCAACCCCCCCCCCCCCCCCCCCCCCCTCTCCCCCTCGCCCCCGCTCCCCCCCTGCAGCAAGGCATGTGCGCCCTCCCTCTGCCCCACGTGGCAGTGGACTTCCGCCTTCCCCCTGCCATCCCCCTCTCTGTGACCCAAGCAGAGAGGGAGGAGAGGGAGGAGGGAGCCATACCAGTTAGCACTCGAGAGTTAAAGCCTCGGTACATACACATCAATTCAAGTGAGTGGTGAGAGGGCTATCAGCTATGTTGCCTGCTTCCCTTATTTGCTCGTCATGCTGGTTCTTGGGTTTGCCATACTTCAAGCCGCGCTGCTCCCTTGCTTCAGTTGACTGAGTGCCTGTAAGCTGACTTCCCTCCTCAACTTCCCTCCTCAAGTTCGCTCCTCAATTTCCCTCCTCTCCTCTTCTCTCCCTGCACCATGCAGACGTGTATCTCCGGTCACGACCAGTGATGGACGATGACGATATGGGGTGTGACTGCAAGGGCGGCAGCAGCATGGCGTGTGGAGACGACTGCATGTGCCGGTGAGTGCATGGCTGCTTGGGCCGATGGGTTCACGATTTCCTGCACTAATTGTGGTGGTTGCTTGTGTCACATCACACTTGCTCCCGATAATTGCCCCATCTTCACTCATGCTGCATGTTCTATTTCATTGCACTGGCAGGGTACTATATGCCGCGCACTGCCTGCGCCTGCCAGTTCACGAGAAATATGAACAGCAGCCTTCTGCTGAAACGCCTCAAAAGAATACGAATGGTTTAACTCAGAAATTACTCACTGCCACGTGTTGCATTGCCACGTGTTGCATTGCCATGTGCTGCATTGGCGCATGCTGCATTGGCGCATGCTGCATTGGCGCATGCTGCATTGGCGCATGCTGCATTGGCGCATGCTGCATTGGCGCATGCTGCATTGGCGCATGCTGCATTGGCGCATGCTGCATTGGCGCATGCTGCATTGGCGCATGCTGCATTCCCGCATGCTGCATTGCCGCATGCTGCATTGGCGCATGCTGCATTGGCGCATGCTGCATTGGCGCATGCTGCATTGGCGCATGCTGCATTGGCGCATGCTGCATTGGCGCATGCTGCATTGGCGCATGCTGCATTGGCGCATGCTGCATTGGCGCATGCTGCATTGCCGCATGCTGCATTGGCGCATGCTGCATTGGCGCATGCTGCATTGGCGCATGCTGCATTGGCGCATGCTGCATTGGCGCATGCTGCATTGGCGCATGCTGCATTGGCGCATGCTGCATTGCCGCATGCTGCATTGGCGCATGCTGCATTGGCGCATGCTGCATTGGCGCATGCTGCATTGGCGCATGCTGCATTGGCGCATGCTGCATTGGCGCATGCTGCATTGCCGCATGCTGCATTGGCGCATGCTGCATTGGCGCATGCTGCATTGGCGCATGCTGCATTGGCGCATGCTGCATTGGCGCATGCTGCATTGGCGCATGCTGCATTGGCGCATGCTGCATTGGCGCATGCTGCATTGGCGCATGCTGCATTGGCGCATGCTGCATTGGCAGGGCGCAATACCTGAGTTGCACCAACAGGTGCGGCTGCCACGGTGGCTGCTGCAACCGCCCCTTCAGTCAGCCAAAGAAACTCAGCATTGTGCAAGTGAGTATGGGATCGGCTTCGCATCCCATGTTTGGTGACTTCTGAATCAACTCGAGTCACCCCTTCAGTTGTGCAAGTGAGTATGGGCTCTGGTTACCGTGCCATCTTTGTCCCATGCATTAAACCCCATCCACCATGCCCATGCCCTATCATGCCATGCGCCATGCACCATCCAACATGCACCATGCCCCATGCTTTATGCGCCATGCTTCATGCACCATGCCCCATGAAGCATGCACCATACTCCATCCCCAATGCCCCATAAACCGTGCCCCATGCCCCATGCCACATGCCCCATGCCCCATGCCACATGCCCCATGCCCCATGCCGCATACCCCATGCCCCATGCCGTTAATGCAGATGCCATGCTGTGGGGCATGCGGGCGAATTGTTCCTGCATATGCCATGCATAAGAATGACGCCCCATCACTCCCCAACACCCCTGATGCAGAACAATTTTTGAGCCGACAAAAAAAATCGTGTGTAATGAGTATTTTTTAGTCGACTAAAAAACTAGTGTGTAATGAGTCCATTTTTTAGTCGACTAAAAAATAGACTCATTGATGCCACGCTGTGGGGCATGCGGGCTAATTGTTCCTGGATACGCCATGCTGTGGGGCATGCGGGCTAATTGTTCCTGGATACGCCATGCTGTGGGGCATGCGGGCTAATTGTTCCTGCATACGCCATGCATATGACCTCCCATCCCTCCCCAACACCCCTTCCTCAGTCGGCAATCGCTGTGGGTGGGGCGCACAGTGGCAGCCGAGCCCATCAAGGCGATTCTTGAGAATTCTAAAAAATCAGCTACAGCATGAGTGGCAGCCAAGCCCATCAAGGCGGGGGAGTTTGTTGAAGGGTATGCCGGGAAGGTGGTCGACGATGCAGCGTGCGAGGCCAGGCTGAGGGCCATGCGGACCAAACCTTCCTGCATGCACTCCCCAACCCCACAATCCTTCCCAATAACCCCCCCTACTCAGACAGCACGCTGTGGGTGGGGCGCAGTGGCAGCCGAGCCCATCAGAGCAGGGGAGTTTGTGGTTGAACATGCGGGGGAGGTGATCGACGACGCAGTGTGTGAGGCGAGGCTGTGGGCCATGCGGGCTAATTTCTCCTGCAAGTTTCCCCCCTCTACTCTCCCATCCCCCCTAACGCAGACAGCACGCTGTGGGTGGGGCGCAACGGCAGCCGAGTTTGTGGTTGATTATGCGGGGGAGGTGATCGACGACGCGGTGTGTGAGGCGAGGCTGTGGGCCATGAAGACCACCCTTCCTGAATATAACCCCCCAGTACTCCTTGTACTCCCCATCCGCCCCGATGCAGACTGCACGCTGTGGGTGGGGAGCAGTGGCAGCAGAGCCTGTCAAAGCAGGGGACTTTGTGGTTGAATGTGCGGGGGAGGTGATCGACGGCGCGGTGTGTGAGGCAAGGCTGTGGGCCATGTGGGCTAATTGTTCTCCCTTATATCTCCCCATTTCTCCCCAATACTCCCCTACTCAGACTGAACGCTGTGGGTGGGGCGCAGTGGCAGCAGAGCCCATCAAAGGGGGGGAGTTTATCGTAGAGTACGCTGGGGAGGTGATCGATGATGCGGTGTGTGAGGCGAGGCTGTGGGCCATGCGGGCGGGGGGAGCGGCGGATTTCTACATGTGTGAAGTGAGCCGGGATGTGGTGATCGATGCTACTTTCCGAGGGGGGTACGGGCGCTTTGTCAACCACAGCTGCGCTCCCAACGCTGAGCTGCAGAAATGGTGAGAAGTGTGAGAAAATGCGGCTTTTCCTCGGCCCTCCCCACCCCATATCTCCCTCTTTCTTTTCCCACTCATGCTGCCTTCATCTCTTCGAGTGTCTCTCATCCTCAGTTGCATGCACTCTCGTCTGGGCCGCGTTCTGTGGCTCCCTTAGTTCCCTCATCTCGCTCGTTCAGGCTGGTGGAAGGGCACGTGCGTGTGGGCAGAAGTGCCGCGCTCACACTATTTGCCAGCAAGGACATTGTATGAGGCACCCCAAAGCTGTGCTCTCTGCCTATTTCCATGTCCCTCTTTCTCAGGCTGGTGGAGGGGCATGTGCGCGTGGGCATTTTTGCCACCAAGGACATTGCAGTGGGGACAGAAGTGGCATACGATTACAGGTATCGTGACTGGTTGGAACGCTGTGGCTTTACTTCTTTCTGCCTTTTTGCGTGCTGCTGTGTAGCTGAATTCGTTACAAACGCTTGGGTTTACGCAGATTTGTGAGCTTTGGCCCAAACCAAGCGTGTCAGTGCGGTGCAGAGCGGTGCAGAGGAGTGATTGGAGCCAATCCCCCAGCCACAACTGCGGGCACTGCAGCCGCGCCCGCAAAACCCGAGAAGCAGGCTGGGACCGGACCTAGGACCAAGCCTTGCAATAGAGAAGGGGCAGGTGGGAATGAAGGAGATGGAGGGGGGGCAGATACCAGTGCAAGCAGGCTGTGCTGGGGAACAAGAGGTGCGAGATCAAGACGCATGCTGACACACCTGACACCACCCTGGTGGCAGCAGCATCAGCAGCAGTGGCTGTTACACCATCTCGTAACATGATTTGATAGGTCCTTATGAATGATACTGTAATTGATTTTTTTATTGACGAAGCACAGTGCTTCTGGTGTGGCTGGGCTACCAGTACCAGTACACTTGTGCACAAGATAGCATCTATAATAACAATAACAAGCACCCTAATGAATTGTCACGTCCATCTCAAAACAAATGGGAACTGTTACGCAGTAGTAACAATTTGGCATGGTTAACCCTTGCCACATCTTAGACAGAAGTGAGCAATATTTGCCCCCATTAGAAGCATGTGACAATAAATATGTAAGGTTTGAGTTGGACCTAGAGTTAGTAGCGTTAGCTTAGCTGTCTCCTATCCCGATTTGGTTGGTTAGCCCGTGCCTAGAATAATGTGCGGCAGCGAGGGTGAAGGCTCATGTCGTGTGACCCTCCGCCTCCCCTTGCTGCTGCTTCAGCCCGTGCCTAGAATAATGTGCAGCAGCAAGGGTGAAGGCTTGTGTGACCCTCCACCTCCCCTTGCTGCTGCTTCAGCCTGTGCCTAGAATGATCTGGAGCAGCAAGGGAGAAGGCAAGGCTTGCAAAACCCTCCTCCCCACCACCCCTTGCTGCTGCCTCCTCTCCTCAGCCCGTGCCGAGAACTATGTGACGCAGCAAGGGTGCTGAGAAGGCTTGCGTGAACCGCTGCCACCCCTTGCTGCTGCTTCAACCCATGCCTGGAATGCCATTAAATGACAAAAAGAGTTTGGACTGGACCCCACCGGCCCTCCACTCCACCCCTTGCTGCTGCCCTTTATTCCCCTCAAAGCCCAGCGCTACCCCTTGCCCCAGATGTCAAACCAGCCGCCCTTTTTCGCCGACTTGGGAGGTGACGTTGATGTGTCGGCTGTGCTTGCTGCTGCTGCTGCTGTTGCTGCAGGTGTGGCTGCAGGTGTGGCTGCAGGTGCTGGTTGTGCTTCTGTTACTTCTGTTCCTGGTGAAACCGAGACAACAAAGTGAGGAGGGGTGGTGGTGGTGGTGGTGGTAGGGAATGGGGAAGATTAGGAGGGGAGGTGAGGAAGAGAATGGAGGGGAGGATGGACATGGGTCAAATGACATGCTCACAAATGCAACTTTACAAACCCGTTAAGGTTGCACCACACACTTGCACAGCATTCACCCATACATGGTCAACCACCACCCATGAGCCATGAGCCATGAGCCATGAGCCATGGGCCACCATCATCTATCGCCCATATCGGTTCGTTACCCATGGCACTTACCCATTGTCCCTTCATCCTCTCGTCTCTCCAAGCTCAACATCCCCTGGCTCTGCTCCTCATCTGTCTCCCACACTGGCCCCCCTCCCCCTCCCTTCCCTCCCATTTCTCCTCCTCCTCCCTCCCCTCCCTCTCCTCCCTCTCCCCCTTCCCTTTGTCCCTCACTCTCACTATGCCCACTGTCACTCGGTGACCTTACAGGGGCTAATTTCCCTCCCCAATTCCCACTTCCACTGACCTGACTCCCCATGTTCCCACTCCCCATGTTCCCACTCCCTAGACCTCCACTCAATCCCCCACTGCCTAGCCTACTACCCAAACCGCCCCCACTTCCCAGTCTGCCGCCCAGCCCACTCCCACCGGCGCCGTGTAACATCCCACCATGGTTACCATTCCCATCGTACCCACTGCTGCCATACCCCTCACTCCCATAGGTCCCACTTCCCAAAGCGTGCCCCTTTGCGTAATTCCCACTCCCATACGCCTCACTCCCATAGTTCCCACTCCCCTCATAGTTCCCGCTCCCTTGCTCCCCTCCAAAATTACCCCTCCCCAATCTGCTCCCATAATCTCCCCCCCCCCACCACCACCATATTGCCCACTCCCTAGCCTCCCTCCAAAGTTCCCGCTCCCATAGACACCGCTGCCAGTGGCGCCAGAACTGCCGGCTAGCCGGCTAGATGCCGGCTGGACGTCCTCCTGGAAGGAAACCTGCCGGCTGCTGCGGCCAGAGGTGCGGGGAGGGAAGGAGGAGGGTCCGGTGTTGCTGCTGCTGGTGTGGGTCTTGAGGCTCGGGTGAAGCTGCGGATGTGGCTGCTGCTGCTGTGGCTGTTGGTGTCTGTATAAGGGGGGGCGTGTGTCATAAGTGTTAAACTGATCATTCTCTTCCTCCTCTTCCTCTTCTTCTTCCTCCTCTTCCTCTTCTTCCTCCTCCTCTTCCTCTTCTTCCTCCTCTTCTTCGTCTTCTTCGTCTTCCTCCTCTTCCTCCTCTTCCTCCTCTTCCTCCTCTTCCTCCTCTTCCTCTTCTTCCTCCTCCTCTTCCTCCTCTTCCTCAGTCTCCTCCGTCTCCCCTTCTGTCTCTCCTTCTGTCTCCCCTTCTGTCTCCCCTTCTGTCTCCCCTTCTGTCTCCCCTTCTGTCTCCCCTTCTGTCTCCCCTTCTGTCTCCCCTTCTGTCTCCCCTTCTGTCTCCCCTTCTGTCTCCCCTTCTGTCTCCCCTTCTGTCTCCGCTTCGGTCTCTCCTTCTGTTTCTCCCTCCGTCTCTCCTTCCGTTTCCTCCTCTTCTGTCTCTCCCTCCGTTTCACCCTCCGTCTCTCCCTCTGTCTCTTCCGTCTCCCCTGTTACCTCTTCTGACCCTTCTTCTGTCCCTTCCTGTGTTCCCTCCTCCGTCTCCTCCTCTGTCTCCTCCTCACTCTCCTCCCCTCCCTCCCCACCAGTCTCACCAGTCACCCCAGTCAATTCCGACCCATAGCTCCTCCCACTCTCTCCCTGTACCCCTCCCACCCCAATCGCTCTACCCCCTTCCCGCTCCTCCCGAACCTCCAGCCCCGGCCCGAGGCTGAGCTCCGGTATCAGGTCTTCACGTCCCTGCCTGCGTTTCTCTCCCCCTCTCACTCCATCCCCTCCTCCCCCTTCTGCCTCCCCTTGTCCGGCCCTCAATCCCTCTCCCCCTCCTCGCCCCTCTCCCTCCCCTGCACCTGCCAAACCTGCACCTGCCGAGCCTGCTGCACCTGCACCCGCAGCCACACCCGGACCTGCGCCGTTTACCGAGCCTGTCGCACTTCTTCCACTCCTCGACCCCGCACCTGCGTCGAGCCAAGAAAACCCACCGTACAGCGCCGGACCTGGAGCCAGCAGGTGAGGCTCGGCTTTGGACCGAGGCAAGGCCGAGTTTCGGTACGGCAAGTATCCGGAGCTATGGTCACTTAGCTCCAGATAGCTTCCCTCAAACCTCCCGCTGAACCCGCTCTTCCTGCTGCTCCTGCCGCTGCTGCGAGTGCTGCTGCTGATACTCGCACCGCTCGCAACACTGGCCCCATCTCCCTCCCCGCCCGCCCCATCCCCCTCATTATCCTCCTCGTTATCCCCTTCAGTGTACCCACTTCCGCTGCTGCCACTCCTGGTCAACCTCCCGCTGCTACCAGTGGGGCGGTCAAGCCCTTCCAAAGCAGCAGCCGCAGCAGCAGCTTCGGCCGAGCCTCTCATGGAATGACCTGGGCTCGTGTGATCCAAACCTGGCGAGTTGCCTCGGGAGTTGCCTTGGGAGTTGCTTCGGGAGCCGGCTGAACTGCGGGGAGTGTGGGGAGTGGAAGTGGAGTGGCCTGCAGCTGCTTGCCACTCCAATATTCGCTGCTGAATGGCGTTCAGCCCCCCCCCATCACCCCCATCACCAGCAGCAGCAGCAGCAGAGGCAGTAGGGCCAGTGCTGCTGCTGCCGGTAGGACCTCCTATCCCGCCCGCTCCTGGCGGCCATTCCTTGGTGTTGACCCTGCTAGCATGCGGACTGACATGCCTACTAGGGTGGGGGCTAACATGCGGGCTGGCATGGCGACTAGCATGGGGGCTGGCTCGTGGGCTTGGGCTCACCCCAGGTCTGTCTCCCACGGGTCTCAGCCCCGCCTTCCAGTCAACCGTGTTCTGCCGGCTGCTGCCGTCCGCCTGACTGCTAGCCGGCGGGCCCGCCGGCCGCAGGTGCGAGCGCCAGTCGGGATCGTTGTTGTCACCGGCTGTGCTGCCACCAGCTAGACGGGCCGAGGAATCCACGTGTCTTAGAGGGAGAGAGGGGGATTCGACTGCCATCATTACTGCTGCTGCTCCTGCTGCTCCTGCTGGCCATTCCTTTGTGTTTTGCCTGCTGCCCTGTCTGCTGCTCGGCCTGCTGCCCCCTAGCTGCTGCTGAAGGGAAGTCGGTGTGGGCCATTCTTGAGTGTTTTGCCTGCTGCCCTGCCTACTGCTCGGTCTGCTACCCGCTTGTTGCTGCTGCTGCTGAATCACCGCTGGCGTAGGCCACTCTTGAGTGTTCTGCCGGCTGCCCTGCCTGCTGGTTGGTCTGCTCCCTCCCTGCTGCTGCTGCTGCTGCTGCAACAACTGCTGCAACTGCTGCTGTTGGATCGATGCGGGTGTGGGCCATTCTTGCGTGTTCTGCCGGCTGCCTTGTCTGCTCCTAGGTCTGTTGCCCTGCTGCTGGGCTGACACAGGCGTGGGCCACTCCTGCGTGTTCTGCCTGCTGCCCTGCCTGCTGCTACCCACCGCACCAGTGGCCCCCATCTCTCGGTTGAAGCTCCCCGCTTGCTGCATGCGAATGGCAGCAGCGGAGGGACCACCCCCTGCAGCCGCCACTACAGCTGCTGCCGCTGCGATCGCAGCATACCCTGCCTGCCTCCCCCCGGCCTCCTCTTCCCCTTCCGTGCTGCTGCCTTCCGCCTCTGTCTCTTCCTCTGTCTCTGCCTCTGTCTCTGTCTCCTCTTGAGACAAGTCGTGCCCTGTTCCCTCCCCCGTGTCCTGTTCTCTGCTGCTCTCCTCTTTTAGAGGTACCACGCTTATCGATCCGTCCTCCTCCTCCTCCTCGTCCTCCTCTTCTTCCTCCTCTTCTTCCTCCTCTTCTTCCTCCTCTTCCTCTTCTTCCTCCTCTTCTTCCTCCTCTTCCTCCTCTTCCTCTTCTTCCTCCTCCTCCTCTTCTTCCTCCTCTTCCTCTTCTTCTTCCTCCTCTTCCTCTGTTTCCTCATCTTCCTCCTCCTCCTCCACCTCCTCTTCCTCTTCCTCCTCCGTTTCCTCCTCGGTTTCTTCTTCCTCCTCCTCCTCTTCTTCTTCCTCTTCCTCTACCTCCTCAGTCTCCTCCTCTTCCTCTTCCTCTTCCTCCTCCTCCTCTGTCTCTCCCTCTGTCTCCCCCTCGGTCTCACCCTCTGTCTCTCCCTCCGTCTCTCCCTCTGTCTCACCCTCCGTCTCTCCCTCTGTCTCACCCTCCGTCTCTCCCTCTGTCTCTCCCTCTGTCTCCCCTTCGCCCGCCCACTCCCCCTCTCCCCCGTCCCCGACAGCAGGCACGCCAGCATAGCTCGCCTCACTCTCCTCCGTCTCCCCTTCTGTCTCCGTAACCATCTGACCCACTTCATCGTACAAGGCCAGCTGCGACTCAGTCATCGAAGTCACATCATCATCGATAGTTTGCTCCTCGCCTATGGTGTGAACCGTCGTCTCCCCCTCGTGCTCCTCATCCTCCTCCTCATAATATGACCCCCCCTGATCCTCCTCAGTCGATTCTTCTTCTTCTTCCTCTTCATCTCCAGTTGTTTCCTCCTCCTCCTCCTCCTCCTCCTCTTCCTCCTCCTCTTCCTCCTCCTCTTCCTCCTCCTCTTCCTCCTCCTCTTCCTCCTCCTCTTCTTCCTCCTCTTCTTCCTCCTCTTCTTCCTCCTCCTCCCCCCCCTCCCCTGTCTCTTCAGTTTCTTCTGTTACCTCCTCTCCTGTTACGTCCTCCTCTGTTACCTCCGTTCCTTCCTCTGTCACTTCTTCAGTCCCCTCCTCTTCCTCTTCCTCTTCCTCTTCCTCTTCCTCTTCTTCTTCCGCATCTTCTTCTTCTTCCTCATCCTCCTCCTCCCCCCCCTCTGTCTCTTCGGTCACTTCTTCCTCTGTTCCTTCCTCAGTCTCTTCCTCCTCCTCCCCCTCCTGCTCGTACTCCTCTGTTGCTTCTGTTTCTTCAGTCCCCTCCTCTTCTTCTTCCTCTTCCTCCACTCCTTCCTCCTCATATTCCTCAGTCATTTCCGTTGCTTCTGTCCCCTCCTCATCATCCTCTTCCTCTTCCTCCTCCTCTTCCTCCTCTTCCTCTTCCTCTTCCTCTTCCTCCTCCTCTTCCTCCTCTTCCTCTTCCTCTTCCTCTTCCTCCTCTTCCTCAGTCATTTCCGTTGCCTCAGTCCCTTCTTCTTCCTCCTCCTCTTCTTCGTCTTCCTCCTCTTCTTCCTCCTCCTCTTCTTCGTCTTCCTCCTCTTCCTCCTCATATTCCTCCGTCATTTCTGTTGCTTCAGTCCCCTCCTCTTCCTCCTCTTCCTCTTCCTCTTCTTCCTCCTCATAATCCTCAGTCAATTCGGTGGCTTCTGTCCCCTCTTCCTCCTCATCCTCCTCTTCCTCCTCTTCCTCTTCTTCTTCCTCCTCCTCCTCTTCCTCCTCCTCTTCCTCCTCATAGTCGCCTGTGGTTTCTTCAGTCACTTCTTCTGTCCCTGTGACCTCCTCTGTCCCTGTAACCTCTTCCGTCCCTGTAACCTCTTCCGTCCCTGTTACCTCCTCCGTAGTTTCCTCTGTACCCTCCCCCTCTTCAGTATACTCCTCCTCCTCCTCCTCATCCTCCTCCTCCTCTTCCTCTTCCTCCTCTTCTTCTTCTTCCTCCTCCTCCTCCTCTTCCTCCTCCTCTTCCTCTTCTTCCTCCTCCTCTTCCTCTTCCTCCTCCTCTTCCTCTATCATTTCAGCAGTAACAACACCGCTCGTCACCTCGCCATCCCCCCATCCCCCCCCACCATAAGCACCCGAGGCGGACGACGAAACCACTGCAGCCGAAACAGCGGACCCAGACGACAAGCCATCATCAAAGCTCACTTCCTTCGTCCTCCTAGCCCCACCTGCTGCACCAATACCATACTGCTGCCGCTGCTGCTGCTGCTGCTGGTGCCACTGCTGCTGCGTTTGCCCTGGGACAGGGACCAGCCCCCCACTCATCTGTTCCCCTGACGTCAACACCTCCCCTACTGGCACCCCTTCCTCCTCACTCGATGCAAACGACCACTCTCTCTCGATCCCCTCTCCCTCTCCTCCTCTGCCTCCTCCCCCCTGCTGCTGCTGCTGCTCCTGCTGCCGCCTCTCCTCCTCCTCCTGCCGTTGCTGCTGCTGCCGTTGCCTGGCCATTTGCACGGCAGTCGCAGCAGAAATAGACGACTCCATAATCGCACTAGTCAAAGCATCACTAGTCCCCATGCCCCTCTCCCCTCTCTCCCCTCTCTCACCACCCCCAATCATCCTATCCCCACTGGGCGTCATGCTCCTCTCAGCACTTAGCAAAGTGTCGGTATTTTCAGACTCAGCCTCATCCGGGCTCGACCAATCAGCAGAGCTTCGGGACGCAGTGCTGGCACTGGTAGGCCGGGCCCGAGCCGAAGACAAAGGCGTGCCCGCCGAACCTGCGCCTCCCGGACCTAACGGGGGCCGGCGCGATCCCCAACCACTTGCCGAACCAGCCCCTCCTGCTGCTGCTGCCGCCCCTGCTGCCCCTGCTACAGCTCCTGCTGTAGCAGCACTTGCAGAGGCACCAGTGCCATCACCCGCACCACCACCACCATCACCACCCCCCTCTTCACTCTCATATGCCGTCGCCCATGACTCGTCCCTACCAAACCTCGCACTCGTCCCACTCCTTCCGCTCCTCCCAACCCCGCCCCCACCAGCAGCACCCCCATCATCAGGGGCAGTGGCCCACGACTCGTCTCTCGCGAATCTCACGCTCCTCCCACCTTCTTCCGCCGTCGCCCACGACTCGTCCCTCTCAAAACCCACACCAGCAGCAGCAGCAGCAGCCGGGGTGGGGCGGAGGGGGAATGAGGGCGCTTGGGAGGAACCAGGGAAGGCAGCGGGAGGGGGAGAAGCCGGGGTGGGTCGTAGGGGGAAGGCAGGCGAGGGGGTAGAAGCAGGGGGAGGGGAAGGGGCGGTGGGGGGGAGGGAGGAGAGGCGGGGGTCGGAGGGTGGGGGAGGGAGGGGGGAAGGACCCATGAATCCTGGTTGTGAGGCATCCCCTTTACTATCATCTCTCCTACTACTACTGCCTCCCGTCCCATCTACCACCACCTCTACACGCGCTGATGCTGACGGCGACGACGGCTCCTTCTCCCCTCCCTGCTGCTGCTCCTCCTGCGGCGGCTTTTGGCCCCATCTGAAGGGCATGAGCGCGAATGCGCCCACAGCAGCGGCTGCCGCTGCGAATCCCGATGCCACACTCATCCCACCCGCTCCTGCTGCTTCTGCTCCTCCAGCCCCCCCTGCTCCTCCTGCTCCTCCTGCTGCTCCTGCTCCTGCTGCTCCTCCTGTTGCTGCTACTGGTGGTGGGGTCAACGCAGCACCCGCAGTGGAAGCAGCAGCGCCACCGCTGGTAGAAGCACCTGCTGCTGCTCCTCCTGCTGCTGCTCCTCCTGCTGCTGCTCCTCCTGCCGCTGCTCCCCCTGCTGCTCCCCCTGCCGCTACCCCTGCCGCTGCCCCTGCCGCTGCTCCTGCTGCTCCTGTTGCTGCTGCTGCCCCGCTTCCCACAGCGCCACTATCACCATCATAAAGCTCCAGCTCAAGCACATCCTCCTCCTCCTCCTCCTCGCTCTCCTCCCCGCCCTCCCCCTCTGAGTCTATTTCCACTATCGTCTCGTGAATCATTGGTCGGTTCCTCAAACCCGCTGCTCCAGCCGCTGCTGCCCCTACTGCTGCTCCTGCTACCGCACCAGCAGCAGCAACAGCAGGACCGGAGGGGGCGGCATCGGAAGCAGGAGTGGCGGGAGTGGGTGGGGGAGGGGGGGGCTGGGGCGGAGCCTGGCAGAGAGGGTGGGGCAAGGGGGAAAGAGGGCGGGCGGGGAGACAGGGGTTTGATCAAAGGGTGGGGAGGAGAAGTGGGAAGGGGGAGAAGTGGGAAGGGGGAGAATTGGTTGACATGGCACAGTGAGAAGGGGGGAGGGAAGAGAGTGAGGGGTGGAGGCGTGAGGGGCGGACGATGATAATTTGCGACAACGTGGGGGAGAGACACGAATAAGAGTAGCGACTTTCCCATGTGCCTCTTCACAGGGCACTCGGGATGGAGCCAAGTTCAACTCACCCGTCCGAGCGGCCGTCGCTGGTCATCCAACTCCACATCATCAGACGTGGGGTGCGCCAGAGGCACCTCGTCCGACTCCTCTGTCGTCTCCCCTCCTCCTCCTCCCCCTCCTCCCCTCACTCTCCTCCCCACCTTCTCACTACTCACCTCCCCCGTGCTGTACCCCTCCCCCTCCTCCCCCACCTCCACACTCGTATACTCCGGACTCTCCCCTTGACTGTCCCCCACAGGCAGCGCCATAACCACCTCTTCTCCCTCTCCCCTCTCCTTCCCTCCTCTCCTCCCTCCTCCCCCCCCGTCCTCCCCCGACCCGGTCACTTCTGCTGTGAAAACACCCGTCCCAGTATACCCCACATCAGATGAGCCCTCCCCCTCCTCCTCATCAGCATCCCCCCTCTTCCCTGCAGGGGTGGAGCCCCCAGCGCTGGTTGCGCCAGCAGGGGTGGAGGGGCCGACGCCAGCAGCAGCAGCAGCCCGGTCGGCTGCTTGCTCGATCCGCCGCCGCAGGGGCGAGTCGCTGCCGCCGCTGACAGGCTTAGAGCGGCCCGAGTCATAGGGGCTGGACCTGGTGAGCAGCGGGGGGGGAGGGGAGGGGGGAGGAGAGGGGGGAGGGGAGAGAGGATGGGGAGGGCGAGTCCAGGGGCGAGTCGCTGCCGCCGCTGACAGGCTTAGAGCGGCCCGAGTCGTAGGGGCCGGACCTGGTGATGGGGGAGGGGGTGGGGGGCCGGAGCAGAAGTGTGAGGGTGAATTGAGAGGGGCGAGTCGCTGCCGCCACTCACGGGCTTAGAGCGGCCCGAGTCGTAGGGGCCAGACCTGGAGAGCAGCGCGGGGGGGGGGAGGGGAGAGAGGGTGGGGAGGGTGAGTCCAGGGGCGAGACGCTGCCGCCGCTCACTGGCTAAGAGCGGCCGAATTCGGAAGTGGAGTCGCAGGGGCCGTACCTGGGGGGCATGGCTCCGAATCCAGCCATGTTCATCCGCGTGTTTGAGTCCATGTCCTCTGAAAACAGCGCCGCACTCTCCTCGCCCTCGCCCTCGTCCCTATCCGCACCCCCCTCCTCCCCTGTCTCCCCCTCCTCCCCTGTCCCCCCTGCTTCCCTGGAAGAGAATGAGACGGACCCCGGCTGGGTGCCAGCAGCCGCCGCACCAGCAGCAGCACCACCTGCCGCCGCCGCTGCTGCTGCTGCTGTACCCAGTGCTATGGCTGCCGCACCAGCACCAGCAGCACCCCCAGTGGTGTCGGTGTCAGCAGCGGCATCGAGGGCGGAGGCAGTGGTGTCAGGAAACTCGAGGGAGGGCGGGTTGGCGAGGGGGTTGGTGATGTAGATGCGCGGGGACGACCCCGCTGAACCCCCGTGCTTCATGCAGTAGGGGTAGGTGCAGCTCGACCCCCTGCGGGTGAGAACAAGAGGGGGCGGAGATTGGGAGAGGGAGATTGGGAGGAAGTGGGAGAGAGAGGGAGTTTGCGAGGAAGTGACATGGGAACCCGAGGGGCGGAAGGGCCTGCTGAGCCGCCGTGCATCATGCAGAAGGGGTACGTGCAGCTCGATCCCCTGCCGTGACAATCGAGAGGGCGAGGTGGAAGGGGGGGGGGGGAGGGGGGGGAATGGAGGAAGGAAAGACGGTGGATGATCCTTGTATCAATGCAGGGGGGGGGAGGTAAAAGGGAAGGCTGAGAAGGTCGAAAGAAAAACGTTGAAAGGTAGGTGCCCTTCCTCGCTTTCACACGCACTCACTTACACCCACACTCACACTCACACTCACTTTCTCTCACACTCACGCACACTCACACTCACTCACACACTCACACTCATTCACTCACACTCACTTTCTCTCACACTCACACTCACTCACTCACCCGCACAGCAGTCCGCGCCTCAGGCTGCTCTCCTCCTCGTCCTCCTGGTTGTTCAAGTATCGGTCCAGCAGCAGGCTGACCGGATACGCCACGGGCGACAGCACCACTAGCAGCACCCGCGCCACCCACGCCGTGCCCGAGGCGATGCGCAGCGAGTGGCGCGCGCAGATGGCTGGCGGGGCGATCTCTACAAAGAGCAGGATGAGGAGCACGCAGAGCACGAAGCCCATCACCATGCCCAGAATGTCTGCAGGGAAAAAGGGGGGGACGCAGAGGTGGGGGTGGTGGGGGGGGGTTGGGGCTACAGATTGTGGTAGATGGGAAGCGGGGAGAGGTGGGGAACGCTGGGGAACGGTGGGAAGCGGTGAGACTGATTTTCCAACGGATGGGAGTGGGGTTGACCAACTCTGCTGCTTTAATCTGCCGACAAGCCTGTATGGCATCTGAGCTTCCACCTGATCCCAACTGCCTCCCCCTGAGCCTCCACCTGAGCTATACCTAAGCCCCACCTGATCTTCCACCTGATCCCCACCTGCGCCCACCTGATCTTCCACCTGAGCCGCACCTGCGCCCACCTGATCTTCCACCTGAGCCCCACCTGAGACGAAGAGCGTGAAGCTGACGTTGACGCTGGTGCTGGCGACCAGCAGCGTGGTGAGCAGCAGACTGCCACGTGTCCGCAGCGACGCCACCCTGGCAGCCTGCCACCTCAGCCGCTCGTCCACGCCGTCCATGGCGGCCTGCAGGTGGGGGGGGGACGGGGGGGTGGGGGGAGGGGTGGGGGGAGTGTTGTGGAGAGGTGAGAAAGGGAGGGAGGAGAGGGGGGAGGGGGAGGTTGGTCAGGGGGGAAAGGGGGGCGGGGGAGAGAAGCGGGTTGGGGAGGGCAGTTACAGGAGGCGGTGGGGGGGGCCAGTGAGAGGAAGAGGGCACAAAGGAGGGGGGGGAGGACTGTGTGACAGTGCTAGTTACCTGTAGTGTGGCCATGTCCAGTCCGAGAGTGCACGACATCACGCACGATATGACCAGCGAATCGCCGATCAGGCAGCATGCGGATTGAGGGAAGGCGTGGGAATAGGAGATGTATGGGGAGGGGGAAGGCCTGGGGAGGTGACTTTTGAGTCGACTCAAAAATGTATGAGGAGGGGGAAGGCCTGGGGAGGTGCCTTTTGAGTCGACTCAAAAATGTATGGGGAGGGGGAAGGCCTGGGGAGGTGCCTTTTGAGTCGACTCAAAAATGTATGAGGAGGGGGAAGGCCTGGGGAGGTGCCTTTTGAGTCGACTAAAAAATGTATGGGGAGGGGGAAGGCCTGGGGAGGTGCCTTTTGAGTCGAATCAAAAATGTATGGGGAGGGGGAAGGCCTTGGGAGGTGCCTTTTGAGTCGACAAAAAAATGTATGGGGAGGGGGAAGGCCTGGGGAGGGGGAAGGCCTGGGGAGGGGACGGGCCGGGCAGGGGAGAGGCGACCCTACCTGCGGTGTCGCCATGTCCAGTCCGAGAGTAGACGACATCATGCACGATATGACCAGCGACATGCCCAGCAGGCAGCAGGCCGAGAGCTTGGGAAGGGGAGAGCTTGGGAAGGGGAGAGCTTGGGAAGGGGAGAGCTTGGGAAGAGAGAGCTTGGGAAGGGAGAGCTTGGGAAGGGGAGAGCTTGGGAAGGGAGAGCTTGGGAAGGGGAGAGCTTGGGAAGGGGAGGGAAGATCGTATACCTGCAGAGTGGCCATGTCCAGTCCGAGAGTAGACGACATCATGCACGATATGACGAGGGACATGCCCAGCAGGCAGCAGGCCGAGAGGGGGAAGGCGATGAGTTCGGCTGTAGTGAGGGGCGGCAGCCAGCCGGAGTTCCTGTAGCACTGGTCGTAGCAGTCGATGGTGGGGCCCACACACTCGTTCAGACACGTCACTATGCCGTTCGCTGGCGCGCACGCTCCCAGGCGGGCCAGCGGCGCCCAGCAACTCATGCTGCTGCTGCTGTCGCCGCTGCTCTATTTTCTCCTGCTCCTGACGCTGCTGCTGCTACTGCTGCTGCTGCTGCTGCTGATGCTGCTGTTCCTGCTGCTGCCGCTGTTCCTGCAGCTGCACAGTCAATTGCACTGTCGCTCTTCTGCTGTCGCTGCTGCTGCGGATGGGTCGGAACCACCCCCACCGCTGCTGTATCTGCTGCACTGCTCTTTTGCCCTTGCTCTCACTCTGCGTGTCCCCTACTCGTGCGGGCCCCCTTCACCGCTGCTGGCCCTTATTCCACCGACAAGCCCTGATCCCGGCCGCCCTTATCCCGGCCGCCCTGATCCCGGCCGCCCTGATCCCGGCCGCCCTTATCCCGGCCGCCCTTATCCCGGCCGCCCTTATCCCGGCCGCCCTTGACCGCGCGAGGTGGACGATTCAGTTCTCCTCTCACCCAAAGTCCGCTCGTTCTCTCTCTCAGGAAGTCTCGTCTTGCGCCTGGTCCCTTGGCCAGCCCAGCGGCCTAGCCTGCCAGGATTCACCACCGTGGCCAACCCGCTGGCCTTCTCTGCTTCTTCTGCCAGAGAAACGTGCGTTTGCTCTGGCGCCTTGCGGGTGAAAACGCCCGCGGGAAGCCGAAAGCTGAAACGTCGGGTGGGTGCCTTCTATCGCCCTCGGACACGCAGCTACCAGCCTCGCAGTCTCGTTATAAGGACTAAACCCGATCGCAAGTATCCCGTTATTGGAGTTAGAAGCGCTTGTGGAAAATATTTCAAACGGCGACCTTAACAAATGATTAACGTATTCGGTCGTATTCTATGTTTCTACCATCCCCGTCGTTCTCCTCGTCCTCTGCAGGCTCGTCCGCCATTCCCGTGGCATGCGGCGCCGAAGCCGCGGCGTCACGATTCCAGCTGCTGAGGCGCTAACTCGACGAAATGTCTTGTCCTGCTTTGGCGCGTGTCAGCAGCGTGGCTGACGCGTGCTTGACGCATTGGCTCTCTACAGGCACGTGCTATGCACTCTCTAGAATAGACAACTGCCTGCTCGAGACTCTTAGTTCCAAAACCTAGACGCTTTAGAATATGTACGCCGGTGTCGCTGTTCTATCGCGCCGTTAGTAATGTGTGGCTGGATGGCAGACGGATACTACGTCCGTTATAAGACAACAGACCCACAGCCTGAAGGTTGCGCAGCAATTAACGTTCTGTCAAATGACGTACTATGTCGGAAGCTGGGTAGAACGAGGCCGTCGCGTCTGTTCGTAACCACTATTCGCCAAGCTATCGGCTTCGCGGGAGGAAGTTAGCTCTGTACAGCACCAGAAAACCCTACAAGCTTCGCGCCAAAAAGTTCCTACGAGTTGCCAACGTGCAACGGCCAGCGAAGAGTTCCTACGGTGCGGTGCAAGCAGACGTCCCTCTTCGCTCATCTCGAATGTCGTTGCTAGTCATTCGTGTTACGACGACACACGCTCGGGGCTAGTGGTGGGGGCGCCATTGTCGCTGTGGGGGCCCTTGGGAACACCGCGCCTGCTCCGGCCCAAAGCGCGTACTTCTCGAGGTTGGAGCTTGGAAGGGGGGAATTACGCGAGGCAGGGGAAGAACCATGCGAGAGGTTGGTGGTGTTGGGGGCAGAAGGGGGAGAACCAGGACTGGTAACGAGAACCGAAGTGACGCAAAACGGGAACATGCCACGACGTGCTGCCTTGGTTGTTCCCGAGCCGAACGGGCTGCACACGTTGACTTGCGGGAAGGCGGAAATTATAAGCGGCTGTTGCAGTGTTGCTGCTGTTCCCCCTTTCCCAAATCACCCAGCCACGCCGAACAAACCTTTCCCCACGGCGGTGGGCTGGCGCAGAATATCGACCAGACCTGCGATCGGCCAAACCAGGCCTGGCCGTATTTTTGGTTCGGCACCAAACAGATCCCAAACCACTGGTCCTGGCAGATAGCTCCTCTTGGCTTGTTCGTGGCATCCCTTGGCACGCAAACATGTCGGCAAGCGCTCAGCCAAGGCGCCTCCCCCAGCAGCTGGTTCTCCTCAAATGTGGCATTTCATTGGTGCAACGTCAGCCCTAGAAAGGATCTTCAAATTGTAGCGCGTACAGCGAGGGAAGGTCCCGGTGAGCTGGAAAAGTGCAACGAAATGCCCAAACGCGCTACAATCTTTTGTGACATTTGCTCCCACTCTTATTGACTTCAGAATGCATATCATTACCATTACAATGCACCTCTCAAATTCATTTTCAATTCATTGCAAACCTGAGAATTGCCAGCGTCGCACAGTAAAGCGCATCTCCATTGATATATACTGATACCTTTGTATTACTCCCGCTTGCAAGAAAACAGGACCAGGGTCAGCCAATTAGATCGCAAAGAACAAGTGGCGCATCTACAATGTGTGAACATCCACTTATCTCCAGCCTCTCTATCTCGCACAGTAACGCCAGCGACTGAGGTAGTCTTGTCAATCGGTCACACCCAGTAAGCTCAAACGACTTCAAGTTTGACATGTGCCCCATGCCTTCAGGGAGCACTGAGAAATTCCGGCAGCAGGAGAGAGTGAAATGCGTGAGGGATGAAAGCTGAGTGAAGGAGGACGGGAGCTCTCGAAACTCCGGGCACCAGCTGATGGAAAGCTCCTGGAGGTTGGGCAGCTGAGAGAAATCTTCCGTCAGGGCAGAGAAAAGTTCACAGCTGATGAGCTTGAAGCTTTCAAGAGAGGAGAGTTGGGGGAATGTTGGTGGAAGGGTGGTGAGCCTGTTGCAGCCCAGAAGCTTCAGGGTCCGGAGGTTTTTCAGCTGCCCAAAAGAGTCAGGCAAATGTGAGAGCTGATACGTGTTGCAGAGCTCAAACTTTTCCAAAGCTGGCAGATCTCCAAAATCCTCGGGCAGCCTGGAAAGATTCCGGCAGCCTGTGATGACGAGGTCGGTCAGGCGTTCCAGTTTGGGCAGAGAAACGGGCAGCTCGGTCAGATTCTCGCAGTTGTGGATCTCCAGGCTCCATAGATTGGGAAGAAAGCCGATGTCATCAGGGAGAGAAAGGAAGCATTCGCTGATCTCAAGACTTTCCAGAGAGGAGAGACGGCTGATGGAGGAAGGAAGGTAGTGGAGCGAGTGGCAGGAGCAGAGGACTAGATTCCATAGATTTGGCAGCTGCCCGATGGAGTCTGGCAGGCTTGTCAGGCACGGGAGAGCGAGCTCGAGGGTCTTGAGGGACTGCAGCTGCCCAAAGTTTCCGGGCAGAGATGTCAAGCTGTAGCAGGTGGTCGCACTGAAGTGAACGAGGTTGGAGAGCTGCCCGAAGGAGCCGGGCAGGGCAGGCAAAGAATTGCACTCCACCAGCTCAAAAGCGCTGAGATTCTTTAGCCTGCCCAGGCTTTCAGGTAGAGCCCTGAGGTGAGGGGCCTGAAGGTGTAGGACGCGTAAAGCGGGCAGCTGCGAAATTTCTTCGGGTAGGCTGCGAAGGTCATCCAATGAGACGTCTAGAAACTCGAGATGTGTCAGACACGTCAAGGATGGAGGAAGGAACTTGATGCTAGGTATGGTGTGAAGCCCTAGCCTCTCTAATCGCGTACAGGCTCGGAAGAATCTGTCCAAACCTATTTCCGTGACTCCCCCAGCCGAGGATATACGCCTGGTGGCCGTTAGTGAAAATCGCCTGAGGTTCGGCAATGCCGAGCCTAAACCCGAAATTATCTGATCGTTTATCACATCTAAGCTGCGATTCGCTAGCTGCAGGGACGTTAGGTTCGGCATGGCTGACAGCGCGCGAAGCAGCGACGCGCTCGAAATCTCCCTGCGACTGGCGACGCGGATGTCGGTTTGAGCGACGCGTGCGACGCGGAGCCATCGCTTGCAGACGAGGGCGTGGCGAAACGAAAAGAGGTCCGGGCCGAGCCGAGAGAGGAGGAACGTGAGCATATCGTCGGAGAGGCCGTCGAATGGACAGGCCGCAGAATCCATCGTAAAGGAGAAGAGTACTAGAGAGTTGGACGCCGTTGGATCCGTAAGATCCGTAATCTCCGTATTACTGACACAACTCCGTATTACTGGGATACTGTGGTCAAGTAGAAGCTGGTAGGGAGGGTTGACAAGGAAAGGAGATTCCCCATGGATGAAGCGGCGAAGGTCGGTTGGGCGAACAAAGACGATGCGCGAGATTCACCCATTGCGAAATCTCATCTCTTAGGGCGTATGTCTCACAGTTCCGGAACTGGAAGTTCCGGAATTCGCGAAGGACCCCCAGGATCCTACAAAGTAGAGGTGGTTCCGAAACTCGGTAAGTTGCCCGCCTGGAACTGGAAGTGCCATTGCAATTCGAGCGCGGGTTCCGGAACTGGTTTCGGAATTGGGTTTCGGAGCCCGGGGTGTACATGCTGGACGCGAGTTCCGGAACTCACGACTCAGCCTTCGCGAGCGGGCTTGGCGATCTTGACGATATTCGTAATCTGTCGCAGTTTCGGAACTGTAAGACACACGCCCTTGTTCAATCCACACATCTGGTAACTCTAGTCGTTGCGAAAGTTCTTTCCTCCTCGCGCTCACTCCCTCCTTTCCCCTCCCCACCACCGCAGATTACCCATTTCTTTCGCCTCTACATTAGTTTCCTTCCCACCCCGCCCACGCTTCCAACACGCGCCTACTAGTAGTTTCACATGTGTGCCTGCCTAGCTTTCCGCTCCTCCTGAGGTCCTGATCGCGTGCTGTTCCTCGCAGCCCAGTCTACCATGGATTACTGCCAGGCACCCACCTGCAGTGTCAGCCCGTCGCCGCCGTCGCAGTCATCACCGTCGCCATCGTCGCCGTCGTCGCGGTCGTCGCCGTCGTCAACGTCGCCGTCGCGGCCGCTCGCGCTCTCACCGCGTCCGATAGAGACCCTGCCGGATCATCTCCTCTGCCTCGTCCTGCGAGCCGCCGCATCCGACGGCCGTTCCTTCCACCACGCGCTCGTCTGCAAGCGCTGGAACCGCGTGTCGTTAATCGCCCAGTCCGTAATCCACTTAGAACCGTGGCGAGATCTTTCCTTTCCGCCGCTCCTTGCCGCTATGGCTCGATTTCCGAGCCTTTCAGGCTTGGAGCTACCGATCCGCAGCCTCGGGGACGGACTAGACGACGCGGTTCTGGCTGCGATCGGCCGCAGCGCGCCGAGCCTAACCCACCTGGATCTCTCCGATTTATCGCCTAGTATCACTGTTCACCGTGATGGGCTCCATGCGCTCTTCCTTTCCTGTACCCGCTTACAGCAGATCCGATTATATTTCCCCTTCGATGAAACATACCTCACTACACTGCCGTCGTCTTTCCTCAATCTCCCTCGTCTACAGGCCATAGATATTTGTTCCAACGTCCTTCTAGGGAACGCCCTCCCGGAAGACCTTGGCTTACCGCACTTTCCGCTCACCTCCTCCCTGACGCCTTTAAAGCTGGAATGCGGCCGTAATGAGATTAGTCTTCCCGAGAGCTTCGGCCTGCTATAGAATCTAAAGGAGTTGTCGCTTCTCTGCCGCGATCTGCGGCCCCTCCCGTCGACTTTCATGCGTTTGTACGCGTTACAAGCCCTCAGCCTGGCGTGCAACCAGCCCTTTCCTCCCTGCCTCTACCGCGTCGCTCACGTCGCTAACGCTCCTGGACATACGCGATATTGAGTGCCAGGACATCCCAGAGCGCTCTGTGCGTCAGCCTCTGAGGTCCCCACAGTCGAGGTGACTTTTGAGGCGACTCAAAAGTCGCTCTGTGCGTCAGCCTCTGAGGTCCCCACACTCCTCTCTCAACCAAGCCTGGACCTCCCTCATCTTCGCATGATGAATCTGGGGTCTGGCACCGCCGCCGCGACTTCTCTAACCTCCCCACAACCCTCTCTCACATCCTCAAATCCCCCTCCCGTAACCCCGTCACCTCCCCTCCTCTCTCCTCCCCTCCTCTCTCATCCCCTCCTCTCTCCTCCCCTCCTCTCTCCTACCCTCCTCACTCCCCCTCTCCGCACGCTCAGACTGACCAACGCTTCCATCACGTCTCTCCCCTCTTCCCTCCCTCGCCTCTTCCCTCCCTCGCCTCTTCTCTCTCGAAATTCTTCATCTGGAGCTCTGCCACTCGCTCACCTCTCTGCTGCCTCTGACGTCAGATGACTCACGGCACACGTCAGATGACCCACTTGACACGTCATCAGGTGGAATGTACAGCTCAGGAGCACACGCCTCTCACCTCCTCCCCTCCACCCTCCACCTACCCTCCCATCTTCAATCTCTCCTCCCTCCGTCATCTCCACATAGATTCCCCCTGCCTCACATCCCTTCCCTCCTCCCTCTTCCTCCTCCCCTCGCTGCAGCACCTCCACGTGTCAGGCCACCATTGGCTGTCAGAGCTCCCCTCTGATTGCTTCTCGGGCCCCCTCTCCTCCTCCCTCACTCACTTACACCTCGACCAGTGCCGTGTGTTGACCTCCCTCCCCCACTCGCTCCCCCTCCTCTCCGCTCTCCGCTCTCCGCTCTCTGGAGTTGGAGCAGTGTGATTCTCTCTCTTATCTTCCTCTGGGCCCTCCTGAACCGGAAGTGTTAGCAGGAGGGCAACCAGCAGCGCAACCAGCAGCGGCAGCAGCAGGGCCAGAAGCAGCAGCAGTAGCAGCATTAGAAGCAGCAGCAGCACCGGCGCTACCACCACCAGGTACTACCACCTGTATCACCTCGCTCCTTTCACTCCAACGCCTCATCCTGAGGCGCTGCGACTGCCTCACATGTCTTCCTATCAGCATCTGCCACGTGTCCAGCCTCACTGACCAGCAAATCCACCGCTGCCAATGGTTCACTCGCTGCTCCCCTCCTCGAACACGCTTAACCCGCCCAACCATCACACTCTCACCCCTCCTAATCCTCCCACTCTCACCCCTCCTAATCCTCCCACTCTCACCCCTCCTAATCCTCACACTCTCACCCCTCCTAATCCTCCCACTCTCACCCCTCCTAATCCTCCCACTCTCACCCCTCCTAATCCTCCCACTCTCACCCCTCCTAATCCTCCCACGCTCACCCCTCCTAATCCTCCCACTCTCACCCCTACTAATCCTCCCACTCTCACCCCTCCTAATCCTCCCACTCTCACCCCTCCTAATCCTCCCCCTTTCACCCCTCCCGATTCCCCTCTCAAACCTCACACAACCACCAAACCCTCTCCCTCTCCCTTCTCTCCTCGGCCTTCTCTCGCCTCCCTCCTCTCCCTCCGCATCCTTTACATCACCGAATGCCCGCGCCTCCTCTCCCTCCCTCCAGACATAGGCTCCCTTCCGAGCCTTCAGGAGCTTGGGCTGTGGTTCTGTAACCGGTTACAGCCGCTGCCGCCCGGTGTTACTGACTTGAAATCACTGGATCGGTTGGTGGTGAAGGGGTGTGCGAGGGTGGGACAGGTGCCGGAAGGAGTGGTGAGGATGGATAGGATACGGGCGCTGGAGTGGGAAGAGGGGGAGGAGGGGGAGGACAGGGAGGACGGGGAGGAGGGGGAGGAGGGGGAGGAGGGGGAGGACGGGGAGGAAGAGGGGGAAGAGGGGGAAGAGGAGGAAGATGAAGAAGAGGAGGAAGAGGGGGAAAACGATTAAGAGGACATCGGGTTGAAGCGGCCTTTTTACATCGAGTGTCGGCCTGCAAGCACTGCAGAGAGTTGATTGTGCCTAGTTTTGTGGGTGGTTGCGAGTGTGCAGTGAACCATGGAACTGTGCCTTCATACCTAGTAGCATTTGAGTCGACTCTAGCAGACTCATTACACGCGGTTTTGAGTCGACTCAAGCGTGAACCGTAGAATTGTGCCTTCATACCAGCATAGCAAGCAATATTGTACATACGGAATTGCATTCACCCGCGTGGCAGCACGCGAACGCGGTGCGGCATCTACTGTATGTATTAACACCTCAGAGCACGCTAGCTCTTCCACATCTACGGACAAATCGGGAGCCCCCAGATCCAGTACCTGCTGTCTGCACTGCATACCCTGTACAAGGAGGGGCACTTAAGCACCACAGCACGAGAGGCCACAGTAACGCTAGGGGGAGCTTATCGCCTTATGAGCTTATCGCCATATGAGGTACTAGGAGCAACCACACTTTCTCAGCACAACTGTCTTGTACAGAGAGCAGACGGCCGGGTGCCGCTGCAGCTTGCTGCACGGCAAACCAGACCTGTGGGGAATTACCTCGTCGCGAGCGACCATCCCCCAGCTCATCGGGTAGGCAACCCTGTTGTAAGCTGGAAGGTGGGTTGACCCTGTTGTTCCCGTAGAACGATAGATCATAGAGCTAAGGGAAATGGGTACTTCAGATGGTGGAGGAGGCGGAGGCATGGATGGTGTGGACGTCGAAGGATGGCGAAGCGTGGTTGGAACGGGCTGAATTGAAGTGTGAGTCTTCGTCTGGAGCTTCGTGCTTCACACGAAACTCACCTCCCAACACGTGCCTGCGGTGATGCTGCTGGTGCTGCCGGTGCTGCTGTTGCTGCTGCCGCCGCTGCTGCTGCTGCTGCTGCTGCTGCTGCTGCTGCTGCTGCTGCTCCTGCGTGTGCAGAGGGGGGTGGGCTCCAGCACTTGAGAAGCTCCTCCTTCTCGGGCAGGGCCCGGCACCAGACAAGCTCTTCTTTCTCTGAAGCGTCTCTGGCGCACCAGGGAAGCTCCTCTGGTGCTTCTCTGTTACACCGGAGAAGCTCCGTCTTCTCGGAGCGATGGAAGGGACGGTGTTGGTGCAGGGGGGAGTACAGCCAAGGGAGGAGTGGCAGCCGTGGCCATGGGAGGGCGTGGCACCGAGTGAGTAGGACCTCCTGGGCTCGGAGTAGTACGCCAGATCGGCCAACCATGAGCGCCCGTGCTGCATGCACTGCCCCGCTCCACTGGAATCTCCCCTGGCCGCGATTCCACCACGGGAAAACCTTTCCGGAGAGATTCCATCAGAGAAGTCTCCCTCGGACCACCCTCCACCAATCGCTCCTTGCCCTTCACCAGCCACGCGTCCCGCACCAGCAGCATCAGCAACAGCAGAAACAGCAGAAACAACGGAAACAGCAGAAACAGCAGAAACACTCCATTCTATCTCTCCCGCTGCCTCCACTTCCTCCTCCTCCTCCCTCCCTCTCCCTCTCACCTCCTCACCCATATATTCCTCGCACGCCTGCACGAACTGCTCGCACTTGAAGCTGTTGAGCGCCCTGTGCGCGTCCAGCAGCTGCAGCCGCCCCTCCAGCGCCTGCAGCGCCACGTCATCCGACAGCTGGTGCTGCAGCAGAAGCCGCCGGAAGGTTCCACGCAGCGAGCGGGCGGGGGACGGCGGAGAAGATCCAGGCTGCGCTGCGCTGCAGGGGGGTTCAGAATGCGCGCGCGAGACGAGCGCTTCGCACGCTTGCTGTTGAGTAGACTCGAAAGCATGATCCTCTGCATGGTGACGCGTGACGAGCGCTCCTGTAGCCATCGCCCACACACGTGGCCTCGTGACGAGCGAATGAACTCCGAGTTCGGAAGAGCTAAGGTAAGCTAGTGGGATTTGATTGGTAATCCCCAGGTTAGGGCGTGGAACATATAGTTCCGAATAGCCTTCGTCCGAATTTCCACCACACTGTACCACGCGGTTATCCAACTTTACTACATCAAAACCGTTTTGAAAATCACTCTACCACTCTGACTCTAGTAGTACTTGGGAGCTAGTAGTTAGTTAGAACCGGAGGGAAGTAGCATGGGAGCAGGGGAGCAGGGGAGCAGGGGGACTGCTGTCTGACGGAGCGCCTTGTGGCTTCCAATCCAACAATGAAGGTTTTTGAGGCGCCTCAAAAAAGGCTTCTTTAGAATTCTCAAAAAGCGTCAACCCTTGTGCGTTCCACAATGGAGGGCGAGCAGCGATCAGTCGGAGCTGAAGAGTTCTTGTAGAAGTAGTGCAATGGAGAAAGCAAAGAGGCTCAAGCTCCTCTTATCCCGCATTCTAGGGGGGATAGGAGCTCCTCTCCCCCTCCTCCTCCCCCTCCTCCTCCTCCTCCTCGTCCTCGTCCTCCTAGGGGGTGGGGGAGAGAGGAGGGAGGCGATTCTGTGGTGAGGAATGGTTTCGACCATCCTCGCTACTGGTCGCAGCAGGGATTGGGGCTCCTTTCGCCTCGCATCTCGTGATGCTTGCTTGGCTGGCCAGGGGCGGGAGCAAGCAGTGTGACTCGGACCTATGGGCGAAAGCTATGCAGCCTTGGGTGCAAACTACTACGAGCGCAGTACCGCGAATCTGGCTGGTGGCCCGAAGATCGCACCGAAGCAGGCCGAGACAACCCCACCGATTCGGTTCGGTTGGGAACATGCCGGAGAGTTCGAGCTGATTCGTCGGAGAATGCCGCTAAGGAGTTGTCGAATGCCGCTAAAGCCAACTCGACAACTGGACCACTGGACTCATGAGGCGACTCAAGGCCCATATGACGCAAGGCCCATATGACTCGGCCGTACAACAGGCGAGGCGAGGCGAGGCGAGGCGAGACGAGGCGAGGCGAGGGGGGCGAGGCGGGGCGAGATTTGCAGCAGTCACTCGGCGTTCACTCGAGTTCACGTGACGGCTTGTCTACGACCAATGGCATTCCTTGGCATGGCGTTGAGATAAAGCGCACACGCGTGGAAAGTGACGCACAGACGAGCTGAGCTGTCGCAAGCCGCCATGGCACTGTATACTAGTGTCTGGTCTGGTTGCTTTGCGTTGAAGGAAGCACCTTTCTATCGCGAGAGGTCGATCTAGATCGATAGTTCGATATGGTTGGATTCGACGTACGAACACTTTCGAACACTTTCCGTTGCAAGCGACGACACCTCCTCCTCCTCATCCACTGTCGTCGTCGCTCGACGCTCGTCGCTCGTCGCCGCTCGTCGCTCGTGTGGAGGACGCCTTCTGTACAGTATCTATCTATGCCGACGCCTGAACATTTCAGCTGCGCTGGAACGGCGAGGCGGCCCTGAGGCCAAGGCTGACGCATCCAGCCTACATTCCTCAACCTACTGGAGCACTGGAGAGCGCCATGAGAGGAGAGCCATTATGTCACGCGTCACGTGGCATGTGGTATCCGACGGAGAAGGACAGGAGGCCTGTTGCTGGAGCATCTAGTTGCGTCACTATCCTGAGGGCTGCTCTCGTCCGCCATGATTTTCCCCTCCATTCCACGGGTACAGAACAAGTTACGACAGGGTCCTCATGACGTTGAAAAATGCGTCCGATTTGCAAGATCGTTTTCCGAACCTCGAACAGTACCGAAGAGTACCCCATTGCATGTATATGCACCGTACTAAAACTTTTTTTGAAAACCTTTGAAATGATCCGGACGCGATTGATTAGGGCAATTCGGACGCATTTTTCCACGTCCTCAACGGTTTCCCCCTTTCCATGAGAGGCTGGGGGAAAGGGACAGTTACCCGTCAAGATGTACCCCCTTTCCGAGATCAGAAGCGGTTGAAACGTTTATCAAAATATTAGCGTGGTTTCAATGTGGTGGAGGTTCGCACGTGGATCCTCAAACCTCGAGATTGGTGTGTTTGGTTCGGTCAGGGGGTTTGTGGAAAAGCAATCTGCTGCACTTCCTGTGTGACTAAGGGCGAGGTAGTTGACCCCCAAGGTCGGGTTCCAGGCAAGGCTCGCGGAGGCAAACTTCGCGCTCCAGCAATCCCATGTACCACAGACAGCGGCATCCCCAGGGTCGCAATGTGACAATTTTGGCAGCTCCAACCACATGCAACCCTGGGGCAAATTTGCCTCTAGGGGGAGGGTTGCCTGCTTCTGGTATCTAAAGAATTACAATTCGAAAGGGCGGGTCACTAAAGTACATGCCCAGTTCAACACCTAGTTCAGTTACCACTTTAGGCATGTAACCATAAAACGCGCCCAAATAGAACACGCTCAATTCACACCCAAAATTGGCGGACACAAGCGCAGGTTTCCAAGTACCTCCCGCACGACAAAAAAAATACCACACAAAAATCCAATTCGCCATCCAATACCAACACTACCAATAGCGAAATTGCTATGCGAAACTTTGCGGCCTCGCACGACTCTAGCAAACAACTTTCCCTGCCAAATCCAACAACCCCACATAGTGCAAGACATACCAGACCAAATTTACTACCGCGACGACGAAAGCTGGTACAAGTATTACGACAGTGGATTGGCCCTCCTTTTGTTACACGCGCCTGTTGCGCTGGTTTCGCATCCCGTTACCCGCCATCATGTCAGTACTGGTCTCAGTGATGTCCTTCCGAACTGTACCCTTCACTTCTGGCCTGTTCCCAAAACGGGATCAGTTTGAAATTTGATTCACATTGCGTACCGTCAGACGGCTCTACGTGTTCAAAACGGGTTGACGATTTTTTAAGACACGCCCTTACTGCGCTAAATTAGAGAACGTACACCCGAAGACCTCGACCTTGCAGGTTCGGCCTCGATTGTTGGCCCAAACCTTCCTGAGTCACGTTCTGACACCCTCGCCACCCTTCCAAGCCACATCACGTCCCAAGGTTCTCGCCCTAGCACGTAGGAGCCCTAGCACGTACGAGCCCTATTGTAGCCAGTTCGCTCATCACTTGTAGATGAATTATTACTCGTAGGTTGTATTTCCATTACTCAGTCGATCATCCCAAGGTTCCTTGCGCAGTAGCTTCCACCTGCCCGGGAATTTTCTTGGGGGGGTGGGGGGGGGGGGGGGGGGGGGGGGGGGGGGGAGGAAGGAGGGATGGCTGGTGGGCTGTAGGGCTGCAGAGCAGTTGGCTCGGAGCTAATTTGCTAGCTCGTCCGACTAAGGCGTGTGCGCTCCCTTCGTCACCAGACCCTGCCTTTGGACGGCCAGGATTTGGTCAGGTCCTCCCCCCCCCCCAAGGAACGGACAGCTGTGGCTGTCACGACATTTATTCACTACGTGCGTTAGTGAACAGTGCATTTTACTTCGGTGGTTTTTGTATGACAAACATGCGTCGTCGGTAGCACCTGACAAGATTCTAAAGCAAGTCCGTCGGGCGGCTGCGACAACGGTTGAAGAAAAAACAAGAAAAACGAGCCTTCCTGTCGCGCGGCAACCTCAAGGAAACGCTAGGGAATTGTGAACGCCAGGGAATTGTGGCCGCCAGGAGTACGCGTGATAAAGCGTGAAGGGCGTAGGTGACATTCTGTTCGTTGCTCCGGTATTTCCGACAGGAAAATTATGGGAAAAAGACGGCGCGCGTGCCAACTTCCGAAAAAAAATCGGATCTTGCAACCCTCGGCTAAATGACTGGATTTCAACGGCTATGGAGATCGTCACCGACAAAATCGTCATCAATTGGCAGCCGAACTTCACGGAGGGCCGCCGATTCTGTTCTCCCACGCCGAGCAGAGTTTTCACATAACTGGAGGGGAAACTCGTGTTCGAGGAAACGATTATTGCCCCTGAAGGAAACAGGGAGTACGGACGCACTAGCAGGGTTCCTACCGTTTATGGAGCAGCATCAACGCGTCCCCTTGAGTCACCGAGTGGAAGCGGTTTTCGAAGCTTAGCGGAAGATGGACGGCGGCGGTCGAAGACCTAGTGGAAGTGGCTTTGCCATGTGTCAGTAGCCCACCTACTGACGGGGTTCTTTGCCAACCGTCCGAAGTCCCCCACCTGGTTGCGACAACTACAAGGTCAGAGGCTCCAGGCTGGAAAAGGGGGGAATAAGCCATATTCGTTCTGTGCTAGCGGAGGGTGCGACAGTGGAGTGCTACAAAAAAAAGATGGGTAATTCGTGGTGTCCGAGGGGATTTGCACGGCTGTTCAGCGGTTGGCTGGGAGTTAATATTTTAGCTCCACTGACTAAAGGCGTGCACGCTAGCTTTTGCACCGTCCTGCCCTCGATTACAGTTTTACAGCTGTTTACTTACCGACAGAAGCGGGAAGTTGGTGAACGACGACCTGCCGAAATAGTCGGGGAAGTTGTGAAGAAATATTCGAAGTCGACACTGTTGCAGCCGGAGCTCGACACTGTATCCGAAGTTTTCGGAGAGCCGCTAGGCGGAGGGAGTTGTCCCAAATTTACACGAGCTACTACAACACGTGATAATGCCTAGGACTTGTTTGGTGTCATGGCGAGCGCAAAGGTGGGTGAACGTCAACGCGCTGCAGAAAACGCTTGGAACCAGATGGGGAATTTTTCGAAAACCAGCGGCGCAACTTTTAAGTACCTGATGTTTGAGGGTACCTGAGTAGTAGTGAAACGGTTTTGGGTAACATGCAGCAGCCGCGAGATGGGTGAACGTCTGGACAGCCAACTGGTCAGGGGTACCAGGGTATTTTAAGAGTTTGGGTTATAGACGTGAGGCGATCGACGACGTATGATGCTCGCCAGCCATGCTCGACGGCCGAAGGCCCATGCCCAGGCAGTGAACGATGAATACCCTAGATTAAATGGCTCAGTTCATGCGTACAGCTAGTGACGGACCGATGGGGGTGCAGCTAAAGGATGGCGTGTCAATGTTTTACGAGTAGCTACGAAGCAGATGCAGCTGTGAAGCAATGTTGAAGGATTCGCTAAGTCGCGGGAGAGTTCCGATATTTGCGCTAGAAGAAACAGTGAAGCAGTTCAAGGTTTTGAAGCTGGCGTGGTGCTCGCTATATCCAGGGGTATGAGCGACATCATCCGATTTTTGCAGAGTAGTTTGGCTTCATGGAAAGCGAAGGAGCAGGTCTGTTTCGGATCTTTCCGGAAATTTCGGCATGTAAAGACAAAACGGAGATACAGTCGTGTGACCCTGGGATCAAATCGAGCGTGTTTATTCGATCGGGTCAGGACTTGTCATTTTTCCATCGATATCACCATCAAGCTCTCGCCAACACCTGCCATCGCCTTCATCGTCAATTCACTTACCTTCGTTCGCTATATAGAACACGACCCCGCCATCCGCTTGGAGCATTATAGAATCGACAAGATTTGGTAGCAATACTGTTGGAGCTGTGTTGGGGCCAGCTCGCCACTAGTGGATTGACTCGAATAGATTTTTTCACTTCGTATGAGAGTTATTTCTAGAGCAATAGTTGATGATTTTCAAGACTTCATAAGCGGTTTGCCCTGCAGAAGAATGCAACTTTGACGCAGATTTGAGAGTTCTACCCGTTGGAGTTTTATCGACGTCTTCGAAGCTGAGTTTTACCGGCATTTAATGCCGAAGTTGGGGTGTTTTACGAGTACCCTGAAGCAGTGGGTTACCTGGGAGTTATACATGATCTCCTGGGAGATGTTTTCTTCTTGAAGGGGGGGGAGAAGTGCAGCTGCGCTGCATTCATCCTCTCCGCATTTTTCGGATTAACCTGCCCAATTCGGTCAGCCGAATAATCGACCAACATTCAACGGCCAAGATCGATTGCGATCATTTCGACAACTTTCAGCCATTCGATCACTATTCAAGATTAACGGCCCCGATTACTTTCGACCTCTCAAGACAAGCGTCATGATGACAAGCGTGCGGTCATGCCACATTCTACAGTCCAAGCCATCGAGCATCATCCTACCAGATTAAAGTCATCATCAGCCGCTCGATCTAGAGATATCCATCAGATCGACCTTAACAGTTCCGCTATCGACATTGCTGACTCGTGATAATCGCCCAGCGGTCAAGATAGCTCTTGACCAATTTCAGCCGTCGGATTAGGCTCGCCCAAGACTTGTCAGGACGGCGTAATCCTTACGCTCGTCAGAAGATTTCAAGACCTCGAGTCACACTTGCGATTGGATTATTAAAGCGAGAAGTTAAAATAGTGAAGGCTGGCCCAACTTGAAAGAGGGCTCCCTCTGAGCGACTCAAGTTGGAGACCACGCCTCAACAAATTACTGTTCCAAAATGGCGGGGGTAGGCAGATCGAAATTTCAGCTCAAAGCTAATTGGGTCCCGCCAAAATGTTTATCGCAGGGCGAAATGCGCGATACGCAAATCTCATAACGAATCCTTGTCTAGGGTCGCACTTCTCGATGCGACACTAGCACAGCGAGTGCAAGTGACGGGTTGGGGCTCTCGGATCGACATGGGCCCGACTTGTTTTTCAAGTTGGGCCTGGGTTCACAATTGCCGAGGATTCACTACCTTCCCCACGCAAAGTGACAGCCCGCTAGCAAACAATCGCCGAGAAATCAAGCTAGTTCCGCTAGCTGC